GAACAAATGATTAGACAAACAATAACAATCAAATTACAGTGAAAACTCAAATAAAACTGGACAGAAAGTTAATCAGTCGGGAGAAATCCATGAAAATATGCATGCTTATATTTTAGAATACGATCTCTTCATTTAAAATAATTTCAGCAATGCAGTGTTGTCGCTTCTTTCAAAAAGTAGCAACAACTTTGTTATTACATATAGAATACCCTGTATTTCATTGCATTTTGAGATTCTCACTGAAGAACTAAATTCATCAATACATCAAACCTGGGGTCTATGGGAAATAATTAATTACAAGATATAGGGTGTTCAAATCGATATTTTTCAACTTCAGGATTTGCTTGTGCCGAAACTATTCGTTATCGGCCAAAACAGCTCACATGTTCCTATCATAACTTTTGATTTACTATTTACAGATATTTAATAGGAACAGATACAGGGTGATCAAAATTCTGAATCCTTATCCACCCTGTATCTGTTCCGATTGAATATCAGTAAATAGTGAAACAAAAGTTGAGATAGGGACATGAAAGCCGTTTCGACCGATAATGAATAGTATCGACAAAAAAAAATCCTAAAGATGAAAAATATCGATTTTCAACACCCTATATCTCTGTAATCATTTTCGATAGGCCCAAAGTGTTATACATCGTTAAAATCAGCTTTTCAGGGTGACTCTAAAAATGCTATAAAATACAGGGTGTTCCATTTTAAATATCAATGTTGCGCATACTTTCTAGGAAAAGCAGCAAATCTGCATTGTCGAAAATATTTTAAATGAAGATAGCGTATTCTAAAATATAAGCATGCACATTTTCATGAATTTTTCCCGACTGATTCTCGATATAAAGATAATATAAGCTCCCCGTGACATACCCTTTATATGGTGATGAAGTTGAATGAATACAGGGAAATATATAAGGGGAAAATTGAGAGAATTTCTCTCCACTCACGAGCGTGAAAAAAGTGAGGCTTTCAAGAAACAACACGAAACACTAGAACAACACACGATCCCGATATTATTAGTAACAAATCGAATGAGGAATACAAAAACACTATACAGGGTGTCAATTTGAAAACTTCCCACCCTTAATATCTCCCTCCAAGTCGATAATATGGAAAAACGAAAAGACAGGTCGATTTTATTTTCGAGGCGGACATGGTTCTGAAATATTTTCAGCCCCGCGGCGTTGCCGCTTCTAACGAAAAGAAGCAACAACTTTGTTATTTCAAATGGAACACCCTGTATTCTATTGCATTTTAAGATTCTCCCTGAAAAGCTGATTTCATCAATGTATCTCACTTGGGGTCTAGCAGGAATGATTACAGAGATATAGGGTGTTCAAAATCGAGATTTTACAACTTTAGGTTTTTTTTGAGTCGAAACTACTCATTATTGGTCGAAACGGCTTTTATGTCCCTATCCCAACTTTTGATTTACTATCTACTGACATTTATTTGAAACAAATACAGGGTGATCAAAAGTCTGAATCTTGAACCACCCTGTATTTGTTTCAAATAAATGTCAGTAGATAGTAAATCAAAAGTTGAGATAGGGACATGAAAGCCGTTTTGACCAATAATGAATAGTTTCGACTCAAAAAAATCCTAAAGTTGTAAAATCTCGATTTTGAACACCCTATATCTCTGTAATCATTCCTGCTAGACCCCAAGTGTGATACATTGATGAAATCAGCTTTTCAGTGAGAATCTAAGAATGCAATAAAATACAGGGTGTTCCATTTGAAATAACAAAGTTGTTGCTTCTTTTCGTTAGAAGCGGCAACGCCGCGGGGCTGAAAATATTTTAGAACCATGTCCCCCTCGAAAATAAAATCGACCTGTCTTTTCGTTTTTCCATATTATCGACTTGGAGAGAGATATTGAGGGTGGGAAGTTTTCAAATTGACACCCTGTATACGAATTTATACGATCACTCATTTTTTAGGGAACACTCAGTTTGAAACGATAAATAATTCCTTTCGCGTATTCTTCAATACCGATCACAAAATTCGACCGTTCGTGATGACATCTAATATAAAACTGTCTTGATTTACCACCTGGTCCCGAATGAATGACTATGAATGACTAATACGTTGAATCATGGCTAACCGATTAATTTACAAACAAATGATTTATCTATGACTGATGATGATAATGAAATTATACGGGGGGGGAAAAGTTGATATAGTATACAAAATATGAGATGAAGTATAGAACACGGATGTACTGACAGTATTACTTTCGAAAGTCTGATGATTTGAAAAAATGTAACACTGGCTGATTATAATCTTTCCCAAAATCTCTAGATATGTTTTGATAACTGGAAAGAGTAGGAAAATAATGAACAATGTGGCCTACTTTTCATGACTGCGCATCCAATTTGACATTTGTTTGTGTGAAAATGTAATGAGCATTCGAAAATATCTAAAATAATTGACAAATTATTCTATGGAACGAAATCCATCGATATTTTACCTAAATCGGCTCTAATTAAGTTTTTTTTTTTTGTAATAAAATTTGGTTTTGAATGATGAGTTCAATAAAAATTCTCTTTCTCAATTTGGATGCGCACTGTTGAAAAAGAAGAAGTTATTTGTTTTGCCTGGAGACGGATCTGGATTCTAAATTCGATTCCTCTTTAGTTTTGATGAGAAATATGAGTTGAATGTACCTATCAAGTATGAATCGATTATACACAGTGGTTCGAAAGTTGACCTGACCATAGATGAAGATTTTGCCAAAATCAAGATAACGTTCTGTATCACAGTTATTAAAGATGGTAAATTTTTAAAAAATACAGTTCCGAACAGAAAGCACGAAAGTCAGGAGGAAGTATTCCTTGATCGGAAAAAATGCAACAAACGGTACGAAACATACAGGGTATATCACGACGAGCTTACACTATCTCTATATCGAGAATCAGTCGGGAAAAATCAATGAAAATATGCATGCTTATATTTTAGAATACGCTCACTTCATTTAAAATAATTTCAGCAATGCAGTGTTCCCGCTTCTATCAAAAAGTAGCAACAACTTTGTTATTTCATATAGAATACCCTGTATTTCATTGCATTTCTAGATTCTCCCTGAAGTGCTGATTTCATCAATACATCAAACTTGGGGTCTATCGGAAATGGTTGCTGAGATATAGGGTGTTCAAAATCGAGATTTTTCAACTTCAGGATTTGTTTGTACCGAAACTATTCATTATCGGCCACAACAGCTCACATGCCCCCATCTTAACTTTGATTTACTATTTACTGACATTCATTCGGAACAGAACAGATACAGGGTGATCAGAATTCCGTTCCGATTTAATATCAGTTAATAGTGAAACAAAAGTTGAGATAGGGTCATGTGAGCCATTTTGACCGATAATGAATACTTTCGACTCGAAAAAAAATTTAAGTTCAAAAATATCGATTTTGAACACCCCATATTTCTATAATCATTTTCGATAGACCCCAAGTGTGATATATCGAAGGGAGAATCTAAAAAGCGATAAAACACATGGTGTTCCATTTGAAATATCAATGTTGCTACTACTTTCTAGTGGAAGCGGCAACACTGCATTGTCGAAAATATTTTATATGAAGAGAGCCGTATTCTAAAATATAAGCAAGCATAAGATAGTGTAAGCTCCTCGTGACATACCCTGTATTGGGTAATGAAGTTACATGAAAACAGGGAAATATGAGGAAAAATTGAAAGAATTTCTCCACTCACCAGCGTGAAAAAAGTGAGGCTTTGATGAAACAACACGAAACACTAGAACACACACGATCCCGATTTTATTATTATTGAATCGAAGGAGGAATACAAAAACACTATACACGAATCAATACGATCACTCATTTTTTAGGGAACACTCAGTTTGGAACGATAAATAATTCCTTTCGCGTATTTTTCAATGTCAAAAACACTATATACGAATCAATACGATCACTCATTTTTTAAGGAACACTCGGTTTGGAACGATTAATAATTTCTTTCGCGTATTTTTCAATGTCGATCACAAAATTCGACCGTTCGTGATGACATCTAATATAAGACTGTCTTGATTCAGTATCTAGTCCCGAATGAATGACTAATAAGTTGATTCATGCTGCTAACCGATTAATTTCCGAACAAACGATTTATCTATGACGAATGATGATAATAAAATTAAACGGGGGGGGGACATATTTTGTATACAGGTGGTATTTTTTTTTTCAAAAATCACTCACGATATGAAAGAATTTTACACAGGCTGAAAATAAACTGGGCGTCAATTGAAACGATAATAGTAGAATTTGGCATCAAATTTGACTTCTCGTAATTTCTAAAATATTGAACGAATTTTGAATTGCCGCCCAGATTCTGAATGCCTTTTTCATCGTCTTTCGAACCGTTCCTTACAGCTTCTTCTAAATTGATCAGGACCCATGATACAGGGTGTTTCGTGCATTTTGAAAAAAAATTCTCCGTCCCCCTCATTTTGTCGGAAGACCACGATGCTCATATTTTGTTCAGGCATTTCATAAATTGCAACCATACCTCGGGACGTTTTCGAGTTTTTGCCAAAAACAACTGTGGTTTCCAAAAAAAAATTTTTTTGCATTTTTTTTAAATGTAAATCTACGATTTCGATATTTATACGGATGAGGTCAGAGAAGGAATTCCAAAATATTTTAGACCCTTGGTTCAAAATCGCCTGTCTGTGTAGCTGTAAGAAAATTCGATATTTAGATCTCGTCTAAAAAAAAAATAGTACTACCTAGCATTTCTTCAAGAAGTTGAAACATAAGTCGTCAGTGATTTCTATTGAACGTTTATTTTTTATTAATAAATAATAATAATAAAGTGCTTTATTGATCATATGTACAATACAATCAACTGGCCATCGACCTGAGTCCTTCAGCCCGTGGAGGGTTGCCTACTTTTTTATTATTTGATTATATTTTTGAATTTGAGTGTTGAGATAGTCCCCAAAAGGCATCCTCTGATTTTTGAAGGTCCGCAAATTTTTGGAGGAAAGCGCCAAATGGAAAAAAGGCAAGGCCGTAGTCGGAGGCGGCGGCGACGACGCCAACAAAAGCAAGAAGAAGAAGAAAAAAGAGAAAAAGTCGAAGAAGGACAGCAAGAAGAAAAAGAAGAAGGACAAACTGAAGAGGAAGCAGAGCTTGGACCTGAGCGAGTTGGACGATCACAAGAAGTTGCGCGACGCCATCAAGAAGGAATTGAGCAAGGAGAAGAAGTCGAAAAGACATAGCTTGCCTTCCGACGAGGATGAATATTTCTTACAGAAGAGCGGATACAGCAAGCGGTGAGAGCCTCTATTTTTATTGAAAATTTATAGTGAAAACTGCATATCAATATCTCATCGTTTCTGAGTTGGGGTGTTATTCCCAAATGTGCATTTCTGAACTTCTTTCCTATGAAAAATTCTTTGGTTCTACAGGGGGTCCCATTGGGAAACGGAAAAACTTCAACGGTGGCTAGAGCTCATCAAGGTATTTGTAGAGTCTTTCAAGTTGTGAATTCCGAGATATAGGGTATTTCATCAATTTTGTTCAATTGACAACTTATGAACCACCCAGTATATTCTGTTGGAATTTGATACACAATTCCTCCCTCTACCTAAGCGACTCACCTATCAGTCACTAGAAAAATCCAGGTCCGGATTAACGAAAATGGAACATATTTCTAAACCCAAGAAGTACATCCTGTATTTTCGAATTTCCAAAATCCGCTAACATATTTGGAAAGAGTACAAAAAGCTGAAAAGCGGATCGTGTAATCTTAATTTCCCAACGTGCTATTTCACTAAAGAATTTCTGGTTTTGAATTCTAGGATTCATGCTTTTGAATAGATAAAAATTAAATATTTTGACTTCCCAATTGAATAACAAAAATCATCATGAACCTCAAATTCAAAATGAAAAATTCTTCAGTGAAATAGCATACGGGAAAAAAAGTACATCATACCATTCAGCTTCTTGTGCACTTTCCCAATATTCAAGCAAATTATGGAAATTCGAAAATACAGGGTGTTAATTTTGGGGTTCAGATATATGATCAATTTTCGTTAATCCGGACCTGGATATTTCTCGTGGCTGAAAGGTGAGTCGCTTAGGTAGAAGAATGAGGAATCGTGCACCAAATTCCAAAAGAATATACTGGGTAGTTCATAATCATAAGTTATGTTAATTGAACAAAATTGATAAAACACCCTATATCTCGGATTTAAAACCTGTAAGACTCTACAAATATAGTATTATCAGAACCACCTTGATGAGCTCTACCTACCGTTGAAATTTTTCTGTTTTCCAATGGAACACCCCGTATAAAATTATACCTCATTTTTTAACGCAAAATCAAAAAAGTTCTTCTAAAAATCAATATATTATATATATTTGCATATTTTTAGAGTTTTGACATTACCATTCCAAAAATATGTATATTTTCACCAATATGAATGAAAGTCTTGAAATTTGTTCAATAATCAATGGAAGAATTAATGATATATAAGTGAAAGATAATTTTGTGGATTTAATGCTTTTTGTCAACAGGTTTTGGGAGTGCATTTTAATGTTTTTGTGTTTCATTTCGTTTCAGATTTATTGATAGTTTACCAGATTTAGAAGAGTTAGAATCTAAATTAAATGCTTATTATGCCCTTGAGAAGGACAATAAACGGTAGGTTTTTCAATGTCAGTAATGTTTATATTAAAAGCTTTTTGGTAGAATATTTTCATTTGGTTTTCTTGAGCATGCCCTAGTAGTTTTCATTACTATTTTGACAGTTCAATTACAAATGTGTTTCAGAAAATGCTTCTCGTAAGTTCATAAAAACAATATTGTTTATTTTGTGATACATGTCAAAAATTGATTGTTTCAAGAGGAAGCCACATTATGTGAAGATGAAGCATGTTTTGAAAAAGCAATTGTTTTGAATTCAAATCTATTCAATTGATGTACATATATTTATTTATTTTCTCTTTCAATTTTGATTTAACACACTAATCATTTTCCGTTGGTTCAAAGTTAGGAACATCTATAAGTTAATGTAGATCCGAAAATGAACTTATATTTTGCTTTGGATTCAAAGATATGATTACTGGATTCAAATTCTTCTGAAATAATATAGGTATAAGAAAAACTAACCGAAAAATAATGCTCCAGCAGGGTTCCCATTGCTCGATAAACCGTTTTTTTTTGCAATTATGACGAGTAAACTGGAAGTCGTATACGAAATCTAATGCTAGATCATTTTTGTACGTGTGGGAACTTCGTGAAATTTTTGAGACTAATTTTAACGTTATTAACGGAAAGTATACCAGATCTGATCAATCAGAAAGAAAATGAATAAATTTCTGATTGACTTGTAATAACACGAAAAAGCTTATTTCCTGGCGAATATCAGTTTCTCCGGACGAATTGGTCCTGCAGACTTATCTTCAAGATTGTGTTTGCAGCAAATAATATGCATAGGGTACTTGCCTGTACAAAGCACTGAATAGTTGCAATCATTTTAAACTGCCTGCATTTCTGAGGACATACAATGGCAGTAAAATATTGGAACCATATTTCATAGGAACTGTATTTCATCGGGACATCGATTTGTCGTAACTCTATTTTATAGCGACAGTTATTCATCAGAACACCATTTCACAGCGACAGTAATTTATCAAAACAGTTTTTCGTTAGCGACAAGAAATCATAATGTTACCAAAAACTCCTTACAATGTCAATTTCATGCTCTAATATGGGTCCGATTGGAGTACCATTCTGACGAGATACCGTTCTGCTACAACCGTGTTCCTAAAAATTTACTTTACCGTCATAATATCATTTTGATCGAATAATAATAATAATACTAATCTTCATTTCAAGGAATGTTATGCTATAAATAACATTTAACACAAAACATTGAATGAAAAAACGTCACAAAATGGTACATTTGACAGGACGTGTACCTAATATTTACATTATACAAAATCATGTATTTAACATGTACAACATTGAAATAACATAGATTTTATGAAAATGACTGGAATACAGATAGAACAACATATTCATGACATTATACTATTATAGTTGTGCTGATATAAAAAAGAATATGTTCCGATACAATACGGTTTCGATGGAACACGTTCTGACGAATGGGCGAGTGGACTGATAATGAATTATTGGCATTCAATTACTCCACTGTATTATTAGGAACCTGAGTTGAATTTTGCAACACTTCTCACGCTTTTTTCATGTGAATAATAAGTCTGTGCGTTGTTCAAAATCGTTGAATTTCAGAGCTCATTTCAAACGTCATTGCCGCGATTTGGCGATCCGTCGAATACAATGGTGACGTCAGTTTTTATGCTGTTTCGTTATTGGTCAGATGATCTTCCATTTCCACTCATGAAGCAAGGTTGTCAAGTCACCAATTATAATTAAGTTATCATAAAGATGCTTGAGCCCTGTCGTTGAATAAAACATAATAGCAGGAACTCATGACATAGTGGTTCATTCTTGACTTTTTCGAGCAACCAGCATGTTCAAATATTTCTTATTCTCCATAACAAAATATCATGTGAATGTTGGTGACTTGGCAACATTGCGCTGAATGCCGAGAACTGCCAAGACCACGCCCACAAGTCGTGCGCTGGGTTGTCACGTTCACCGATTCAAATGTCCTCTATTGTGAATTGATATAATTATCATTCACTCAAGTTCATTATAAGCACTAAGCCAGAAATCATAAGGGAACATTTTGAAATAATTGCATTTTTATTGCTAATTAGGAATATTACTAATACTCGATTGAAAATGTATGAATTATCGAATAACTAATATTTCTGAAGTTCCCACTCGTATTTCAACACATAGCTATGGTCTGTCCCTACTTACGAAATCGTGGCGTCAGTTTTTACTGGCGGTAAATATCTAGCTGTTTGAAAATTACCGTGGCATTATTGATGATTTTAGCACCTAAAAATCGGCAGAAAAATGAAATTGTAAAGTATTTGAGTGATGATTCTATTTGAGAAATAAAAAAACATTAGTCCACTCACCTATTACGCCCGCCGCACATGGTCGCACTCGCTTTATTCGGCACGAGCCTCGTGCGTGTTATAATTTCAATCCTATTGTATTTAATACAACACCGCATTTGCTCTCACGTTTTGACACAGGAACGTGACTGATGCGACACTTGTGGTCGAGACACAGTTTTTGAGTGGCAGTGAAGACAAGTGGAAGAAGATTTGTTCTATTGAGCTTTATTCTATTTAAAAAATTTCACTACAAAAATTATTTCTAGATATGGAAGATGAATTAATAGAAGCTGTACGCAGCGAGAAATGTTTGTTTGATGTAAAACATCCCGATTACATAAACAGCAAGCTTCTCCTCAGAGCAAATTCTTTCATGACCACCTAAACACTGATCTTCTCAGTCAGTTGCAATTAAATCATGAACTTCTTTGAGGCGAAAATAGTTCTAAAATTGTTCTCCTGAAAATTCAGAAAACAAATTTTCCTTTTTCTTGCACTTCTTATCAGTGATAGTCTATAAAAAAATTCGTTGTCAGCATCTGATTCAGAACTCACATCTATCACCTCCATCGCAAATAGGTGAACTCTGTCAGTGAAACTGCGTGAGCAAATGCGTACCAAGCAAGTGTTCACTTTGCCATCGCCACATTGGTGCAGTAACGTGAACGAGTGCGAGCATGTGCGGCAGGCGTTATGTGCAGCCGATATTCCGTGCTAGTGGGAACCCTGTCTCGGCATCAGAAACGTTTCCAATCCGAACACCGAACTCGACCCCCCTTTTTTTTTGTTCGCCCCCCATTCTAGCAAGGAGCGCAGCGAGAGCCCCCCCAAGCGTTCGTTGCTCGACTCGCCGTCCCCGACGCGCGAACAAAAGGCGCGGCAGGCGGTGGCGGAGGCGGCGGCGGCGTCGGCGGGCGGTGCCCAAAAGTGGAAGATGCAGATCGGTCCGGGCACCTCGGGCAATTCCAGGTTCAAGAAGAAGCAGCCCGAGAGGCAGCAATCGACGTCGGAGTGGGGCGCCGAGCAGGACAAGCACGGCAAAAACGGTCAGCACCATTTATTTTATATATTTTATCCATTTATTATTATATTTTTCCACACTTCTCAGTTCCGAAAAATTACATTTTTCCCCACTTTTGACCCATTAGCGCCGTGCGTTGCCATATGGCAACGCTAGTCAGGTGGAAGTTCATATAATTTTTTTTTTTTTTTTTATCGCTTGGAGCGCACGAAAGGGAATCCCTATAATGTTCAAAGAACATCGTGCGTTCCTAGGGAGGATAGGGACAGGAGGTAGGTATTGGAATTTTTTTTGAACTTTTGGAGATTATATGTTGTTGGGAATACTTCCACAGGCAATGAATTCCCAAGCACTCAAATATTTGGGTATAAGGGTGGCACTGGTGACAGACAGCCCACATGATTCGCAAAAGAACCGGTTATGCACGTGTCGCCAGTTCTTTGTTGTGAGTACACTCGTTCGGCCACTTGGATTTGTGGAACTTCGAGTTTATTTGAACTGACGTAAAACATGGACGTCACGTGAACGTATCATTTTTTCACGCATTTGATTTCGAGCTCTTTTTCTCATAATGATGTTGCAAATGCTTCAAATGATATGTGACGTATAAAAAAAAATGCAGGAAAGTTTTTTGTGCAAAATATTTTCATCAATATCATTCCTGTTGCCATCTGGCAAGGCTAGGCGCTTATACTCAGCGAATGTGGTAACTCTCCGGCCGAGCCAATGGATGTTGAACCATTGGCCGGACAATCTTCTCTCCAGAACTCTGCTGACAATTCCACTCATGTATAATAATTTCCATTTGCGAGTACAAAAATCGTAGTTTGCTATCGGCTAAATATGAAGGAACAGAAATGCAAGTGGATAAAAAAATCGGATAAATTACGTTACCGTAGCAACGCTAGTATTTACTGTTCGTTCATCAAGCGTTATTGCGCGTCGCATCAGTTTGACAATTGTAAATGTCAAAAACAGAATTAATCAGCAAATAATATTCCAGTGAGTATGTCGAGATTTGGAAACATTTGCGAGGCAGAAATAGTGAGGGAGATTGAAAAATCAACTCCAGAAAATACAAAAAAAAGTCAATCCTCCATTTGGAATCAATTCAGCGAATTTTGTAAACAACGAAACTTCAATTTGGAAACCGAACAGTCAGTGGAAAATGTGGCAGGAATATTGATGGACTGGGGCTTTAATATGAAGAAACAGAATGGGGAAGATTATAAAGAATACGTGGTGAAAACAATGTGGAACACAACAGCGAAGATGTTGCAAAGCATGTATTTCGAAAAATTTAATGTTATTTTCAATCCTTTCACTGATTTGGCATTCAAGAAATCCCGTGATGCACGTAATTCTAAGCGAAAGAACTTACAAGGTAATTTAGAAAAACGTAAAAATAGTTCAACAGCCTTGACTAAAAGTGAAATTGTTAAAATGGCATTGATATGGGATGAAAATAGTCCTATAGGTCTTTTAAAAAGATTTTTTCATATCGCTGCATATGAATTAGCTTGGCGAGGAGGTGAAGCTGCAAAATGTGTAGTACACTATTTTAAAGAAGAAAAATCAAATAATGGTGATTTTACTGGCCGCATTGAATATAATACAGTTTTTTCCAAAACATGTCAGGGCGGCTCAAACAAATGCTGCGACAGTAAATGGCTAATAAAAAACATAGAAAACCCAAGCATATGCCCAGTAACATTGTTTTATAAAATATTATCACATAGACCGAACCATATTACAACTGATAGATTATTTATAACCCCCAATCCGTTTTGGAAAAGTAATTCACCGAAAAGTTGGTACAAAAATGTTCCTATAGGAGTCAACGAAATTCTCAAGTGGACGAAAATTTCAGCTGAAAAAATTGGACTGGATACAAAGAATAAAAAAATTTCTAATCATTCTCATCGCTCAAGCGCCGTGTCAACTCTAGCTAAAGCAGGTATCAATGAACAAGAATTGATAAAAATAACTGGACATTCCTCTTCCAAGTCCATAAAGCCTTATTTACAACTTGATAATGAGCATCATTCGCATCTTGTAACAAATCTTCGAAATAAAGCTTTGGATAATGAATCAGCCATAGTGTCCACATCCATGTCAATGTCAAACACAAAATCTACATCAGTAAAGGAGCAAATGTCTACTGAACCAATTGTATATAATAATTGTGTTTTTAACAACTGTTCTTTCTAAACATTATTCTTTTACTTGTTGTTCTTTTAGTTGGTTAAATAAAGTTTAATTGAATTGAGTTTTCTATTCATGGAATTGTCTTACCAAATACCACGCGAGCTCAGATCTAGCAGGATATTTTTTACGGTGGTTTTCTCATACTTACTTTCATATAGGTAATTTAACTCGATCTATTCGGACAAAATCACTCGAGCTACGCTCTCGTGATTTTGTCAGAACAGCTCTCGTTAAATTGCCAATGAAAGTAAGTATTCGAAAACAACCACAAAAAATATCCGGCTAAATCTGAGCTCTTGTGGTATTACCCCCGATAATTCCATTCCAATATGTGATGGTATGCGTTGTTTTTGAAGGTAATCGAATTAGTTCCATTTGTATATGGGCGAAACTGATCAGATGAATCGAAATATTAGTTATTTCCGCATAGGAATTTATGCTGCCCCCTATATAATCACTTGGATATCAGACATACCCATGCAGAATAGCTGTATTTTGACGATGACAATTGTATTCAAAATGTAATGAAGGTGTATGTGTTAATATCACAAAACATGTATCACATAAGCGCCTAGTGTTTCCATATGGCAACAGCAGACTTTTGGAAAACCTGAATTTCATTTAAGATTATACTTTTCTGGTCTCTCGCAAGCATTCAATATCAGAAGAAAAGGGAAAAGTAATTCCGGCACTAATGGGTTTATGGAAGTACCCTCGTATCTATCGTGATTGACGTGATCTTTAGCCCCTCCTTTTCTCCTACAAATTTCAAATCCCTATCTCAATAATTACGTAAGATACGAGGGTGCTTCCATGGAAACTGAAACAAAATTTGATTTTTCAGAACTGAACATTTTTTCACGAAAAATATGAATATTTAGTGAATTACACGTCCTGATTTCGAATCCGAAGGGATTTTTAACCTATCTTGCCTCCTAATATCATTTTACGGAAATTTGGGTGGTTCCATAGCTGTTGGTGAGCAGTGTATATAACCAGAGATGACACGACTTGGTTATAGTGTGTATTCTCATTATATCTTCTGCTCCTGCGAATTCCAGAATCCTAACTAAACAATTACGAAAGATATAGGGATAGGGGTGTTACCATTAGAAGTGAGGCACTGTATATTTCATATTGCATCTCCTCCACATAGGTTAGTGACCTGTGTGTGAAAGAGATGAATTATTTCATATATAAAATCGTTCTTGCATAATAGAAATACTCAAACTGAAAACAAATAATCAATTCATACAATAATGAGAATAAAGTGAAAAATGAAAAAAGAGTTAATTAAAAAAGATCATCGAATTTTTTCGCATTTTCTACAAGCCAACTCTTTACTTTTATTTTTCGAGAGAATATTTGTTCAATTCAATATAGATTCGATACAGGTTCAGTATAGATTCGGTAAAGGTTCAATACATATAGTGAAATAGATCATAATGATGGATTAACATGTTCTCGGAGAAAGCCAGTGTTGTTTCCATCATAATCTGTTATACAATTTGACTGGATTAACTGTTATTAATGATTGTATGGCTTTTCAGAAAGAATCGATATTTTGATTATACTCTAATATACTTTCAATTCATTTCAAATTGAATTTACATGTCCTTTTGTTGCATCAGTTTATTTTTCATGTCATGTTCAAGAAAAAGATGTGTGATAACATGTTGAGAATGGGCTTATACCGCAAACCGTTTCTTGCTGTGAGCTTCCTACGTTTTATAAAAATTATTGAATTCCCCGATTTTTCGAACCTCTGAAAACGAGGCGATGATGTGACATCAAAACCCTACTACTGAAACAAGACTATTCCAGATAGAGATGAATGATACATGATTTCTGACAGAGTGAATTAGCGCGAGATCACACTTGAAAGAATTAATATATCAGTTGCCTCAGTCTCTGTCGGGCGTTTGGTATTTTCTTTCAACTATGGCGAGATGAGGTTTCTACGTCATAAGAGGGTCCGTTTTCAGAAGGTACTATTATTTATGTTCAAAAATAAAACATTTCAGTTAATTTTTCGATCGAATTATGTCTTCAATCATTATTTATGTATAAAAGGATCATTATAAACATGGTTTGAGTTAAAAGTTCTACTAAGGTGTACACGCCCATTACGAGGATAAAGAGGAGTGACACAAGTGATTCGAAATTCTTTACTTGTCTATACTATCTCTTACCAATTTTCAGTTTGACTCCCACAGAAATGAATTTGGTGAGCTCCTGAAGTCATTATTTAAATTTTATGGTGCACGTCGATGAAGTTTCGGAATTCCGTCATTTTGAGTGTAAAATTTCAATTTTTTCACCCCTTCAAACACAATGTTTTAAATCAGTTGCAGAAAATTTCAAATGTTAGTCATTCATTCCAAAATGATTGGTAGGTTCCAATAACTTTTATATTTTCCCGATTCAAGATTATTCGCAGATTCAATGGGGAAGACCACTGATTTTTTAAAAAGACATTATCGTGAACTCTATACTGAAAAACTACCAGTGAATTAATTTTGAATTTTTTCATTCATGCTAAGACGATGAAAAAAAAAAATAAATTAGTATATGTCCATTTCAAAACACACAATTCCTGCGCCATTTGAAATTTCATCAATTCATTGGTGTGACTGGTGCGACGTCTTAGTCTCAACACGCCTATTGTCCTTGAACTGACCAATTACACTGCAACACTGCAGAATGACGAGATATCAGAGAGAGATAGCTACAGTTCGGGACTAATACGTCACAACTCCACCATCATATTTGGCTGTTTGAAATATCGAATGAAATATGCTGATTTCAAAACGAAATAGATTCGACTCCCTTCAACTTCAACTCATAATATTGATTGTACATAAAATGTAAATCATGATTCGTCGATTGAAAGAGGTTTGCACGGATTTCTTCCCTCAGTGGTCTCCCCCATTATTCACAAAGTACTGATTTGAGCAATCATTCATTCCAGGTGGTCCATTGGACGATTCGCCGCCGCCCATGCCGAAAAAGTCCGCCTTCCCGCCCATGCCGCCAACCGAGAAATCGTCAAACGTTCGCAAAACGATGTCGAAAATGGAGCCGCCGCCTAAGCGGCCGGACTCGCCGAAAAAGATGAAAATGCCCGCCCCGCCGGCCATGAACAAAATCCCCCAAGGTCAGGTGGTGTTGGACAAGTTCGGCAACTTCCGGCTGATGACGCCGCCCGAGATCAAGAAGGCGGCGGGAGAGGCCGCCTCGCATCTGCCTCCAGGTAGGTTCACGAAAAAAAAAGCATTTTTTATTCTGCTCACAGGATTTTTCTTTTTTTTTTTTTTTGATGGAGTTGATCAGATTGATTTCGATTTTTTGCAGTTTAATCAGTGGGGTAACTATCTAAGACATGCTAAATGCGTTTGGGCAGCCCAAGCTTAGGGGAAAATTCATTCTTTACTCTTTAGAAAATTAACTTGAATATGTGAACATTTAAAGCAGTTCCTAATTTTTGTTTTGTTTTATTGTTTATTGAGAAACTAGCTTTCAATCAGAAATGAAATTCTGGTATGAGGAAGTTGATTAGAATCAACAATAATAAAATAACATAAGGCAACAACAACAACAACAAAAAAAAGCACTGAAAAAATCTCAATATGCTATTGATCATCATAAAAATAGCAACAGGGGCTAATCAGTAAATGGTAAAGTATAAATTTTTTCCATTTCACATTGAAATCATGTGTTTTTTCAATTCAATTTTGAATTTTGATGTATGTCTGCAATTTTTTATATTATGTGGTTATACAGTGTGTCCCACTTACCATGCTCACCATGGGAATCTTTTTAACGGTGAGAGATACGAGGTCGGTTAAATGACACCAAATCTGGAGAGTTTGTCAAGGCCAACTATAATGTGAAAACATATTTTGATAAAATCTATTCGTTTTTGTTTTATATGCAAAAAACAGATTTCGATCATTTTCATGTCTCCTCCGTATCTTCTATATTTATGAAAATATCCAAATAGGAATTTCACATTCTCATGGCAGTTTTTCAAAGTGATTTCGAAAATAATATGAAATTCATAACAACTCTTCTAGAATTTGAGATATCATCACCAACTTTAGTTTTTCAAATGTAGGTCATAGCTCACTATGACTTAGTTACAAATAACTTTTTTTTCTCTTTCAGATGATCGTGTCGCAGTAATAGTTTTGTGTCGATAACAACGGAGTTATCGTCATTTATACAAAAACAAAAAATTATTTGGAAGCCGCCATCTTGAATTTATGAATTTTAACAAGAAAATCATGATCTCCGACCTCGAAAACCCCCACTCACCAATTTTGAATGGAATCGGACCAAATCTTTTTCAATTCCAACAAAAATTCCATAATGTATTGTCACCGAAATTATGAACACATGCCAAGTTTCAAGTTAATCGGAGTTATTGAATTCTTGTTGAAATTAAAAAAAAATAGCTGCTCCAAGATGGCGGACAAGATTTGGTCCGATTCCATTCAAAATTGGTAAGTGGGGGTTTTTGAGGTCGGAGATCATGAATTTCTTGTTAAAATTCATAAATTCAAGATGGCGGCTTCCAAATAATTTTTTGTTTTTGTATAAATGACGATAACTCCGTTGTTATCGACACAAAACTATTACTGCGACACGATCATCTGAAAGAGAAAAAAAAGTTATTTGTAACTAAGTCATAGTGAGCTATGACCTACATTTGAAAAACTAAAGTTGGTGATGATATCTCAAATTCTAGAAGAGTTGTTATGAATTTCATATTATTTTCGAAATCACTTTGAAAAACTGCCATGAGAATGTGAAATTCCTATTTGGATATTTTCATAAATAAAGAAGATACGGAGGAGACATGAAAATGATCAAAATCTGTTTTTTGCGTATAAAACAAAAACTAATAGATTTTATCAAAATACTTTTTCACATTATAGTTGGCCTTGACAAACTCCACATTTGGTGTCATTTAACCGACCTCGTATCTCTCACCGTTTAAAAGATACCCATTGTGAGCATGGTAAGTGGGACACACTGTATATTGAATTCAGCTAGAGCAGCGTGAGTAATTTGAAGTGGATGTTGATTAAAGTTTTGTTTTTCTTTTATAAAAAAATTAACGTTGAATTTTATTTGAAATGCAGGAGATTTGAAGTTATTTTAGAGCTTTGTTCTTCTTTGATGAGAATGTAAAAAGTTTCAAAAAAGGAAGTTCCTTCAGCTCTTTGTTTTATTTTTATTGACTATCCATGCTTTGTGACTGAAAAAAAGGAATGTCCTAACGTATTTTGCATTGGGGCCAAAAAAAATCTAGTTACTCCACTGGTTTCAATTATTTTGGATTAGTTCATACAATTCTGCATAAATATTATCCAAATCTGTAATGTTGAAAGACATCAACGTTGAACTTGGACCAATCCAACATCAATTACAATGTTTTTAGTTGTTTTCAATGCATGTACTCCAAAGTGTTCATGAATATTTCAGATTTCCAAGTTTTTAATCATTTTTCTCGTAAATCTTTCGTCTTCTTTCTAAAGAAATTGGAAAAACAGTTCATGAAGGATTTTTGACAATTGAACTATGGATAGATCACGTAAAATCAAGGATTCATACATCGCTAAATTTCTTTGTAGAAAACATGCATCAACTGTATAATGAGAATGAGACACTACTCATTACACAAATAATAATAATGTGGTGAAAGAAAGAAGTGCAACCGCTGAAGTGATACTTACACAGAAGATGTATGGAAATCAAGCAGACTCGTATTTTTCACCAAGAAATGAAGAGAAACACATATTATAAGAGTGCAATAAGTGAAATTGTGAAATACTTCCAGAAAAAAACATAGTCTCCGAAAAATCATTGATGCAGTTGTGATCAATTGAGGATGAACTAACTATGTGTAAACCCAAAGCCTACTGACAATAATAATATTTGACGATACAAGATGATTTATAGGTAATTAGCAGACATTTTAAGAAAGTAAGATCTTTTGTAAATAAGGTTTTCAGACACTTTATTCTTATTCTCCGAGTAGTTTATTAGCTAACCAAATATTTTTCTTGTGGGCATATCGAAATTCTTGTGACTAATTTACGCTTGATATTCTATGAAATGCACACCTCTGACATGTTGAAGAAAAACATCCCAAATGAACAAACCATACAAAATGAAATGAATGAATTGGACATACAGACAGAAAGAGAATAATTATGTCCTCTATCCTAGAAGAAACTGTGATTGGAATAGAGATAGACCAACATATTTGTGACCAAAGGGAGGAAACAAAAGGACAAAATGAAGGAAGACTGCATCTACTTGTGTCAGCATTAGAAATATCAAGCTGTAAAAGTTACCTGAATTGATATGTCTCCTTGAAAATCGAAATTTTGTTGATTCTTTGGTTATGGTGAACTACGAGTAGATCATCAAGATGTCATGAATATGGTAGTCTTGATAGGAGAGTTGACTCTCTTCTAGCTGAGACACTATACAGGATATCAACGAGCCATGGTTTTCAGAGTTCCGAAGGTATGAAATTCAAATTTGGCAAGGGTGTAGGATTTGACAATTGGAAAACTTTGCAATACTTCATACTCTCCCATCACTTCCAGTTTCATTGGAAACGACCCCTACTTTCGATTTCCAAATGGGGCACCCTGTATTTGCGTTCGCAATTTCCATATGCTCAATGAGTGTGAAAGAGAAAGAAGTTTCTGTATAGCGCCGTCGAGCATATTGGACCATCGAACATATATATCTTCATGATTGTTTGAAATAACCCTATCAAACTTGGTATCGTTGAATTCGTTATGATTATGGAATAAAATACAGGGTGTCCCATTTAGAAATCGAAAGTAAGGGTCGTTTCAGGTGAAATCGGTCATAATGGGAGAGTATAAAATATCGAAAAATGTTACTATTCTTGAATCCAATACCTCTGCCAAGCTTGAGTATCATACCTTCAGAACTCTGGAAACTATAGAACTATAGCGTGTCTAATGAATACGTTGACACCCAATATGTAAAAAGAATCGACTTATGTGTTCAACTTGTTGCTCGACTTGTTGCTCAACTTGTTGTTTCCTCTCTATGGCTGGAATCTGTTTTGCCCAAACATGCATAGGAGATTCCTATATACTGAGAAACGTCTAGGGTGCAACAAAGTAACATATAATCTATGTGCGGGTAATTGCTTATGTCGACTAAATTCTTTCTTGAAAAGGAACATTTTCAGAATCGTGATTGGGTTTTCCCAATTCAGAATTTCATTCCACGACTTGATGATGAAGATCGTGCACTGTAAATGAATTCTTTCTTCATAGTATCTGCGTGACGCAGTTCTCTTAGGGTTCGGATTCCACGCCGTCGACCCGGATTAAATTCCTGTGACAGTCTGCTTTTCTTTATTCTGTTTTCTCGAGTGAATTTCCGAAAATAGTTATTTATTATACAAGGGAAAAAAGTTGTAGATTTTAGCTCCAGGTTGTGTTGTCTCCCGACGCGTAGCGGAGGGAGACAAAAAACCGTGAGCTAAAATCTAATATTTTTCCCGTGTATAATACACTATTTTTTTCTGTGACAGAAGGAAGGACGAATCAATATTGAGAAGATATTACATTATTTCGAAATCTGAAAATTATCGACGTGAAATTTCAAGTTTTTAACAGTAGGGACACCTGCGTTTTATAGGCATCTTTATCATTCTTTTGAAGTAATCAAATATCTGATGTCACTTCTGTCAGTTCAATTCTGTGATTTGATTTTAAAAAATTGCGAATTCAGTAGTTGTTTAGTAATATACGAAACCGCGAAGTCGAATGGAAGATAAAAGGACTTGCAGTTCTTTCTCGGAGACGGTATTATTGACTCATTTTTCGGAACTATAGCACAACAAAAGCCATTAACAGAGTATATATATGTGATATATATCCGGGAAAGAAGTACTCACTTTTTTCCCACGGGAAAAAAGTAATTTATGAAAAGTGACATTTTATAACCTGCCAACAGAGATGAACTGCCAAACTTTTTTCCCGTCACAGAAAAAATTAACTTTTTAGTGAGAAGGGTCATTTAGGCCAAGTGAGATTAGATGATTGAAAGAAAAGTAGTCTCCTTTCTTATGCAGAAGGGATATATCCCTTCCTCCCTGAAAAAAGTATTGTGAAGGCATTTACTGTTAAGGCTGATAGTGGTTCGCTATTTCAATGATGTCATTATTTCAGGATCGGCCGTGAGCGAAGCTCTCTGCCAGAAATTATTCAAATTCTGAAGGAATCATTTTACTTGAAAAATGCAATTATTAAAGAGTTGTAAAAAACACCCCGTATGAAATATTGTTCGGAAAATTAATATGGGAGTATTTGTGAGGAGTCTGAATCCATTGCCGTTATCAAATAGTTTGTAAAAAATGCCTAATGCGTGTTCTTCAATTTTGCTGGAGTTTTCGTGATCGCAGCAGGCTAAGAAATTGAAAATTTTGTTTTGCTCGACAAAGTAGATAATTTTGAGAAGTATATTATGAGAAGCAAAAATTATTGAATCGTCCTAGGAATACGAAAGTACAGGGGTGGGGTGGAGCGAATTGTAACACACTGTATGTTTGAGCAAAACGGATTCGTGCCTCTCATTGCTCACCTGTTGAATAATCACCTGCAGCAGCACCATCTTGATGATCTAGCCTTCGCCTCGTCCCCCGGTCAAAAGCGAATCTCTGACACCCGCCCTCTTTTCCTGCAGGTCGCCGCCCACCAGAGCCGCCCGGCCGCCCGCGCTCCGACTCTCGCTCGCCCAAACGGCGATCGCGCAGTCGCAGCTCGCGTCGCTCTCGCTCGTCGAGCGGCTCGCGCAGCCGTTCGCGCAGCTACGGCAGCCGCTCGAGGAGCTATTACAGCCGGTCGCGCAGCCGCAGCGGCTCGTACTATTCGAGATCGAGGTCGAGGTCGCGCAGTTATTCTGGCGACAGGCGGCGGTACAGGAGCCGTGGAGGATTCCGGGGCAGGTGAGTCGTGCAATAATGATGGTATTTAATAATAATAATAATAATCTTTATTATTCTCAAGAAACATATAATAAAGGAGGTATATTCATATTATATTCCTTGAACAAAGACAATATGAGTTTCTAAATAACATTTTTCATTTTAGCCCTTTCTATTCGAGATACAGGGTGTCAAAGTTGAAAATCAAAAACAGTTTTTTTTTCAATTACTCGCGTATCCAATAAGATATCTCAAAATTGGTACATTATTTCAGCACAAAGAGTTGCATCGTGTGAGGCTTTAAATGTAGAAGAAGGTATGAGCACATTTCAAAAATCATTTTTTCATATTTGGGTTTAATTAACCCCCAAAAATACATTTTTTCTTTCAAAGGAATATGTTTTAATTTTCTTCATAATAATTATTATCACTTGAAGTGAGTCATATAAGTTTCTCTATTTTAATCTCATCACCTCCGATTTAAGCAATGACTACTAGAAAATAATATTTGGAAGTTGTGTTGTACTGAAATTGAAAATGAAATTGATGGTTTTGAAAATATTGGAAAATTGGCGACAATGTAGTTTTTTTCAACATCCACTTGAACAAATATATCATGTGTTACTTCTGGAATTCATATTATGTTCCAAACTCTCATTTATTACTGAGTGAGTCTATCAGAGTTTTGCAGCAAATTATCAAAATTCAGTTGAAAATCTTTTTAAAACAGATGTTGACACAATTTTTTTTTCTAATTCTCTGGACACTTGCGTCAGACTAATATACATACAGAGTGACCCATTTGAAAACGGGCCGCCCACATACATTTCTTATTTATGGATCTATTTTAACGATTTTTTTTATGAAGGGGGAGGTACGGTATTTTGGAGCTGTTGCGTCCACTTTTTCAGAAAACCAAGGCCTACCAGATCACATTCAGAAGCTGAAAAATCCAAGATCAATATTAGAGATCATTTTAGTAAGAATTCTGCGTACATCACTGAAATCGGCTTCCTCTGAAATAAATCTGTACCAAGTTTCTCATTTCGAATGGCTCCCTCTCTATATCACAAGCTATTAGTCCTGCGATCTTTACCAATTTGGGACCGGTATGAATGATCAGTTTATCAGAAACATCCTCTTGGACAGTGCCGTGCTTTTGAAATGAAAAAGAATTTCTTGTGAAATCATATTATATTTTTCTTTGGAGAAAACTAACTTCATATTATTGTTCCTCATGCTTTTGAACCTCCATATGCAAAAAATCACCTCATTCCAAATTAACAGGATTGGCTTCATTTTTTTTTTTCATTTTCAGTCTCGGAGAAATAATTAATTCAAATTAACTATAAATTTTGGAATGATCTATAGTTCCGTCAGGTAGAAAATCGTGATTTGTAAGAAAGAACAAGAAATACTATCTTATTTTGGACCGTTTCCGAGTAAATACTCATTGCTTTCGCAAAAATGCTGCTCAAATGTAAATTCACAGTTTTGCTGTAAAACACTCCTAATATAACATGTATCATAAAAATAACCTTTTTTCATTTTAATATAAACGCACGGCACTGTCCAAGAGGATGTATGTCTCTGTAAAATTTATTATATTGATGGTCATTCATACCTGTCCCAATTTGATGAAGATCGCATGACTAATAGCTGAGATATTGAGGGGGGGCGTTGGATGTTGAATATTCTTTCATGAATCTTGGTACAGATCTATTTCAGAGGAATTGGAAAATGTTCAAAGAAAAATGGATAGATAATATATTGAAAAAATATCAAATCTTTACTCAGCTCAGCTTTAATCTGGATATTTTGGAATCGAGCCCGTTTTTAACATAAAGAATTAAAAATATTCTCCTTCTCGAACTTCATGAAAATATTGAACTCATGATAAATTCATGAAAACATCCTGTAGCTCATTTGTTTGCATGAAAATCTGTCACTAAGAAACCATCGAAGGCGGCTGGTAGGGGCTCTCGTTTTATGAGTTGTATTCATATGAGCGCCTCGCGAGAGTTGCGCACACTGCATCCATCATTCTGGCTTCCAACATAACTGCGTTTGAATTTCAAAAGTTTTATCGCTGAAACACGAGGTTGGTTGGTCTTGTATGGGTCAATTCGGAAGATATTAGAGATACTGACTGACCACCAGTTTTTTTTCCATAACTTTGTCGTCATTATAGCAATCCCTTGATGCGAATATTTCGTTTTTACACAGATACAACGACAGAGGCACCTACTACAAGCCGAGGTTCCAGAACCCGAGGCACAACGGGCCGAGAGGTCGCGGCGGGTACTACAACAATCGCGACTCGCGGTACGGCGATAGGGACTTTAGGGGCGGCAGGGGCAGGCCGTTCCAGAATAGGGGCAGAAGGCCGAGGGGCAGGTTCGCCAGGGGTGGCTACAGGGACTACAGAGACAGGAGGTGAGTGATTGAATGGAAAACGAAGAGAATGTTTTAGTCTTAACTAGAGGAGGATTATCTTCTGCAGATTTATTCCAAATGCGCAAAGTGTTACTTTTCCGTACGTAAAAACAGTTTGGCGAACGACTCGAAGCAGAGTTCGTATAAGTTTTTGCGTGCGGAAAAGGTATTTTGCGCACGTGTTAGGAACAACATTTTTCCTGCAAGCTTCATTTCATATAACAACGAAAATTAAAACAAGCGCCAGCCAATCTAAAAATGGTGACGACTTAGAAGGTTTGATTGAGTGCCTCTCTCATAAGTCTGGAACTCCACTTTTTTAGAAAGTTTGACCTCTTTAGGGGTCGGTATCCCACAGTTTGCTTCTTTAAAAACGATGCTAGCTTGAAATTTTGACTCAAATTCAAGTCAATTGTAATTCTGCAAAATAGGCTAGGAACACCTCCTTCTTGATACTGTTTGTCCCTTTGTTGTGGCGTCATTTTCAAATATTGTTTCTCTAAACTTTTGTAGAGATTTTGCGGACAGTAATTTCATCAAACTTGTAAAGTTTTCTGCCTAATAGAATGGAATCTGATAGCTCGTCGTCAGAACTGCTCATTTTAATAGCTCTTAAACCTCATTTGATTTAATGACAGAAAACGCGGAAAATTTTCACATGTCAACGTTGACAAGTGCATTTATTGTTGTTTGAAATATATTATTTATACAAGGTACTGTTTTAAGCTGAAATACATACAAATATCGGGAATTACCGTTGAAAGGTAGTGAGGAATACATTTCCAACGGCTTCTCATATTGCTTAAAATAGTCTTCAGCAACTAAAATGAATTTAAGTTTTCCATACTAGTGAGATATTTTAGTAGTTTTACTTTTCCGCACTCAGTGCGGAAAAAAATCATATCCGCAAGGGAGTATGTTCACTTTGTATAGAAAAAAAATGCTCATGCGATGTTCGTGGATCCGGATCTCTCTTCCTCTCTTGCTGCATTTTTTGTACCACAATGTGATGACATGTTTGAATGATTGAATTGCCGAAAAACAGAGGAATTGAAGGGTTGAAATAGTTTTTCACAATATTTTGGCATACGAATCGTGTTTCTTGCGCTTTTCATTAATTCACGCATGCCTTCGCATTGTGCTGTTGTACAATGCACAAAAAATGTAGCGAGAGACGAAGGAATATAATTTTTCTGGTAAATAGTACACATAGTTTTTATTATGAAATGTTGTCATTCCTTATTGAAATTCCTTCTGCCACTTCTGCAATACAAGCTAATACTGCTAATAGATTGAAAATGTCTACAACACACATGATCTTCTTCGTCAGCATGTCAGACCAGTCTTCCCATTTGATTGCATGAATCCAATCTTCTTGCATTATTTTAAAAATTTCACGTGTATTTCTATCAGCTCCTATTGCAGAAGGAATTTCGATGAGAAATCAGAGAAATTACCAAATTTCAAAAATTGAAACTATATGTGAGTGACTATAGTAGGTACTTACTTTCAAATCATAATGTTCCTTCGTCTTCCGCTGCAGTTTTTGTGCATTGTACAACAGCACAATGTGATGGCATGAGCGAATTGATGAAAAGCCGAAAAATACGATTCGTATGCCAGAATAATTGTGAAAAACTATTTCAATCACTTGTAAATAAATAAGAAAAGTGAGGTTGTGTTTCAATGTTTACCTTCAGGGTCGGTCATCTGACAGTTCTTGCACGCAACCCATTGCAATGTGACATATTTTTCGATAACTTATCTTTCAGTAAGGACTCGAGCACAATATTCATCGATCACATTTTATCTGAAAGGACTTTCAGGTACGACAGAAGCAGGTCGAGGGACAGAGACCGCAGCCGGTCGTACAGCGGCAGCCGTTCGGAGGGCGATCGCTCGCCCAAACGGGACAGATCCGCCGATAAGGAGAAGGTGAACAAGTACGCGGACGGCGAGGCGCCCGTCAGACACGACGGGCCGCTCAGCGAGGGCGAGGACAGGGACGATTACAGTTCGGCGGCGGCGGCTGGGGCGGCTGCGGGGGCAGGTGCTGCTGATACCAGGTAGGTGTTGGGCGGGCGGTTTTCTAGCGTTCGGATAGCATTAGCAGCATGGAATGACTTCTCAATGGCCACGTTTATACCATGTCTTGGTAAGCTGACTAATGACTATGTTTTAACAAAATACTGCAATGGTCCGTTAGTTTCTGTGAATGAACACTCAGTATCATAAAGGTAGATTGAAGGGGTTGTCAAGGGAGACAAAAAGAAGAGGGTGGAAAGGAATAAATAAATGGGAGAAAAAAAAAGAAAAAGGGATTTTGGTAAAAGAGAGAATCCTATAATTTCAAAGAATTCTGATTTGAAAATCAGCAAGAATAACATTATAGAACGAGAGCTTCCACTGTATCAACTTGGGTTGATTGTACCAGCCATATATGGGAATATAGATGGAAATGTAGATGATCCTGATCCTTTACGTATATACTCTAACATCGGAATACTAATCGTATATGGAAGGTTGGGATGGTTCAAATTTGAAAATAACATTGAGTACATCTGAGAGCAGGTAGGAGACACTTTAATTTGAATATCCAGTATTAAGAGAGATGCGCAGTTCCGAAAGAGAGCCAGGTCCATTTCCAGACGTCAGTCAATTGAATTCTTCAGGAATATAAATTTTGAAATCATCAATCTAAATTTGTAAAGGATTCTGGCCAGAATTTCTATTGATTTATCAATTTCGAATCAATTCATATAATTTCATGTCACTGTCATTTGCGCATTGTCAGTCGTAACTACCGAGTGTTCATTATATGTTGTATTACTGTGAAGTTCACCGTTTATTTGTGGAATTAAAATGATATACCCTGAGATCGTTACAATACTCTTAGTCAGTGTGGTATAAACTGAACACTTGATGAAGTTACCAACTTGGTTTGGTACTGAAATTTGTTGCTTACCAGGCTAAAATAGTATGATGACCAAGACTGTGTAAACACTTTGGTCTACTTTTGTATAGCCTTGACGACTTGACTTGAGTGCAAGTGGCAGTTATTTCATGAGTTCTCATAACAATATTTCTTTCAATTTCAGCTAATTTCTCGAATCTTAGGAAAAGGTTTCATTCTTAATTTCCGAATCCAAGTGGAGTTCCACAACCCAACCTCAAAAAAATATTCAAATTAAAACAGAGTTGGTAACGTTAGTCAACTGAAGATACATGGTGTAAACATGTGTTAACTATGGCATTTGGTCTGAATTTAGTTAGATCACCTTGGTAAGCATACCAACTACCCATACATACGGTATAAACGTGGCTAATATGGTGCCTTCGTCGTTTTCATCAGCTGATTGGGGGACAAACAGAGCTGCGTGTGAATTTTGATATCATTCTGTATGACCCATTGCTGATTTTGTTGAAATCTTAGATAATATACGAGAAAAAAGTTATACGTTGTTGTAAACTATCTTTTGAGGTATTTTACGAGGTATAATAAAAATACCAGAGCTGAACTTCAAGTAAATCCTGTAATTTTAAATTGACCAATAAACCAATTCATTCTCTTCATGGGACTCATTCACTGTTGTCACAGTATTCACGATGAATGAATTAACAAACATGTCAATGAATAAATGCTCCAGGTATTGTATTAAAGTGAGAAATGTGCAAGAAAGTTACATGTACCGTTACGGAAAATGTTTATGCTTGTCCCCCTCATCAGCTGTTCAATGGCCGACAATTTCACATTATATGACGTCAGTGCTCTATTGTTTTGTTTCTAATAGATGAACCTATTCCAATAGACCATTTTCCGCTGATTATTATTTGCATAATAACATGATATTTTCAAGAAAGAAGAGAATAGATATAAAATATAAGGGAATCGGGCAAGGGTTTGAATGGAGTCATGCGATAGGAATACAAAAAAATTGCAGTATCACCTTTGGTGTAGCGGTTGAAAACTATGAAAGGTCCATCAAATGATTTCCCTGGTATATAAAATCTCTGATTTCGAGAGGTATACATACATACATAAATAAATCTATTAGGTAATAATAATCCAGTTTTCAGACAATAAAATTGCAAAGGGCCAAACATGAATTTCTCTCTATCAAATTCACTTTTGAATGCGGAAATAACGGTCAATTACCATTCTTGGATGTATTTGTGATCCAAAATGACAAAAACAAATTAGATTTTGATAGGAAACTAACCCACTTACGAATTTTACGACTTTTTAAGCGGATAAAAACAATCCGAGAAAAATCCCTATCCTGTTCAATCTCAAGTACACAAGATGCCTTGATAAGGTTTTCAAAGACTTAAGTTCTGAAAGTGTTTATCAGTCTGGGTCAAAGTTAGGCAATTTATCAGTTAATCCAACAGAAGAGATAGACACACTTGAAAAGTCGGCAATATACGAAATTAGTTGTAATGATTGTGATAAAACATATATAGGCCAAACCAGGCGTCCCATAAAAACAAGGTTCAAAGAACACTTAGCACATTTGGAATATGATAGGTTAGATAAATCGTGTGTAGCCGAACACATGTTCAATCACAATTATAACACACATATTAATAACCTCAAATTAGTTGGGCAAGTTGATAATGTTAGGAAATTACATGCATATGAAAGCTTAGAGATATTTAGGAATAGTAAAAGAGTAATAAATAAGGATCATTGTCTGCTAAATATGGAGAAAAAAATCTAGTGAGCTGGAGTATCTGGTCTGCTCAAACAAGGAAAATCACCTACAGGGTTCTGTGGCCGATACAGTAGTACCGCCATACGGTCAACTCGAGGAAACACTTATTTCAATTGTTTTCCTGTCAAACCGACATAACCTTGAAAATCGTAAATGAGTTGAGCCTCCCTCAGCGGTGGCGGTAGTAGTAGTAGTAGTAGTATCGATTATTAGCTTTTGATCAGGGCTCTGATTTTCTTACTTGTAATGATCCTGTAACACTTAATATAGAATGTATCCACTTATGTTGCAAAGAAATATCACTTGGAAATCAATGAATGGAGACGGTTGCACACTTTCTGGTAGGCACAATGAGAGGAGACAGAGTTTGTTACAAATTTATCAGAATAAACTATTATAACACTAGGAGCACAACACAAAACTGTATCTATGAACGAAAGGAATATTAGAACAATAAGAATTGAAAAAAAATGAAATTTTAGGAAAAAAATACGAAACAAGTGACGATGGCAAGACAGCTCTTGACACTGACAACTTACATAACCACAAATATCGAAAATTTTCTAGAAAAACGTTAAGATCATTCCGTCCGATACCGTAACATCCTCTAGTGGTCATACACTCAACTGAGCTATAGGGAAGACCAGTAGTTCCAGCTCACTAGATTTTTTCTCCATATTTAGCAATGGTAAGGATAATGGACCTTTACCATTTAGCCCTCTGTTCAATCAAAACCAAATATCAATTTTAATATTCAAATTTAACGCGAACTGTGAGAATTTTATTTTATTTTCAAAGTTCACGCATGACATTTTGTTGATGTTGCCAATAAAAGAATATTCAATTTGATATCCCGAACCCAAATTGGACCACATTCTGCGTAAAATGGTCTCATGAACTATTTTCATAATAATGAAAATATACAGAATTGGAACAAGTAATTAAACATGCTAGATAGAGAATACAAAATTCAGGGCACTCCAGAAAAATAATAGATTATGAGTAATTCCATACTTCAGTAAAAAAACTGCATGGGCAATTTGAGAAATAGAGGTCTTAGAACAAATATCTAGTTTTTCTGGTACAATGACAATTGAGCAAAATCCATTTCTCATTGCAGTAAGTTAGTTGATAGAGACGCTTTTGCTGGAAAGTGGGCGGACAAAGAGGAGGACAAAGAAGCCTCTGGTTCTAAAGATCCCATACCATCGGAAACGAACATCGAGGAGATGGACAAGTTCCTGGACAAGGTGAAAAAGGACAAGAAGGAGGAGATGCTGGAGAGGAATAAGGATTTATTGAAAAATAAAACTTGGTGAGTGTTTTATCTATCATTTTATGCAGTGTTTTTGTTGAATCTTATTGGATTGTTTTATTTTCAGATCTGCTCGGAAGTTTTAAAGTGAAAAGTGTTTTTTTAACATTGCATAGACTTTCTCCTGTTCCAAAACTGCGTGTTTTAGAAGTTTTAGGTTTGCTGAAAGCAGTTATAATCATTAATATCATTACTTTAATCTATGATACAATTATTATTCATGTTCACAGTTGTAAAATATATAATTTGTATTCAGTGATCAATTACTGGAATTTTTTGTTTTATTTCCGATAGGAACTTCATTATATCTTTTGGTAAGAGTCGGAAAGAACCATGAAGAGAAATGTTGAATTTATTCACCCATTAAATAAATTATCACACAATGACCGGGTGTCTTTTTCAGGGACACTGACGATATTTTCCAACTGTTGATCGTCTCTTCAATATTTTATATCGCCGATGTCCATCTCCGAAATGGACACCCGGTACATACTTTACATATTTACATTAGCTTAAAAAGAAAGAATTAGAAATCATTGTTTGACTTGTTCTTTTCGGATATAGTCGGTGTAAGAAGTAATCAAATCGTCCATTTTGTATCCCTGCGACGTTTCGCACAAGATTTTCGTCTTCATCATGATGTTTCCTATCGTCAAATGGAAATAGGTGTTTCCTGAAGACCAGTTGCTCAGCTCGGAGTATTCGTGGGTCGCCAAAATATCCTGAAAAAGTAATGGTGGCTCAGTACATTCTTATACTGTATTTTATATACTGGGTAATTCAAATTCAAGGGCCACCATTGGGATATCGGCAACTATGGAAAATACAAAATCGGCAAAATTAGGGCAAATTTTAGCATTTATGTAACAAAAAATATGCCCCTGGGAACATTTCTAAATTCCGAGTATTTCCGGAGATATACGAAAACAACAGAAATTTTGCATCATATATTTTCTGGCGTTATTCGTTCAAGAATATCAGAATTGATAGTACATTTCTAAATGTAAAAACTTCACAAACGATAAGATTTCCACAAAATTCTCAACCACATGACATGTTTCTCTAACACAGTAGCTTCGTCAGGTGATATACTGTTACAATGACGAAGCTACTGTTTTAGCGGAACATGTGTGTTTGAGAATTTTGTGAAAATCTTATCGTCTGTGAAGTTTTTTCATTTGTCATGGATTTCCATCAAGTAAGTAACGGATTCAATTAAAAAAAAAACACTTCTTCCCTGCTATACGATGTCATTTTCAGATTCACTATCCGACGTTTCGTCTTTACGCCACCATCAACAACTTGTTTTTTGAATTTTTATTAATAATAATGGGGAACCTGAAGATATCATCGTATAGTAGGGAATAGTGGCAATGTAAATGTGCTCTCAATCTTGATATTCTCCAACAAATAACGTCAGAAAAAAATGAAATTGATTTTCCAACATTTCTGTTTACTTCGAAAATCACCGGAAATACAAGTTCTCGACGGCATATTTTTAGTCATGTAAATGCGCAACTTTGCCTACTTTAATTATCCTTTTTTTTTTTTTTTTTTTTTTTTTTTTTTGAGATCCCAATGGCGGCCCTCGAATTTGAATTACCCAGTATATTTGAATGGGGGTGAGCTTCATGGTAGGAACTGAGATATATTTGATAGATATTAGTATAAATTAAACTCAAAATTATCCAAATGATTGTTTTTTTAATGAAACTCTGGAAAATAAAATATGGCAGCAAGTTCGCAATATAAATGTCAACGACTGACTGCTCGAATTGTGCTGACTGTTCGAATTATTGTGCTTTTTGCCCGGTCATCAGATTTGCTTTGGACCCAGTCTCCGAGGGTGATGAAATCATCAGTGGCGGGTACTTGAAAGCTAACATATTTCATAACCAAGATCATCTTGAAAGATATCATGTATCTTTATATTAAGAATTATGAACCACCCTGTATTCGTTCGAATTAAATATCAGTAGATAGTAAATCAAAAGTTGAGATAAGGACATGTAAGCCGTTTTGTCTAATAATGAATAATTTCGAGACAAACAAGTCCCAAAGTTGAAAAATCTCGATTTACTATAAATGTAAAAACTTCAAAAACGATGAAATTTCAACAAAATGTTAAGTCGCACGACATGTTTCGTTAACACAGTAGCTTCATCAGGTGAAATACTGGTACCAGTAGTGTGACTTAAAATTTTGTGGAAATTCATTGTTTTTGCATTTGCTATGGATTTCCATCAAGTGACGGCCGAGTCAATTCAAAAAGTACTTACTTTAGTAAGAGGATGAATGATGTTCACACCGCGCCTGTTGATAGCTATAATAATGACTTCCGGATAGGAAGACTCGGTGGTTTGCTTGACCTCGAAGAAAGCCGATCCGAAAGTGGGCCACTTGTAAGTCACCTTCAAGAACTCCGTCTTCGCTTGCTCCCTACTCATACTCAACGTCCTGTACTCCGCCAAAATGGTTTTCTTCCACTCCGAACCGCTCGCAGCCTTCACAATATCCGACGGTATGATGTCTTTGATACTATGTTGCAAAGTGGACTGCACCTAAATCAATGAATGAATATCTTCATTTTCCTTTAGACTTTACGAGAAAGTAAAGTGATGGTCAGGTTGATGGGTTGTTATAAATGTAAATAATGATGAAGATGGAAAGGCTTTTTCCTCCTACCCCTATAGAAAGTACACACTTTCCTCCCTCAAATCAGGGAGGAAAGTCATACTTTTCCTCCCCCTCATTTCAAGTAAGTTGTAAACGATGAAACTTGTGAATTCATTATATTCATATTGTTTCCATAATTTCTAGAACATCCTGTATATCCTGTTTTTTGGTAAAAATCAAACATTGATGTTACTTCAACGTAGTTCTTCAATACAAATTTCAACTTCAGGAATCTTAGATATACGTTTTTTGAGTTCAGAATAAGAAAAGCATAGTATGCTGTGGCTCACTGACAGTAAACACGGCGATTGACTTTTAAGGTGCAAAGTCGCTATATTCATTAAACTTAGTTGAATTTTTGAAAAATGGAGAGCGATTAAGTGATTTTGAATTTCCAAATACACCACCTAATATTAAGGAACTAGCCAACATAGCGTCATTAACCTTACTACCACAAAAATCTAGACAGGTATGAAAAACAATATGCACAATATAAGCAATGGGCTGAAGACCACAAGATAAATACATAAATATTCAGAGAATGTTTTACTGGCATATTTTTCACAACAAGGAAAATCATTAAAAGCTTCAACACTTTGGTCTAAATATTCAATGCTACGCACAATGATACAAATGAAGGACAATGTCGATATTAAATATCCAAAGTTGATTGCATTTCTAAAACGTCAAAATGCCGGATACAAACCAAATAAAGGTAAAACTTTTACAAGAGAAAAAATAAATACATTCTTAATGGAAGCCCCCGATGATGTTTTTTATTAATGAAGGTAAGAAATGGAATCCCATGCAAATAATTTCAATAAAATATCAACATTATATAGAAAATCGTTAAAAGTATTGTATCGTCTCCCATTTGATACACCAATGAAATAACAAATACGTATTCTTTAGATGAAATATATAGAATTGAAACTCTCAAAATATCATATAATATCATAAATAAAAAATTGAAATCGAATATTATTTTGATACGGAATTCTCAAATTCATAATCATGAAACTAGACAATATAACTTGTTCCATCTTGACGCCGCTAGCTCCCTAATCGGACAAAAAAGATTCACTCATTCAGTCTTAACTGAATTCAATAAACTACCTGATAATATAAAAAATTGCAGAAATATAGGTATATTCAAAAATGACGTAAAAAAACTAATTATTTCTATTTCTCAGCGGACTGGATAAAATTAATCATGCCATTTTTTTTTTTTTATTTACAAATATTATTCTTTGTTTGCTAATTTACAGTTGTTGATATATTTTGAATGATGATATGTTTACCTATAGGTATATAATTATGTTATACCAGAGCCTATTCTGCCTGGAAGTTATTTGTTCAATAAATAAATAAATAAAATAAATAAATAGGTAGTTCTTGTTATTGGAATTTCTGGAGCATGTCGATGTGATGAGCTTATTAAAATGACTATGGATGACAATCTTTTAGTCATTAATATCCCCACTTCAAAAACGTATAAACAACGAACTTTCGTTATCAATACTACAACAGGTAACGGCCCAAATTTTGTTCAAATCGTTAAAAAGTATATCTGTCTACGTCCTAAAACTGAGCATAAACGATTGTTGGTATGCTTTAAAGCAGGCAAATGTATAAATCAAGCGGTTGGCAAGAATAGTATATCCAAAATACCACAAAAAATTGCACAATATCTCAATCTTCCAAATGCCGAACATTACACAGGGCACAAATTCAGAAGAACTTCAGCAACTCTGTTAGTAAACGCTGGTGGGGATATTTTAGCCCTAAAACAGCATGGCGGTTGGAAATCAACCAATATCGCAGAAGGTTATGTAGAACAATCTTACAGAAAAAAAAGAAAAATTTCTGACCAAATTATGGAAAATAATGTAAAACCTGAACTTGATCAAAATCAGCCAAGCACTTCTAGAAGTTACCACAATTACAATGTGCTAAGCGAAAATATTTCAAATACTAAAGCTCCTGTTCAAATCTTCTTCCAATCCAATGGTGTTCATATAAGTGCTGCTCAAAACTGCACATTCAATATTAACATAATTCTAAAATATAGTTGAACAATACTATGTACATAATTGTATATAATTCTTGTGTATTTGTGTCGTAAATAAATTTTCAAAAAAAGGTGGGTAGGAGGAAAAATCATATGTATCACATGGGAGTAAAGTGCCTTTTCCTCCCTAGTAATACAAATAGCTATTTCCTAGTTGAGTGTCAAATTAGATGTTGAAATTAGAAAAAGTTACTAACCTCGGAGATGTTACCCTCGTAGGTGGCCCTTAGAATAAGGGCGGCCAGTTTGACGGCGTCGTTCTTGTTGCACTTGTGGTACCCTTTGAGGAATTTGGGCACCTCTTGGTGGTAGTGGAATATCTGGTCGGCGTACGGGTCCCGTTCGGGGACGGTGTTCACCCAGAGTTTCTTCATGAAGAAGACTTGGTACTGCGCTTGGATTTGTTGGGCGCCTAAAAGAAACGAATCGCATGAATGGACTTCATTAGCTATCAAATTTGGTTTGCTAACATAGCAGGTTATCATATGACAAAATCGTGAAACTTGCAAGATATCGACTTGCATAACTTTTGCAGACTGATTTCTTCAAATAGTCGAGAATACTAATTTCCAGAAAAGATACTATTATGTTCATCAGGATGAGAAAAGGCACATAGAATATTTTCATTTTTTTATCCGTTCTAGATTCTCTAAAATGAATTCCCAAAGAAATGTTCCTGTTAAAACACGAAGGAAAATCGTCAGCGGTACTGACGTCACAGGTTCTTCTAGTGAGATAAACAGCGTTGCCGACTCAACCGATTCTTCAGTTAGTTTGGATATTTTGAAATTAATCGCTCTCAAGATTTAACTGATGAAACTCACTTGTACTTGTTTTCTTATACACTGGATTGTGTCATACACGTAGTAATAACAAAGAAATAAAACACATCCTTACTCCCCCAACTGGGCTTCGTCTGCCCTTTGATAACAATATTTATCAAAAAATGAATTGCAATTTAGGAATTGTAGCAATGAATTACAATTAAACGAAGTATAATTTGTCCCTGAGTTTGAACCCCATCAACAACAGATTTTGTATGGATTTTTTTTAAAACCTAGTAAATCATCTACATGTATTCTATACAGACATCTAACTCAAGAAATCATTGTCAAATCGAGCTGCCAGCTAACAAAAAGCGAACTAGTAAGAGTAATCTTCAGCATTTTCACACAACGAAAAAAATTCAAGAAAGCCCAGGGGAAAAATACATGAATCTTTGTTCCTATGACCTTGCATATTGTTCTTCACCGATACGCGAAGATTCGCCTGATTAAAAGTTTTACAGCCCTTGATTATTTACACTAGGATGAACCATCCTTATGAGAGCAATGAAGCCAGAATTTCTATTCGGTAGGTGGCAGTATCTATGAGCGACAAGGTTAACTAAGTACTTTTGTTTAGTAGTCAAGGGTAGAGATCGGTGATGCAGAATATATTCGAAGTATATTTTTAGATGTTTTATGCAAGATGGAATGCCGCATCAGGGCCGGATTAAAATGTGTTTATTTAAGAACTTTCAGAACATCGAAATTAGTGATTTTCTTGCTTGAGAAAGAAGGATATTCCTAGGTACTCCACGAACCATCTTGTTAGTGTGAATAATCATAAGTAATATCACGATGTTCTGAATATTCGAGATAATTCTGTCGCTTATTATGATTATGAATTATGAGAAGATATTCAGAACAGAGTGGTATTTTGCTAGAGTATTTCACGTTCACGAAGCATAAAAAGCATTTATTATAAATGAGTGATTCATTGTGACAAATAGAGCCATAATTATGTATGCCAAACTGGCAGAGGATTTGGGTTAATTATAACAGAGGTGGCTATGTCCTTATTGACTTCTGGTTCATAAAACGACGAAAACTATACCTTGGTAGTAAAAACACACTTTACTCCTTTAAAATGATTAAATAATGGGTTTTATAGCTAGTAGTGTGAACAAATACATTATAATGTTTGTTTGTATGACTCCTGCATTTTGTTTCCCAGCCATACAATCTATGGCCATACACTATTTAATTTAATTAAAACATGTACTCAAATTTATAGCAGTGTCCCTCAATGAAACGTCGCTAGTTCCTTGGTATTAACAAAGAAATAAATAGTCATTTATTATACAAGTATTAGATTTTAGATCGAGGTTGTGTTGTCTCCCGAGGCGTAGCAGCGGGATAAAGACAAAAATCCGAGACAAATTTAAGTCTAAGAATGGCCTCCAAAGTGCAAGCAACAAGAAAAATGACCGTATAATTTGTATCCCAATTTGGGCACTTTTGCGGGGTATCTCCCTTATCAGTAAAGATAGAGCATTGCGGTTTTCGCGACAGTGTGCTACTTTTTTATGAAATTAATAATGGCGCAAGCAGAATTGTGATAGCTCTGTCGAGATACAGGGTGGAATTGAAAAATATCACTTTTCAGGCACCCTCCGTGTCTCAGTTATCTTTGAACTTATCGAAGAAGTTAAAACTTGTTTTTATAGAGTTTTTCTCGTAGAATCCAGTGGCGTAGTTATTTTTTTGCTAGCACCTTTTGTTTTTTAGTTATGGAGCAAACATATGTCTTTTTAAATGGAACACCCTGTATATTATTTCATATATACATTGAGCATGAAGTGGGCTTTCCAAAAATATATAATTGTTTACAATTATTTTCCATTTAAAAAAACATATGTTTGCTCCATAACTAAAAAACAAAAGGTGCTAGCAAAAAAATAACTACGCCACTGGATTCTACGAGAAAAACTCTATAAAAACAAGTTTTAACTTCTTCGATAAGTTCAAAGATAACTGAGACACGGAGGGTGCCTGAAAAGTGATATTTTTCAATTCCACCCTGTATCTCGACAACCGGAAGAGCTATCACCAATGACGGCTAAATAGTAAATATCAAGTAAGCTGCCGACCTGATCATGACTGCCCATACAGCGGAAATCATGTTTAGGAATCTACTCGTTCCCCGTATCCCGCGACATCTATTGTACAAATTTGAACTGTTTTTATGCTAACCTAGAAATTGAGAGATGTCACTGGTGACAGATTGATACAGATACCTACATTGCCTTGACGGCTTAGCCGTAATTCCGTGGTCAATGCGTCAATGCCAAATGCACTTTTGCTTTGCTTGTTATGATCATAGGTTATGATAGTCTTAGCTGACTCCTTAGACTTGTAATTTCCTATAATTATTGATTGAAGATTAGACCTCATCTGTGATTAGCAATTAGCATTTAAACCATGTGTAAACGTGTCGTGAACAGCCGCTCGGTGAAATTAGGAGGCTTGAAGTTGGTGCAAAATTCCATGACATGAACGATCATTGTGCTCCGGACGAATTTGTAAAGATTAATCTTTTCCTTGCAAGGTAATTATAGTTGCTGTTTATTTTTGGTGGTACAATTCTTGAATTAGTCATTGAACATCTACCTATATTATTCAGGTGTTTTATTTCTAGAGATCATAAATATCAAACACCAACTACCTACTATTGAGTGCCATTGAATACTCACTCATGAAATGATTGAACAATATGGAATAATAACAATGTATTATCAAAGAATATCTTCTTTGGTATTGTGCTGTTCCTTGTGAAATTGACGGAAACTGATCATGGGACAACTTCACATCTTGGAAAGGGTGCTCTTCAGTAGTGGACACAAACCTTGTGAATACTCTCTGATTTGAGGTAAGTTATTAAAGTCTTTCATGAGTGAACTAAAATGGTGGCATATTCACCATGTAATAGAATTGTAAAAAATAGGTCAGTTTAAGAGATTATTGTTTTATATAATATAGGTACATAAATGGTCTGTATTCTTTAGACCATGTGAATGAGGAAGGCCAATAATTTTCCATACTTATAATTATTAAAGAACATTGATATGAATTGGTGAATGCTTGAATTATTGAACAGTGTTCAGAGGGTGAAAGTATGGCAAAGTCAGCTAAATGTTACATTTTCAATATTGTTCATTATGGTTTTTGTGGATATCCTTGATCACTATCACCATCGTCCACCAATTTGGTGGACGATGCTATCACTAATGTCTTGACTAATGTAGATTCATTTTCAGATCCATTCAACAAACATACAAAAATGTATGTAGCTATAAATAATGTAGATACCTTCCAAACAATAAATACAAGTACCTACTCCAAGTAGAATTCCTCTAATTTCAATTAATCTTGATATTTAGGTAAGTTTTGGAATTTTGTACTAACCAGAGTTAGTTGAAGCAATTATACACAATTCTACTGTTTCTTTCCCCATATATTATTGAAAATCAGAAAATTTTTAGACAGTAAGTAATATCACATTTTTTCAGGATATGAATTCAGATGGTTCACATTTTTCAGAAGCGCCCTCCATAAAAAAGGTATTCATTATGCCTCTTCATACCTCTCTAGCTCTCCTGAATTCTTAGATGTTCTTCAAGAGAAACCAACAGGATGTTTGATATACAGGGTATCTTGGAAAGGTTTGTAGAAAATGTTTCAACAAATTACTTGGACTAGATGAACATTTTCAAAAGTTTCAAATGTTTCAAGATTTTCTTGAGTACTGTGAAAACTTGGATGTAGCTATATTGGTATGAACATCTTAAGGTGCATTAAATATGGAAATAAGTAGGTATAGTCTTGTGATGGATGAAAGGGTTTTTTTAGTGAAGAGGTATTTGATCATCCTGTTTTGGTCTCAAAAAGTCATGCTAGCATGTAATTAAGGAGACATCTTGTATAATCTAAATGTTCACCACAAGTCCAATTAAATTTCAAGGCAATGTATATTCAACATAGGTATATAATATTGGTTGTGCATGTATACTCATACATACACATCATTTCATCTAAATTAATGCAGTAAACCAAGCAAGCTTTAGAATTTTCTATATGATTTTCTTTGGTTCAGAACATTTATTATGATTTACCAAGTTCATACTATGATGAGACAAAATAATAAAGATCATCATTACATAATGATAGTTCTGAGACTGAGCCCTTGAAAAATGGAAACTTTGATTATAGACAGAAAAAAATGCTCAGAGCTTAATTGAAATTTTGGAGACTGGATAAAAATTCAGTTCATTTACCGTTTTTTTATTCAAGTATTTTCTTACAAACACAATGATCACAAGAGTATTAGGCTATGGCCTGAGCCCTCAACACTGAAAATTTAAAAAATTCACAAAAATAATAATATCAGTTACAGAATAGTTATTTGTTTAAATAGTGCAAAAAGTGTGTATTGCAGAAAGTATGAATCTAAACATGCAGTGCAACAAGTATACTTATTGCTAGTGTTACGCAAAAAATAATTATTCTTATAACATTGTTTCTGTATACAGGGTGAGTCATAACTATTGGGACATAGGCTGAGGGCGGATTGTTTGGAACAAAATATGGTGATAGGAACGATATGCCCTAATAAAATTTTGATGTGGAAAAAGATACAGGGCGTTGAAATTGAATTTTTTCAAAGTTCTTTTGCTAATGATTCCACTGTACCTGTACCTGTAAGAGTAGGGATAATATACTGTGACTGTACAATGTTTGTTACAGGGCGCTATGTAAATTATTCCTTCTTTTGACGAAACTTCCTATAGTGATTTTGAATAAAAAATATGACATAAATATCATTTATATGTAATATTGGTACTCGCCTGTTTGACAACGGTATTTTCATACGTTTTCGAGAAAAACGCAATTGAACAGTATGAAGTCTGGAAAAGGAATTTTAAATATTATTTTATTCATGAATTGTGTGCTTTGGACTATCATATAATTGTTGCTGGTAAATAACATTTCTTCTCAGTGAATTAATTTTGATGCCAGTTTATATTCAATACTTTTTTGATTGAAACATCCAGTATCTTTTTCCACAGCAATATTTTATGGAGGCATATAAGATCCTATCAGTATATTTTTTCCCAATAGTTATGACAACCTGTATATTAGTCTTTCGAATTTGATGTAGTTTTTTGGTATTGTACTAAAGAATTCATCTTGGAAAAATCTATAGAAAAGTTAGAATATTGATCTCTCCCGAATAGTTACCATGTCACCAGAAACTTTTTTGGTCACTGAAAGTACAGTAATACAGGAATTCTTCTCGCACAGTTTCTCAGTGTTCTGTCAGTTGGCACATCTCAGTATTGTTGAGAATGGGAGCAGATTCGTTCCCAGTAGATCAAAAGTAAAAATATAATATTCTTCTTATATATTTGCCCACAAATATTTTCAAACAAGGTGTCACTGACTATTTCTAAGGCATTTCTTTTTTGGGTATTCCCCAGTGAAATTTTCAGCAACACATTTTGGGACAAATCATCTGATTTGTCTCTCAATGAATATATTGAAAAATATTCATATTTTTGTTTATAGAAAAAAAGGGAATCTCAAAAAATCTAGAGAAATGGATCTAGCACACAAATATATGAAACCCTTCAATCTCATTTGAGTATTTTTTAATTGGTCAATATTAATATCTGTACATAAATATTAAAACATCTGTTTTGATCAGATTACCCAGTTATACTACAAATAAAAGTGGTCTTACTGAAGAATCAAAATTCTAGCTTGACTAATACAATGATGTTCTTGAATATTCACTATTTCTAATCACTAAAACTTGGAATTAATGATTATTATTATAACCAACTTATAGGTGATCCATAACTGAGAGTGATGGTGGTGATATTAATCAGGAGGGGTGAAAGGACTTACAGTCACAACTCCTCCACACAAACAATTTAATAATGACCAATGGTCATGGACAAAAGGACATGTTTTGAAGGATTAATGCGTCATCATCATCATCGAATTTATAAAAAGAAGATCATGGGTGGAAAAAAAAATTACTTAAATAACCTAAGACACTGTTTGAAACCGTCCATAGTGTGGGTGGTTAGCTGTTAGGGAACAAACATTATTATAACCAGCTCTATAAGAGCCTAAATTTAAAAAAAATATATTTAGAGAAAATATTGGAAAGCACCAACATGTGAGTCTGAATTTGTTGAATTAGGTAAACTAATATTGAATGTTATATTGCTATTGAATCATTCATATGATATGTTCAGGTTGTTTAGGTCAAATAAACTTGAAATGGAACATGAATATACCCAAAATACCACCAAAATATTGATGAAATTATAGATATATATTCTGTAATGATGGCTGATTCCCTTAGTATCTTTCTGGATATTTTTATTAGCGACTTTTTGGAGAATAGTTCATGAGAGAATAATTTTTTGATATTCATTATTTCACACATATGCAGAACTATTGATATGTATTTAATTCTAGGGGACATATCCTGACCAAATTGCTTTCAAGAATGAAAGATGATGGTAAATAGTAATGGGAGAAACCTACTAGCAACTAGGCCCTCATGGGGCTTCTTTGGCTACTTGACCTGAGTAAACCCACCACCAAACATTCACAAAAATCCTACAATCCCTATTCTAACTATGGACCCGCAGATTCAAACTATAGAGACTTATGGAGAGAAACATGCTCGGATCATTGGTCAAGCGCCTCACTCGGCAATGTCACTATCAAGGTGATGAAAGTGTTCATGAATTATCCAGGGACGTCAAGAGTGAAGAATATGATCCCTTGGAGGACAAAAATCCCACAATGGGAGTTGGGAAACTTATATTTGGCTTCCTTAAGGCAAATCTAATCATGGAGAGCTTCATAATCTGTGATTGGAAATTCAAGTTGATACATTTTTTGCAGTTGACCAAAAGTTCTAGACCCCTCTCCCTCCGCCAATGCAAAATGAGGAATTCCTATAAAATGTTGTAATAACATATTGAAACGAATTTTGTAATCTTTTGAAAATTTGTAAATAAAAATTTCACAAAAATAATCATCCAATTCATTAATGCCTAGTACCTCACTATACATACAATTCAGGGTGTCCTAATGAAAAGTAGCCCACAGGAACTATTCTCCATCACAATGGAAGAATAAACTATCTATTTTTGCAGACAGGTCACTCTGCATTTTATTACATATAATGTTACATTTCCAGCACCATCCACTATAGGAATGGAAGATCTAAATAGTCAGTATTCCTATTATTGGTAACTATAACTTATTCAATATGGAACATTGTTTCATGCCACTCCAAGCAATGTATTGTATGTATTATGAGTGTACAAATTTAAAGGGCCAGTATTTGCATCATACCTGTATAACCATAATATTTCATTTTTGTCATAACCACACTACATATTGAAAATTTCATGGAAGGAACAACATATTGATATTGAAAACGGTACATTTTTTAATCCTTAACTTGAATGTCAAATGTTCATGCACTGTTTGGGCCATTCCATTGCAAATAGGCAGATGATTGAGATTCCTGATGTCTTTTGTTGAAACAAATTTTTAGATATTCCACTGCTAGTGTGAAACAAAACAAAATTCCAATTACCACTAGGGACAGATTGTTTGATTCTTCCAAAACTTCTTTGAATTTGCTCCTTTCATGTACCTGAACCTGAGAAAGAAATTAAAAGTTATTCAGGGAAAAAACACTTGAATGTTATCAAGCCAAAATAATATTCATGAAGATATTTGTATGAATATGTACCATGTGGGTATATGTATAATCTGAGATACCTTATTTATATGTATAAACTCCTTACCAAAAGTAATTTTTTTGAATAAATGGATAGATCAATAAAATGCCACTGTTTTTTTTTTCATCTGGTTATCTGAATTACTCTACTATATCTTCAGAACATATTATACTTCAACTGGAAGTGAGTACAGTAAGTATTCAGTGAGAAAAAGAAATGAGTTAATGGTCAATAAATTGAGTTTTTTTTGTTATAAACAGAATATATATATTATATACACACTGACTGACAAAAAAGCCTGAAACCACCCTTGTTTATATTTCCAAATTAAATAAATGAAAAAGAATCAGAATGATCCCTGGATTTTTTTGTAAACCTGTAAAAACATCTTGAATAAAGAGCAAAGATGTGAATCATTAATTTGCCATCCTGATGATTTATATAATCAATTCCCAATGTTAGACTTGCTCAGATTGGTTAAGAGTTGAATTATGTTCTTGAAAACTATTAATCTGGAGTCACTATAGGTGTTAGGTACTTACATTTGAGAACACCCAATCTGTAGTTTAGAATGTTTTTCCAGTGGATGTAGTGGGCACCATCCAGGAATCTGCAGGTTGCTAAAACTTATTTTAAACATCAATATTTTATGTTTCACAAGAAATTAAAAACATTGTTGCTAATTTCAAGACAATAATGCAGGGTTTACAAACAAAACTTCCTTTTGTTATTTTTCACAAATACTATTGCCAACAGATTATCAATTCATAAACATGAGAATCTATAACATGAGTATTTTGGCTTGAACATAAATCAACTGCAACAATGCAATGCATCTGCTGATCCATAGATACTAAAACTAGTGATGGTGAGAACACATTTGAAATTTGAAGATGTAATTGTAGGTAATTAGAGATTGAATCAATGCACATTGATTTATATTGGACTGAGGTTCACACTGTATAGAGAGCAAAGATAAAAGTAGGAAAATCAAAAACTACAATACCTCCTTTCAGTTGGGTATACCTACTATACTATTTGTTCATTCAACACTACGAAATAAAAGTGTTATACATACCTCAAATATTGTAGGAACAGAGAGCCTTTTATTAGGCACTTCCTGCCATTCTGGAAAACTCATAATATGCAGCTCTTCTGGAAATGATTTGTGCAAATGCAAGAATATTCACCAACTTCAGAATGTTGTAATGCTAAAATAAATGAGTCAAATGAACAATATCATTCAAGTAGGTCAGAGGTACATCTATAGAACTGTTCTTACCCATTCATTCCAAAATTGCAGAAAACGATTCTTTTCACAAACTGATGTCACTGGGAAATGCAAACAAATTGATTGCATCCCAACCAATATTATAATAATACGAAAAAAAAATGCAAAATAAGAAATATCAATTACAAGATTAGCTCAGCAGTGAAAGGTAAATGACAACATGTTTTGACATTTCATGAGATACATAACCAATAATTTGAAAAATTCTTAAAAACAAATGAAATCTTTGAGATCACCCGTATGTGCTGCCATCCCAGCAATCATACACTGAACTTAGTGATTGGGCAGTCATGACATGGTCGGCAGCTTACTTGATATTAAGCCGTCATTGCTATCACAATTCTGCTTGCGCCATTATTAATTTCATAAAAAAGTAGCACACTGTCGCGAAAACCGTAATGCTCTATCTTTACTGATAAGGGAGATACCCCGCAAAAGTGCCCAAATTGGGATACCCTGTACATAAGCATTTCGCGAGACCTTCTGCAAACTATTTGAAAATAATCAAAAATAGTACCAACATCATTTTATTAGGATCAAATGTGACACTTTGCTCGACAAGCGAAATTTGCGTTGACGAGGCGAGCACGCAAATTTGGCGAGTCAAACAGAGTCACTTTTGATCGGAACGAAACATGCTATTTTTTCTGCAATCGAAATAATTGATTTAGTGATAGTGATAGTGATATTTTCACTCACTCACTTGAACATGTCAGTGTCGAAGCAGCTATCATATCAGCTGTCATCTGAGACAATTTCAGTTCCTAGGAGTAAAACTTTCAGGTTCAGCTCCTAGAAACTAAGTGTTGCCTAGCAATATACATACTAATCATTTTATTCAGGATGAACATAAGATGGTGTAGAAACTCCTATCAAATCCCATCTGTTTTTCGGTCAAAGTTCTTGACCTACGGGCTACTTGACAGAAGGATTCTTTTCAATATCGCGGAATATAAGTCGCATTTTACCCGTTAGATGGTGAAATCTCAACCAAAGGTTGGTAGAACTGATAATAATTAAAATTCCCCAAAATTAAAGTTTCGTACTTTCAAATTCGATCTATGTTGTGAATGTTATGATATTATTATTTCTGGTGCAAGTGGTGTGTAAGCGCCGTTTTTGTTTTCTGTCATGAAAGAAATCTGTCAAAAGTGTCGCCTTCTTGCGAACAACTGAGAACTAAAATGCCATTATTGCGAAATCTGCGGTCAATCCTTTTGGGAGAAACAACACTGTCTGTGATTACACCATATTCTATCCACCTTGATTTCATTGTGTCAGTATGAGAGAAATGTCAACTTCAAGAGCTAATTTTGGACCAAAAACGGACGACTTGAGTCGATTGCAGAAAGAAAAAGAATTCTTACTTCCCCAACTAGGTTTCGTCTGCCTGATCCACCCGATCAGCTCGCTCAAAAAGTCATAGAAGAACGCCTCTGCCGGCACCGAAAACACCTTATCGGCAATAGCGACGAACAGACTGAACCCGTCGGTGGTCTTCAGCTCCAGCCTGGCCTCCACCGCCTTGCAGAGGTCTATCGACCGCGTCATCGAGTCCACTTCGAAGGCCTCGTCCGTGTCGTCGGGGAAGTACACGCGATGGAAGATCTCCATGCTCTTGTGCTGGACGGCCTCCACTTCGATGAAGTGCGGAGCGGATCTTCGAGGTCCCACCTGAATGCGTACACAAATAAGAATCCTGATCTTATTGCTAAAATAATTTTAGTGATTGATACAAGCCTATTCCAGGAACCTATGAGATTTCTACAGTTTCCTTAAATCACTCGAATCATTAATAGGTGAGTGGACTATTCTTCTTGAATAGAATCATCACTCAAATTTTTAATTTCTCAGTCGATTTTTTGGTGCTAAAATCATCAATAATCCCACGGTAATTCTCAAACGGCTAGACATAGTTCCTTCTTGACTTTTTCGAGCAACTAGCATGTCCAAATATTTCTTATTCTCCATAACAAAATACACACACTGGCACAATTAGGGGAACGGGCAAAATTTACACTAAGTTCGACATGAATTTTCTTTCGAACCGATCGCTCGATTCAAATTTTTTTCTTCACGAAATGTAGCTCCATTCTTCACGAATACATCTGAGAAATAATTACCTTCAAACGATGAGTCTATCCATCATATACAGGGCTGTAAAAAATTGGAGCCCAATTTATTCCGAATATTTTCGTTTTTTATTCATCTTGATATCTCAATTATTCAAGAAAATACAGAAAATACAAAGGAAAGGTGGATATTGGTATCAATTTTACACTTCAAAACTCAAATTGGATCTGAAATCGGTCCTTTCTTGACTAACCTAACCTAACTATGACCAAACCTCTGCCATAGGACACAGAAGTAGTAAAATCAAACTGTTCATTTTGTTACCTCGGCGATATAGTCTTTCCCTGCCATCTATTGAATTGGTGCAGATGCGGCTCTCATATATCAAAAGAACATTGGCCCACTGGTCATTTTCAATTAATGCTACAGCCCTCGCCACATCAGTAGGAGTCAAATCTCTCACGTTGAATTTTCATTAATCAAATTTATGTATGGTGAATCGCTTGACTTTGACAATAATTAATGACATTAACAAAATAGCCAACGTTGATTAACAAAAATAGCATTTCACCAAAAGAACATTGGAGCAACTTTTATCACCCCTGCATATTCATGAGAGTATTCGTATAATATGTGTCTTTAAACAGTAAACCGATAGGTAAAACTGTGAACAATTCTCATCTTGAAGTGAAAATCCTCACAGAAACAAGTTGAAAAACGACACGTTCTCCCCAGTTCGAGTTTTGAGGTGGTAAATTCAATACCAATATCCACCTCTTCTTTGAAACTCTATATTTTCTTGGATAATTGGGATATCAAGATGAATAAAAAAACGAAAATATTCGGGATAGATTGGGCTATAATTCTTTACACCCCTGTATATGATATAAAGACGAATCGTTTGGAGGTGGTTATTTCTCAGATGTATTCGTGTAGAATGAAGCTACAATTCGTGAAAAACAAATTTGAATCGAGTGATAGGTACGAGAGAAAATTGATGTCAAACTTAGTGTAAATTTTATCCGTTCCCCTAATTGTGCCAGTGTGTGTATTATATGAATGTTGGAAACTTGGCAACATTGTGCTAAATGTCGAGAACTGACAAGAACACGCCCACAAATCGTGCGCAGGGTTGTCACGTTGACGGATTCAAATGTCCTCTAGTCTGAATTGATATTATTTACACAATTGAATTTTTATTGCCAATTAGGAATCGTATTTCAACACATGGTAACTGTGCTATGGTCTGCCCCTACGTAGGAGATCGTGGCGGCAGTTTTTACTGGCCGTACTTTAATCTCATGAGTTCTTCCTATCATGTTTTATTCAACGACAGGTCGACAGGACTCAAACATCTTTTTGATAACTTGATTATAATTGGTGACTTGACAACCTTGCTTCATGAGTGGAAATGGAAGATTATCTGACCAATAAAGAAACAGCATAAAAACTGACGTCACCATTTATTCGACTAAGCCCCAAATAGCGGCCATGGCGTTACGTTTGAAATCGGCACTGAAATTTAACGATTTTGAACAACGCATAGACGATATATAGACGTATTATTTACATGAAAAAGCGTGAGAAGTGTTGCAAAAATTAACTTAGGTTTCTAACGACACAGTGGAGTAATTGAATGACAATAATTCATTATCATTCCACTCGCCCATTGGAATGATTTATAATATATTATACCAGCGAAAAAATTTTACTTTTCCAGCGACAATTTAATTCATGTATAAATAATCCCATAAGCCGCTGTGACTATATGTCATTATGACAGCAACAAAACTTTGCCCTAAGTTTTCCAGCAACAAAACGGGACCTAACATTTGAAAACATGACAACCAGAATTATTGTGAAAGAATCTTAGTAACGTTTAAGTCAAGTCTTCTCAATCTAGCGTTGTCAGAAAATAATCTAATCTGTGGAAATGTCGCGATTTGGAGAGTGTAGAAATTGGAAAAACCATCAACAATAATGTGATTTAAAATTTATGTATTCATCAAACTGTCGTACCGATGTCGAGCATTTTTTTAGGTAGAAGTAAGTTTGGCATTTGATTTTTGTTTCGGATGAAATTCAACTCAAGAAACTGCCAGGAAATATTAATCGTCCTACAGAAGGCAGTTGTTTTCATTTAGTTTCCTGGAAACAAAATTCTCATTGAAATATGTCAAGTTTACTTCTTCGATGAAAAAAAAAATTTCTCGTATAAATAAAGTATCTCTAACCTTCTGCGTCTTCTGCAGCCTCAATAGGCAGTGTTCGCTGAAAGGATGATGCCTCGTCTTCAAAAACTTTTGCAACTCCCCGTACAACTTCTCGCTGGGCAAGTACAGCCCCGTGACTAGGTACATCAGCTCCCAGCCCCTCTCCTCGCTAATCGACAACCTGTAATAATAATATATTATATAACTTCAATATTACTGTGGGACTCGAGCAATTTTTTCATTCAATTCCGAAAACGAAATAACTCTCCCAGCAACCTCGATATCTTTCGTCGAATTAGTTGAATAATTTGTTTCCAATTTTTCATCAACCTTTCGGTTCCTTTTTGAGCTTACTTATTAAAAAGTAGAAAATGAAATCATAAAACAATGTTGATAAATACACAACATAGAACATATTATGCCCTCCGTAATCTGTATATTCTATATGTAGTGTATTTATTATTTCATTTTCTACCTCCTTTCTACCTATCTTTGAAAGCGTGTGTCTTTCGTTTTTTAAAGTACTATTTATTTTCTATTTTTAAGTTCGGCTTACTACAAAAGCGTGTTTTTTATTTTTCTTATATTTTTTGTAAGTACCCAATTTTGACAAAAGACTCATATTGGAGCTGCCATTTTGTTTTTTAATAATGATAAAGATGGAAAGTCCTAATTTAGAGTGAAACGAATCGAAAACATTGTTCAAGTCGGTCATATCAGACCAGAAGTGCTGCATTGAAACCCTTGAATATTTACTCTAACATCATCCACCTCCATGGAAGATGTTGAAGCCAAATTTGGCACCAGTTCTTGGCTAGTTCGTAGACGGCGCTAGCAAAATATTTGTCCATACTCTCGGAATCTGCTCGAGTCCATCTTTCTGAAAGTTGTCGAACTATCTAGGAATATTGCTTCCGAAGCAGGACACTAACTTTAGTGACTGATATTCTGAAGGCTTTCAAATGTGCTATGTGTTCTTTGATTCTTGTTTCTATGGGTCGCCTGGTTTGGCCTATATATGTTTTATCACAATCATTACATATAAAATTATGGTAGGTTAGATAAATCCTGTGTAGCCGAACATGTTCAATCACATTCATAACACACATATTACTAATCACAAATTAGTTAAGCAAGTTAATAATATAAGAAAGTTAGTCGCATATGAAAGCTTAGTGATTTTTAGAAATAGTAATAGAGTAATGAATAAGGATAATGGACCTATTCCATATAGCCCTTTATATAGTTTAGTAATATAAAATTAAAATTAATATGTGAACTCAACCATGACAAATGTCAACTTGACGGTTAGTATTTTTCCCGGTTGGATGAACATATACCTGGTACATCAGCAGCACACAAGAATAGGATATTTAAAGTTTTAATTTTCTCCTGAAGATGCTAACACAGTTAGCGAAACACTTGTCGAGGCGTTTAAAAAATCGGTTTGGTTAGTGTGGTAAAACAGTGTAGTGTAGAATTATCAATATTAACACTGGAAGCTCCGTTGCTCTTGAAGTAATCTACGATATCTGCCAATAAGAGGGAGAATAGTAATAATCAAGGATTGAGACAATGAACCGACTGTTCATTGTAGTTTTTTCTACCACTTTACCTGTTGAACGTCAACTGCTTCATAATCTGGCAGTACACTTCGTCTTTGAGCAGCTCATTCTTCAGCGGCTCGCCGAAGATCTGGTCCGTGTACTCGGTGATGTTCTTCGATTTGGGCGCCGGCAGGTCGCCCATGTACTTCAAGATGGCGGCAAAGATGGCGCAGGCCGCCTTGCTGGCTGCGTCGTCTACAAGCACTTTCTGCAGCAGCGGCTGGTAGATGGGCTCGTTCGAGTACTTCCAAAGTTGCTCCTTGGAGGTTTTTCTGGCCGCCGTCATCACGGAGGATTTGTTGATCGCTTTGGCTTTGGCCGCTCTGAAGTGGTCTTCAGAGTAGGTGGCGAGGGTGTGCAGCTGCATGCGCTGCAGGGTTGTTATCACGGATTTCTGCTGTTTGCCTTCAGGAAAAGAAAATCATTGATCCCAAGAATAGTTATTTATTATACAAGGGAAAAAAGTAGTAGATTTTAGCTCCAGGTTGTAGGGAGACAAAAAACCGTGAGCTAAAATCTAATATTTTTCCCGTGTATAATACACTATTTTTTTCTGTGACAGATGAAAGGACCAATCAATATTGAGAAGATATTACATTATTTTGAAATCTGAAAATTATCGACGTGAAATTTCAAGTTTTTAACAGTAGGGACACCTGCGTTGTAGGCATCTTTATCATTCTATTGAAGTAATCAAATATCTGATGTCACTTCTGTCAGTCTAATTCTGTGATTTGATTTCGAAAAATTGCGAATTTAGTGGTTGTTTAGTAATATACGCGAAGTCGAAAGGAAGATAAAGGGACTTGTAGTTCTTTCTCCGAGACGGTATTATTGACAAATTTTTCGGAACTATAGCACAACAAAAGCCATCAACAGTGTATACATATGTGATATATATGCGGGAAAAAAGTGCTCACTTTTTTCCCACGGGAAAAAAATATTTTATAAAAAGTGACATTTTATAACCTGCCAACAGAGATGAAATGCCAAACTTTCTTCCCGTCCCAGAGAAAACATATACATGTTTATAGAGATATGAAGAAAACATTTCTAAAATTCAATAAAATGGAAAATGAAAAATTAAATCAGGATATCAATCATTATAAAGAAAAGATAGTTCAATTATTGATATAATATGTTTGGTATCATATCAAAAAATGATTCTTTATTTTCCATGGTGATTGTTTATATTGTCCTACACGGTAGAGCCCTTTCTTCTCATTTCAAATATACAATATATAATGTGTAACAATTTGGTCCACCCCACCACTGTACTTTCGTATTCATAGAGCGATTTCAAATTTGTTTTCTTCCGAATTTTCGAAATTATATCATCAAAACTATGGTTTTCTTCTTATATATATATGGTTGGCGTATGTTGAATTTGTTTTCTTTTTCAAAAAAATCATCTTACGTTCATGAATGCGCTGATTGAAAATAATAAATACAAAACTTCTAAATTCGAAAAATCAGGAGTATACAAACTCAACTGTGGATCTTGTCCTAAGCTATATATCGGTCAGACAGGTTGTACGTTCTATCAGCGCATTCATGAACATAAGATGAATTTTTTGAAAAAGAAAACAAATTCAACATACGCCAACCATATATTAGAAGAAAACCATAGTTTTGATGATAATTTCGAAATTCTACAGGTAGAAAATAAAAGAATGAAACTCAATCATTTTGAATCATTAGAAATCAACAAACTCAAAACTTTTTAAATTTTACTTAACGATCAATTAGACCTCAATAGTTCACCACTGTTGAATTTGTTTGTGAAGTTTTTACATTCAACAACAATGTGATTCGTATTCGTACTCATCAAATTGTTAAAATGTCAAGTTCACTTCGACAAAAAAAAAAAAGGTTTCGTGTGACAAAATGCTATATGTTTCTCACCTGTAACTATCCCATCTTTCTTGAAGCAACGTAGGATGTTCGATGGGGGTTTCTGGAGGGTGGGTATTATGTAGACGTTTTCTGTAGGGAAATCTCCGATTTTGCCATTGGTTTCGCCGAATCCCCAGGTAGAAGACATCAGTTTTTCGCCGTTGAGGTCTTGTTTGAGGGCAATCAAGTCGCCTTTGCGTAAAGTTAAGCAGGACTCGGCACCTATAAGTTTTTTTCTTCAGAAACTGAAATGCTTTTTGATGATTCGATCAAGCCTCTAGAGCCTTCTACATATTAAATTCTAAAATAAATAGTGAAAATTGGAAGGGGTCATGCATATTAGAGATTACTTCCCTCCAACAAATGTTTTTTCAGAATGATTTCTGATTTTTGAGAGTGTGCACTTTTTGCACTTTGAAAAATATTGAGTTTTGCATAAATCTATTCTGGAATTGGGGAATGTGAAAATCTCTTCTCGATCTCGTTTCATAGTGGTGATATTCAAAATTATAGTTCACTTTATCTCTCTGGTAGTCTGGTAAAGCGCCATTGCCTATTTTGTATATAGGGTGTTTCACAGGTAAAGGGAAATATTTCAATGGTAGATAGGGGTCACCAAGGTGGTTCTGAAAATACCATATTTGATAGGTCTTAGAGTTTTCATAACGGAGATACAGGGCGATTTATCGATTTCGAATAATTATTCATTCGTCTATAAGTATTGAACTACCCAGTATATTTTCCTAAAATTTGGTATGGAGCTTAAACTTGGGACGTTGAATTCATTCACCTATCGGGCGAAGAGAAAATCCAGGTTCGGCTTCAGGAAAAATTCACATTCATTCGAAATATCAAAATAACACACTGTATGTAATAATTGACAAAGTTCATCAAAAGAATCGTGAAGAGGAGGAAAAACTGAACTGGATTTGATGCTTTTTGTTTTCCCGCCACCAATTCTCATCGTAACAATCATAAACAGAAAGCTGAAAGTATGTCAATTTGAAGAGTATTGAAATTATGAAACCAGTGTCAATTATGATTATTCGATATATTTTAGTCGAAAAATCGCTCGAAAGAACTTACTAAGTCTCACAGTTTTTATAACGGAGATACAGGGTGAATTATCGGTTTTGAATAATTATTCACTCGTCCATAAGTATAGAACTACCCAGTAACATTTTCTCAAATATGGTATGTAGCCTTGGGACGATGGATTCATTAACCTATCAGGCGGAATTATAATTCGATAATTCACCCTGTATCTCTGTTATAAAGACTATGAGACTTTTCCTGAAGCTGAATAACCTGTATTTCCATTCTGCCTGATAGGTCAATGAATCCATCGTCCCAATAAGTAAGCTCAATACCAAATTTGAGAAAATATTACTGCGATGGGTAGATACTTATGGACGAGTGATAATTCACCCTGTATTTCTGTTATAAAGACTGTGAGACTAAGTAAGTTCTTTTGAACGATCATTTAACAAGAATATATCAAATAATCATAATTGAAAGTGGTTTCATAATTTTAATACTCTTGAAATTGACATACTGTTAGCTTCCTGTTTATGATTGTTACGATGAGAATTGGTGGCGGGAAAACAAAAAGCATCAAATCCAGTTCAGTTTTTCCTTCCTTTTCACGATTCCTTTGATGAACTTTGTCAATTATTACATACAGTGTGTTATTTTAATATTTCGAATAAATGTGAATTTTTCCTGAAGCCGAACCTGGATTTTCTCTTCGCCCGATAGGTGAATGAATTCAACGTCCCAAGTTTAAGCTCCATACCAAATTTCAGGAAAATATACTGGGTAGTTCAATACTTATAGACGAATGAATAATTATTCGAAATCGATAAATCGCCCTGTATCTCAGTTATGAAAACTCTAAGACCTATCAAATATGGTATTTTCAGAACCACCTTGGTGACCCCTTTCTACCATTGAAATATTTCCCTTTACCTGTGAAACACCCTGTATAAAAATGAATGCCTGGTACAATAAAAAATCTTTTTCTGACAACCATTCTGGTCTGTTCAACATTGTTATTATAGGAATGAGACAGGCAACGGAGTTTATTAAAAAAACATCGCCAATATTCACAGAATATCTACTGAGCCAGTGTTCAACATCCATTGGTTTGGCCGGAGAGTCAGCACACTCGCTGAATATAAGCGCCTAGCGTTGCCAGATGGCAACACGAATATTGAATGCAATCATTTCAAACAAAAGATATTCTGCCATTTCTTCAAATATGTCACACATACAGGGTGGACAAAATGTTAAAAAACTGGAAAGTTAAAAAAAAATCAGTTTCGAGAATGCGAATGGTCGAACAACTTGCTCAAAATAAAGAACTGGCGACTTGTGCTCTTATTGTGCTGAGCATAATCGGTACTTTTGCGAATCGAGTGGGATGTCTGGATGTCTCCCACTCTATAGCGAAGAAAAATCTGAGTGCATGGGAATTATTTGAATCTCCACGTGACTAGCGTTACCATATGGCAACGCACGGCGCTAATGGGCTCACCTGACGGATGACTGTAATCTTGCGTGGCCACGCAATACACCGACCTCTTCTTCAACCCGTCCACTATATGCTGCACCAACGAAGACACGCTCTCGGCGTCCAGCGTGTGAAAGACGAACTCCTCCTTGGCCACGGTGTGCAACACGAACTTGGGCTGGGGCTGCGCCTCGCAGCTGACGAACGACACCTCGGCGAACGTCAGCTCCAGCAGGATCTGCTCCTGGTCGTCGATCATGAAGATGCCGACGCTGTTCACCGCTATTATCATGTTCTTCTTCGGCAGTTCCGGCCCTGATACCTGGAATGGTCAAATCTCTGATAGTAGTCCATGCTCAATGGACTGATAATGAATTATTGGCATTCAATTACACCATACTGTGCCGTTAGGAACCTAAATTAATTTTTGAAACACTTCTCACGCTTTTTTATGTATATAATGTATATAATGGTGATGTCAGTTTTTATGTTGTTTCGTTATTGGTCAGATAATCTTCCATTTCCACTCATGAAGCAAAGTTGTCAAGTCACCAATTATAATCAAGTAATCAAAAAGATGTAAAGAGTCCTGTCGTTGAATGAAACATAATAGGAGGAACGCATGATATTATAAACTGGGCGTCAATTGAAACGTTAATAGTGAAATTTGGCATCAAGTTTGACTTCTCGTAATTTCTAAAATATTGAACGAATTTTGAATTGCCGCCCAGATTCTGAATGCCTTTTTCATCGTCTTCCGAACCATTCCTTACAGCTTCTTCTAAATTGATCAGGACCCGTGATACAAGGTGAAATAAAGTTTCGTGCATTTTGAAGAAAATTTCTCCGCCCCCCCATTTTGTCGGAAGACCACGATGCTCATATTTCATTCGGGCATTTCATAAATATAGCAACCATACCTCGGGACGTTTTCGAGTTTTTGCCAAAAACTACTGTGGTTTCCGAAAAAAAAATTTTTTTTGAATTTTTCTTAAATGGACTGATTACCTGTATCCTCAAAACGATGAATCAGTCTATTTATTGTCATGACTGACTTATTGAAATTTGAACTTAAATGAGTTCGTCGTAGCCTGAAATAATAATTATCTGTACTGAATTATAGTTTATATCACTATAGTGATCTTACCTAATGATTTTCCATTTCGACCCGATTTGAACGAGGCATCTTTAAATTTTTTAGGACCCGAATTACACTAACGTTTTCATGAAAATTGGCAATTGATATAACCTCTATGCATATCTACATTATTGTTTCAACAATACGTTGTTATAGAAACAAGGTATCGTTGTTGGTTTTTGTTGATGAGATGTGTTGATTTACTGCTCACTAAGGTAGAAAACTTTTATCATAGACTGCAAAGTAATAAATTATTGATTGTTTTTGAGTAACCTGGTATACATATCTGCTCCAACGCTTTCCTGAAATGCATAATAGCATCCATTTATAGAACTCCTCTAAAATTATTCCATTTAAAAAAATACAAAAAAAAATTGTTTTCGGAAACCACAGTAGTTTTTGGCAAAAACTCGAAAACGTCCCGAGGTATGGTTGTTATTTATAAAATGCCTGAATAAAATATGGGCATCGTGGTCTTGCTTCCGACAAAATGGGGGGGCGGAGAAATTTTTTTCAAAATGCACGAAACTTTGTTTCACCCTGTATCACGGGTCCTGATCAACTCAGAAGGAGCTGTAAGGAATGGTTCGAAAGACGATGAAAAAGGCATTCAGAATCTGGGCGGCAATTCAAAATTCGTTCAATATTTCAGAAATTACGAGAAGTCAAACTTGATGCCAAATTTCACTATTAACGTTTCAATTGAGGCCCAGTTTAGTTCATTCTTGACTTCTTCGAGCAACCAGCATGTCCAAATATTTCTTATTCATAACAAAATATCATGTAAATAATGTTGGAGACTTGGCAACGTTGTGCTGAATGCTGAGAACTGACAAGACCACGCCCACAAATCGTGCGCGCGGTTGTCACGTTCACCGATTCAAATGTCCTCTAGTGTGAACAATCCACAAATCATAATAAGGGAACATTTTGAGACAATTGAATTTTTATTGCTAATTAGGAATATTACCAATGCTGTGCTATGATCTGATCCTACTTACGAAATCGTGGCGTCAGTTTTTACTGTTGGTAAATTTCTAGTCGTTCGAAAATTACCGTGGCATAATTCTATTTAAGAAATAAAAAAAATAATCCACTCGCCTTTTTGTTGGTGATGCGAGAAAGAAAAACTCAAAGTCTCGCTCCAAATCTAAAATTCAATGCAAATCTTTATTGCGCTACATATTTCGACTGCTAGGAGTCATCACCGGGCGTATATATGTGGAGAAGAAAACCATGAGAAACTTAGCTAACAGTTAAAAGTTTCAAATATAGAGAAAGGCTTGATCACTTTTTTCTTTTAAGAGTCGAAATATGTAGCGCAGAAAAGATTTGCACCAAATTTCAGATTTGGAGCAAATTTAATTTTTTCTCTTTATTTTTCTGGCGATAGCGATAGAGGAGGTCAGAAAACATATACAGGGTTGGGATAATAAAGTATGAAATTAAGGTAATAACTTTGAAACGAAAAAGGCGAAATTTATGATACTTTGTAGATGACTAAGTGAATATTAATTGGCTTATCTATATGCCTGTATCCTTTTATTTATCTAATGCGTAAAAACTTTCAAGTGGTTATATGTACTAAAACTGCTCCAATTTATTGTTTTTGCAAATTATCCCCACCAAACCAAATATGTACGAATTTGATCTAACAAAACTTGCAAAAATTTGAATGCTAATAAGTTGAATATATTTCCGGTTGAACTGGAAGTTCAGTATCAACAAAAACAATCACATTAGATTCATTTTGCTTTATTGCACATGTCTGAAAAGTTAAATGATTTTCGTCTTTTTCGTTTCAAATATATTCACTTGGTTCCATATACTCTAATAATGAAAATGTAATGTTGCTAGCACGAAAAATGAGATGAAGATCGTTCTCACCTCAACATAAAGAAAATTAGAACCGACATGAACTTTTCATTATTTTCCGTTGGAATTCTGAAAACAAGGACAGAAGAGGGGTGAATTTTTTCTCTTTCTTTAATCGAGCGTGTTTTTTGCTATAGACGCGATCGAATATTGAAATAAGTACCAGCGTAGCGAGAAATGAAGAATGTTGAGTACCTGTATCGCTTCGTAAAATTTAGAAAACAGTATGGGCCACATCGATTGGGCATACTTGACGACAGCTTCTTTGGCCTTTTCGGGGGGCGTCCTCTGTTTAACGAATGGCATATTCGTAAAGGTGCTGGTTATTTTGTTTTCCCAATCTGCTAGATCGTTCTCACTCATCATTTTCACCAGATGCATCGGGATATATTCACCTGTGCACAAAAAAGAATTGTCATTCTAGAGAAAATGAAGACTCGTGGTCATAGCTGTAGGGTCATAATAAAAAAAAATGTCGTGAGTTCTGAAGAGGTCGAATACATTGGTCTCAAATGTGAGGCACCAACCTCAATATGCTGTAAAAATAAGTTATTTTACATAAACTCTCGCATAAACTATCCTATCATTATTATTATAAACTTTATTATTATTTTTTTCAGCTTTCTGTAATTATTCGGTCACTTCTTGAGTATCGTTTATTCACCTATTAATTTTTTGTTCACTATTCTATGTAGTCTTATGTACCTACTTCAGATGTAAATAAATATTATTATTATATCATTATTATCATTATTATTGTCGAATTTATATAAAAATTACGAAAAAAATCATGAAAACAGTTTATACTATCAACCAAGAGACTAAAATTACCAATTTAATACCACGAATGGTTCGTTTCTCGGGAGTTCTACCAAACAAAAAATCAATTCATTATAGCCCCACGATATTTACACTATATTCTTGCACTTTCAAGAAAATTGTCATCGGAATAATCATTTAAATTTGGTGAACTAACAACATTTGTTTGAACTTGGCCAGTCTTGTGTGTGACGCGCAATTTTTACTTAAACAGAGAAGATATCAAAGGAATAAGACGTCAAATGAAACGTAACGCAAAAGTATCAACTTTGACCTCACGTCTCAATAGCACTATAGTGGACAATCAAAATATATTTGCCCTCATAACTGTCCTAAGGCTAGTACTAAATGGGTTATTTCAATTCCAGTTTCGAGAAACTAAAGTGCATAACCTAATGCCGCAAGAATAAGAGTAATATTTATCAGAAATGTATTGAAAAACTATTTGTTCTTGAGAAAACTGGAGTGAAAAAAATTATTAACATGATTCAGAAAAAATCATAATTTTTTTGAAGGCTCGATTTTATTGATGAATATTTTTTTTATCAGACATATCTTCCAGTCAGAACAAGTTCTGGTATGAGGAAGAACATAATTATAAAATAATAAGTGATAAACATCTATGAACTACTACACAAACATACATAATAAATCACAATAAAACAAAACAATCAATGAACAAAAGAAAATAGTTTTAGTCAAGGACATAACTTACTGATACATTTTAAACATTTCTCTCAGAAATGATCAGTTTTATTACTTTCTTTTTGAATGTACCTCAAATTCTGCAGTTTTAATTTCATCTGGTAGTTTATTGAACTCAGATAAGGCTGCATGAGTGAATCTTTTTTGTCCGAGTGTAGAACTAGCAGCATCAAGGTGAAATAAGTTATATTGTCTAGTTTGATGACTATGAATTCCAAAATTTCTTGTCAAAATAATATTAGATTTCGATTATTTATTTATGTACTCGCCTATTCTGGTGTGCAGCACGTTTTTGTTGAGAACGCCGCCGTTTTCGATGTAATACTGGATGGCGATCAGAAGGGCGATGTCCGCCTCGGCCGTACACCGATACTCTCCCGCCTTGAGGCCTCTGACCACCTGGTGGTAGATCAGATCGGTGGCTGCCGAATCCTCCGTGGGATCGTGCCACGGCGTGAAGATTTCCTTGCGCAGGAACAGGCGCCACGGACAGTTCCTCTCCTGTTGGCCCTGTAAGGAGCGAACTAATCGTGAATCGATTTTAAAAATTATTCATAGAAAAGATTATTCATTTTCTATCGAAACGTTATGCAAAGAATCCCAAGAGATGGATAAAAATCATCACACCGGTACTCTCTGTTCGCTTGAACTGCTTGTTGCTACATATAAAGCTCCAGCTGCTAGGTATTCACTGTTTACTACAGCTAGTCTTGAGTTCTGCTCTGTATTTTTTGTGAGGAACTTAGCTTTCTTGAAGGTTTGATTTGGATAGATCCGGCTCGAAGGACCAATATGTTCGATGCTCGATAGTGGATTGAATTAGTATTGTTATATGGTATATGGCAATGAAATGAAGATTGATATTTAAAGGAGCGAACCTATCGTGAATCGGTCATTCAAAAATGGATTTTGAATGGAAAAAAATATTCGTTAACTATTCAACTTTTATAGGAAAAATAGCAAAAGATGAATATAAATCATCACATCGATACTCTTCCGCCTTGAGGCCTCTGACCACCTGGTGGTAGATCAGATCTCCAGACTCCAGAGTGCTGCTCTGTAATCCATGTGAAGAACTTGGCAGTCTTGAAGGTTTGATTCGAATAGATCCGGCTCGAAGGACCAATATGTTCGATGCTCGATAGATAGTGGATTGTATTAGTATTTTCATATGATATATGGCAATAAAATGAAGATTGATATAAGGAGTCGATTGGTTATTCAAAACTGGATTTTGAATAGAAAAAAATATTCGTAATCTATTCAACTTTTATAGGAAAAATAACAAAAGATAAATATAAATCATCACATCGATACTCTTCCGCCTTAAGGCATCTGACCACCTGGTGGTAGATCAGATCTCCAGACTCCAGAGTGCTGCTCTGTATTCTTTGTGAAGCACTTTAATTTGAATAGATCCGGCTAGAAGGACCAATAAGTTCGATGCTCGACAAATAGTGGACTGTATTTCTTTGGTTATATGATATATGATAATGAAAAAAAGATTGATATTAGAAGGAGCCACGTTATCGTGAATCTGATAGATGGCAGTTTCCAATCACTCGCCATGATGGCCAACAGATGGTATTGCGAAATACTATGCACAGCAAATATTCCTGCGTTTTCTGTTCAAATGTGTCGAGCATAGTTAAATAATATTTTTTCCATAGAATGAACAATGATAGATGATCAACAGGTAGTTGGTACGTGACACATGCACCTCGATAAAGAATGCAGTTTCCGACATAAGTAGGTAGTCATAGAAATGATACTGTATGTTGTCAAGCAACCTTACCAGTTCTTTGGCGTATTGCTCGCACTGCGATATGGCGTCCATGATCTTGTCGGTCTCGCTGCCCAACGACATCACTTTGTCGTGCAGTGCTATGTATATGGAGAATCCGAAAGTGTCTGTCAAATTGAGGGTGGTCGATATGCGGGTGAGCATCTCTTCGGATGTCGTGGCCGAATCCACCTAGAATTAGATGATATTCAATGGTTATTAAGTATCTGTCATTCGTTTTTTTTTTCTTCTTGGGTTTTGAACTTTTAGCTATTCTTCAATTTTGAGTTGATAAGATTGTTTTGATATACAGTGTACCTACTTGAAAGCAAGACACCACTTCGAAGTTTCCATAAATCACTTGCTTTTAGATAAAATTTCTAATTGTAGCACATTTTGAAAATCAGTACCAAAGATAGGATATAATTTTAAAGATAACAAATGCACACTGAGTAAATTTTTGGGTGGAAATTCAGATAACTAAAAATCTAATTTCATTACACCGAAGTACTAAACCTGACAGTTCACTGTCGCAAACAGTTTTTTCCCCAAAGTTCTGTACTGGGTGAAGAACAACTAAGAACGGCTGTCATCAATCCTTTCTCCAACTTTGATCGTCAATATCTTCCGTTAGTGAAAAGCTATCATGTTGCAGTTTTCGTTGGTCTGTTGAGATTTAGTTTCTCTATTGCACCGTGTAATGATATGCATACCGTTACATTGAGTTTTGTATCATAATTCGTTGCTGAGATATGGCCGACAGCTGTTCTAAGTTGTTCACCTGTTACATTTTTTCATAATTATTGAAATTCACCATATTTCCTAACATGAAAAATGCGGGAAAATGCGTGACCTAATCATCCAGAAAAATTTGACATTCGTCTGTAAGACAAGTACAAGAATATTTTTGATTGTCATTTCAATCAAAGTATGAAAATAGTTCGCCTCCTCAGAAGGTGCTCGCCCTAGACTCTGGTGAGTTTCCTGGACTGGATACTTTTACAGCAGATAACACACAACTGAAGAATCAGATAATAAGAAGGATCTTTGAATATTCGCATCCTGATTAGATAGAACAAGGATTTGAAGATGAAGAAGATGAAGGTGACGTTAGGAAGTTCGGTTGACAATGTAGTTCATCTTTTTCTTCTCTTCTTGTATTTCTGGAAACTCTAGGCATTACGCTGTTGCCAGGGCCACACGAACATTTATTAGGAATACTAGGATATTTTTATTGTTACTGAAGCATCTGGCAAGTATATCTAATAGCTATATTCCTCACAAATTCTCATTATTGAAACTATCAACATAGTATAGAGATTCAAGATGAAAGTTGTTGATTTGAAATCAATTAGAATAATTTCAAGTATGTATTAAGTTGATATGGTAAAGTGTTTTTCCCAACCAAGGTGTATACTGTGTCTGGAATTCCCCATGAAATTGAAGTTGTTGAGTTCTTGCATGTAGATATATCGCATTGCAATGTGATTTCGAATTAATATAAGGTGACTATGTCTTCATGAACCGCTAGTTAATAAAATTACTTGAGAAGGAGTAGAAGTGATAATGATTAGAGTAAGTGGATTAAATAGTCACCGAATAGCTAAAAATCGGAAGGGTATCTCGCATGCAGTAATGAATTTGCGCCTTCGAAGTGCCCACCTGATTTTAGATTCATACATATATATATAATCTGAGACTTACGAGTCTCAAAAGACGGATTTTTAATAGTTTTATGTTTCCAAGGTACCGACGTATAGAGTTTCATGTCTGATTGTTGGATGTTTTGTGTCCAAAGAGCGAGAAACAGTGACAAAATGAAATAGAATGCGTATAACCGAAAGGGGAAAACAATCTAAAAGTGCATCACTATTGTCGCCACTCTGTTTTATAAAGTTACTCTAGTAATGGTGGATCATGTGGTGGACAAAACCTTTCATACCGAACCTTGCAAACTCTTATAAGAATCTTTTTTTTCCAAAATCAAGAAGCAAAAAAAAACATTAGGACGCTCCGCTTCCAAGTCTGCCTCTCTCAACTCACCTCGATTATTTGCGTGGTACCATCCATCAAGGTAACCTCCAAATTGATCGGGTCCTTGTTCTTCGTCGCCATCAGCTCCAGGAAACTGGGCGGCTGCGTCCTCGGCCCGTTCTGGTAGGTCCTGTTGAGGCGGCCCTCGCAGTAGGGCGCGTATCCCGGCGGCCCCGCCCTTATGAACGCCCTCAAGTAGTTGACGAAGCGGTCGGAGGGCGCGAAACAGCCTACGCAAAGGGAGAGCAGGATCCAGCCGCGGGCGTACGAGGACTTGATGTAGTTGTTGGTGAGTTGTTTGCAGATTATCGCGAAGATTTCGTCTCTGGAATGACGAAAATTGTTTTTTTTTTTCTACTAATTTTATCCTGGCGAGATGTATGAAAAAACGTATCTTGAGGTTGAAGTGGATGATCCAGCTTCGGGCGTACGAGGATTTGATGTAGTTATTGTTTAGTTGTTCATCGCGAAGATTTTGTCTCTGGAATATGTAGATGATGGATTTTTCTTATTAATTTTCTGTTCGGTTTGATCGATTGTCTTCATTTCTCAAAGAAACATTGTTATTTTCAATAGAAATATACAACATAATACGCGTACGAGGATTTGATCTAGTTGTTGGTGAGCTGTTTGCAGATCATCGCGAATATTTCATCTCTGGAATGGTAAGAATGGATTTTTTTTCTGCTGATTTTATCCTGACGAGATGAGTAAAAGAACGAATCTTCAGGTTTGTTCAGAAACAGCCAACGCAGAGTAAGAGGAGGATCCAGCCTCGGGAGAATTTGATGTAGTTGGTGAGTTTTTTGCAGATCATCGCGAAGATTTCGTCTGGAATGAGGATGGTGGACTTTTTCCACTGATTTTGTTTCTCGGCTAGATTGATTGCCTTATTACTTAAAGAAACATTGTTTTTTTCAATATAGAGATATACAACATAATACATCGCGGGCAAAAAAGGACTTGATGTGATGTAATTGTTGGTGAGTTGTTTGCAGATCATCGCGAAGATTTAGTTTCTAGAATGACGGGCGTAAGAGGATTTGACGTAGTTGGTGAGTTTTTTGCAGAACATCGGGAAGATTTCGTCTGGAATGAGGATGGTGAATTTTTTCTGATTTTGTTTTTCAGTTTTGATGCTTTATTACTTACTCCAAGAAACATTGTTGTTTTCGATGGAGATATACAACATGAAACAGCGCGAGCGTATGAGGATTTGATGTAGTTGTTGAGACGAGAATGGATTCTTTCTCGTGATTTTATTTTTTGAGTTGATCGATAACCTTTATTTCCTCAAGTAACAATATTTATAATATAGATATTCATTATAATATAAATATATACTAAGAATGAGACACAATAAAACAAATGTGGGGGAGATCACTGATTTTTTAAAACGTATATTCATTACAAAACATACACTTCCTGCGCCATTTAAAATGGTGTCAATTCATTGGTGTGACTGGTGTGACGTATTTGTCCCAACACGCCTATTGTCCTTGAGCGGACCAATCAAACTAACACTGCAGGTATCAGAGAGAGATAGCTACAGTTTGGGAATGATACGTCACCTTCATATCTGGCTTTTTGGAATATCGAATGGAATATCCTGATTTCAAAACTCTATAGATTCGATTCCCTTCAACTTCAACTCATAATATTGATGATTCATCGATTGAAAAAGATTTGGATAAAGTATCCAAAGTTGAAATCGAATTCATATATATTAAAAACGAAATCGGTTCCAAAACTAACCCTTGCGGTACACCACATGTAATGTTCATAAGGGAGCTATAAAAAATATTCACATCATCATACAAACAACTGAAAATCATTAAATAAATCAGTAATTAACGTCAGTTTTTTTTTTCAAACAGGCTGATTCATCGAAGATTTCGAATGAAAAAAAGTTTAATTTCCAACAATCCGACGTAATTTGTGATATTCGTATTGAAATTTCTACAGAAACCCTAATATAGCTAAATACTTTGACAGGTTCTGCTCCTGAGGAATATTGTGATATATGAAAATTTCGCAGAATATGTTCGAAAATGTAATAGAACATTTTTTGTTGCCAGGCGTGAATAAATCTATGAACAACGTATTGCTGAAAATTAAGAGATTTTTGTTATTTTTTCAAATTCGCATTACTTTCGTGGGGAAAATCCGCGACTTCATATAAATCACACTGTACATATATTTACCTGAGTTCTGGACGAAGAATGCCATGTCCGATAATGAAATGCAGTTTTTCTAAGTTGTTCGTCCTCCTGTGGTTCCACTCTTCATACCTGTCTTTGGCGAAAGAGTCCTCTACCAATCCTCTTCTGACATCTTCTAGCAGTTTGTTTTTCTTTTTCAATGTCAGATGGATCAATTTCTGCCTGTCAGACTTCTTCATCGAGGCGTACTTCTTCTCTTCGTGCAGAATTTCCTAAAAGTACACACGACAAGAGGATTCACAAGAATAGTGAATTTTCGAAAATATTTTCACTAAGATATATCAAATTTGGTTTTTCTGTTGATTGATGTACGAAAATTAATAAATTGGAAATTGAAAAAAATTCCTTTGAAAATTAATAGTAACATACCAAATTTTGAGAATTTCATACTTTAATGTGAGTGTAAAGGACCACTGCACAATTTTTACAATACAAGTATTTTTGGCTCATTTTCTAGAAAAGTCTGAAACCTAGAGGCCATAGTAAATCAAAAGTTAGATGGGGACATGTAAGCCGTTCTGATCGACAACGAATAGTTTCGACACAAAAAAATCCTAGAATTACCAAATTTCGATTTTGAACACCCTATATCTCTGTAATCATTCCTGCTTGACCCCAAGTGTGATAAATTGATGAAATCAGCTCTTCAGGAAGAATCTAAAAATGCAATAAAATACAGGGTGCTCCATTTTGAATAACGAAGTTGCTAGTCGTTTCTGTAGTGGCAACACTGTATCGAAGAAAATATTTTAGACGGATAGATAATGTTCAATTATCGAAGCATCCCAATTTTCAGGATGTTCTGTGTTTTCCTTCTCCAGATACTTCTAATAGGCCATCCACCGTGGATCACCCTGTATATGTGTCTAAAAGTTGATTGGTTGGTGTATCAAATGGGAGACGATACAATACTTTTAACGATTTTCTATAAAATGTTGATATTTTATTGAAATAATTTTTCGAACAAGATCCCCAAACATTTATTAAATAGTTGATACGACTCAGTATATGAGAGTAGAGAATCATATTTGCAAATTTAATATCAAGTTTGGGTCATCTTCTCAATGCACCAATAATTGGAGATTTTTTTTTTGGCAGAACATCAATATAATTGTCCCACTTCAACCTGTCATCAAACCAAATACCAAGATATTTTATCTGGTCAGTTTGTTTTAAGAGTTCATTTTTTATTTTAAGGTTGAGGTAAATTTTTTGTTTATTTTTTTGATGAAGAATCATATATTGTTTTGTTAGTATTTATCGATAAAAAGTTAGAGTGGAGCTATTTTTCAAATATTTTCAAGTCTTCATTTATCATATTTTCTGAATTTGAAGGATTCTTGCCTTCATATAAAAGTACTGTATCATCTGCATACATGGTATATTTACTCGCTAGACCAATTTCACTGATATTTTAAAGTATAGGTCCTAAAACAGAGCCTTGTGGGACACCCTTATTGATTAATAGTTTATTTGACACAGAGTTGGTTGATTTTGTATTGATTGTCCTATTTTCAAGATATGAAATCAAAATGTTTCTCACAGTGCCTCTGAGTCCCATATTGTTTCCAAGTTTTCTAAAAGTGTTGTATGATCAAAAGCCTTTTTGAGATTGATAAAAACAGCTACCACATAATTTCCTGAATAAAGTCCTCTCTGGATTGATTCTATCCCTTGTAATACTGCTGCTAGTGTTCCACTGTTTTCTTGAAAACCAAATTGATTAGAATCAGAGCTATATTTTTTGTTGATGAATTCTACAATGCGTTTCTTGAGAATTTTTTCAAAAATTTTAGAAAATATGCTTATTAAAGCTATTGGTCGTATAGAGTTAGTTGGATCCTGAGCATTTCATACCTGATACTCCTTCCTGTTGTTGAAACTCCTCGACAACGTCTCCCCCACCATTCCCATGATAGGCTCCCTCTCTCCCCCGGACCCCTCGCCCTCGTACTTCGGCTCCGGATGGTCGCCCATGAACCTGAGGACGGTCAAACATAGCGCCTGCGCGGCCAACACGTCGTCGGGCGTCGGCAGATAGTGCAGGCTGTCCTTCAGAGGTTTCTTCGAGAATTGCCAATTGGCGGTGCCGGAGAAATAGGTGGCCGCGTACTTTCTGAACGAGTACTCGCTGAGGTCCTCGAGGTGGGGCGAGGGGTACGGTAGGGGCTGTTGGGACTTTTCTTCTATTGCAGGACTCTCCTAGCCGAATTGAATTTGTTCGATTGTATTTTTCCATTTTTGTATTTTCTCTATTTTTATTCATTCATTTATCTATAGATTCATTCATTCATTTCATTTCATCCACTCATTTTATTCATCCGTTCGTTCATTCATTCATTCATTCATTCATTCATTCATTCATTCATTCATTCATTCATTCATTCATTCATTCATTCATTCATTTATTCTTTCATTCATTCATTCATTCATTCATTCTTTCATTCTTTCATTCTTTCATTCTTTCATTCTTTCATTCTTCCATTCTTTCATTCTTTCATTCTTTCATTCTTTCATTCTTTCATTCTTTCATTCTTTCATTCTTTCATTCTCTCATTCTCTCATTTTCTCATTCATTCTCTCAGTCTCTCATTCTCCCATTCTCTCATTCTCTCATTCGTTCATTCTCTCATTCTCTCATTCTCTCATTCTCTCATTCTCTCATTCTCTCATTCTCTCATTCTCTCATTCTCTCATTCTCTCATTCTCTCATTCTCTCATTCTCTCATTCTTTCATTCTTTCATTCTTTCATTCTTACATTCTTCCATTCTTCCATTCTTTCATTCTTTCATTCTTTCATTCTTTCATTCTTTCATTCTTTCATTCTTTCATTCTTTCATTCTTTCATTCTTTCATTCTTTCATTCTTTCATTCTTTCATTCTTTCATTCTTTCATTCTTTCATTCTTTCATTCTTTCATTCTTTCATTCTTTCATTCTTTCATTCTTTCATTCTTCCATTCTTCCATTCTTCCATTCTTCCATTCTTCCATTCTTCCATTCTTTCATTCTTTCATTCTTTCATTCTTTCATTCTTTCATTCTTTCATTCTTTCATTATTTTATTCTTTCATTCTCTCATTCTCTCATTCTTTCATTCTTTCATTCTCTCATTCTCTCATTCTCTCATTCTCTCATTCTCTCATTCTCTCATTCTCTCATTCTCTCATTCTCTCATCCTCTCATCCTCTCATCCTCTCACCCTCTCATCCTCTCATCCTCTCATCCTATCATTCTCTCATTCTCTCATTCTCTCATTCTCTCATTCTGTCATTCTCTCATTCTCTCATTCTTTCATTCTTTCATTCTTTCATTCTTTCATTCTTTCATTCTTTCATTCTTTCATTCTTTCATTCTTTCATTCTTTCATTCTTTCATTCTTTCATTCTTTCATTCTTTCATTCTTTCATTCTTTCATTCTTTCATTCTTTCATTCTTTCATTCTTTCATTCTTTCATTCTTTCATTCTTTCATTCTTTCATTCTTTCATTCTTTCATTCTTTCATTCTTTCATTCTTTCATTCTTTCATTCTTTCATTCTTTCATTCTTTCATTCTTTCATTCTTTCATTCTTTCATTCTTTCATTCTTTCATTCTTTCATTCTTTCATTCTTTCATTCTTTCATTCTTTCATTCTTTCATTCTTTCATTCTTTCATTCTTTCATTCTTTCATTCTTTCATTCTTTCATTCTTTCATTCTTTCATTCTTTCATTCTTTCATTCTTTCATTCTTTCATTCTTTCATTCTTTCATTCTTTCATTCTTTCATTCTTTCATTCTTTCATTCTTTCATTCTTTCATTCTTTCATTCTTTCATTCTTTCATTCTTTCATTCTTTCATTCTTTCATTCTTTCATTCTTTCATTCTTTCATTCTTTCATTCTTTCATTCTTTCATTCTTTCATTCTTTCATTCTTTCATTCTTTCATTCTTTCATTCTTTCATTCTTTCATTCTTTCATTCTTTCATTCTCTCATTCTTTCATTCATTCATTCATATATATACAGCGTGTCTCATTTCAAACGGTCCCCCCTCTATATCTCAGCTCAGAAGTTTTCTGGTTTTCCCCAAGACGGACCTGGATTCTGATCCGGATTTTCATTTAGTTTTGATGGGTAATATGAGAGGAATATTTCTACCAAGTATGGATAAATTATACAAAGTGCTTCAAAAGTTATAACCAGATGAAGATTTTGCCAAAATCAAGATAACGTCCTGTATCTCAGTTATAAAAGACGGTAGACATATCGATGAGTGGTGAATTGGAACCACCGAAGTGTCCCCTATCTACAGGTATCGTTTGTACATTTAAATCTGAAACACCCTGTATATCGTCACACCTGAAGTGAAATCAAGACATCAGTTTTGGGAAAGCGCTCAAACAGAGAACTTCATTCTTTGTGTCGTGTTATTAAACATTGTTTTGAAGTCTCATTGTTTGTAAAGGTTTTTATTCTATTCTTGATTGAACTCTTTAGTTTGAACATAAATACGATGGTTGTTTGCAACTATGAACCACCTTCAGTGGCTGGAGTATTTTTTTTATCTATCTATAGAATTATCATTTGAATTGACTCGGCCGTTACTCGATGGAAATCCAGGTAGGTACTGTTCGAAGTAATGTCTGAAACTTTTATCAAACTGATGATCTTTAATACCAGGACAAAGTTGATAGTACATAATTACAATCTGAGATAAAGCAAGGGCTGGCAAACTGAGAAAGCATATACAAGGTGTTTCTGAAATAAATACATTTAATCAGCACATCGATATGATACAGTCTAACGAATATTCCCATGATATCAGATTTTTCCTAATTCTTCTAATTAACAAGAACCCGAAAATTGAACAAAACACGAGAAAAAATTAAGTACGCCACTTTAAAACAATTTAAATGATTGAAATCCGCGTGATTGTGCCTTCCGCACGAAATTTTGAACAGAGGTGACGTCAGAATGGCTACAGTGTGTAACTTTGGATGGAAAAAGGAGTCTAACCTCAAATTTCATTTTGATCCCTATATTTTCATTTGTACCACTCGATAGTACACGTCGAGCTTACTCAAGGCACGAAATATCTGCACTTGTTTCAATGCCACCCTGTATAAGAGTATACTTTTGTTAAAAATTAGTAATATTGAAAAACAACGCTAAAATACCTCTACTATATACTCACAAAATCATCAAATACTAGTTCTGCAAAATCCAATGCAGATTGAAAATGTTTACTGGTCTCTGATGTCACATCAACTTGTAAATTTTCCAACCCACAATCAGCTGCAACTTTGTAACGTGATTTGAAAGTGAAAGGTTTCTTTAAAATATCTAAAATTGAAGGCATCATCCGCATCAACTTGTAAATCTGAATAAAGTACCTCTATTTTGTTGCTCGTGATTTCAAACTAAAATATACCCACCATACCTTACTTCTAAACATCAAAAGGCGCCGAATCTTCATCAATTTCACTCGTAATTGATAAAAGTTTGATAGAATCTGTTCAAAGGTGCCGCTTCATTATGTTTCTTTAGATGAGTTTTTTAGAAAAACATTCTCCAGCAATAAACAATTATTTATGTATCTATAATACGGTAGCTAATCGAACTAATAACATCACTTTTATCTTCTCTTGTCTCCCCCGGCATTAAAACGCTATCGCAATGAGGAAAGTGATATGATCTTCAAAGATAATTATTATGACACTTCAGTTTTCTTACCATCGGGAATTCGTTTTCCTTGTTCTCGAAACTGTTCCTGTTCAAGAAATCGAATTCTTTGTCCACCATTTGTTCTGCATCATTGCTAACCTGTTCCAGAGCTTTCTGTTTTGCTATGTACTCTCTGTTGCATTTCGCCAATCTTTGTTGCATCAGCATTTCAGCTTCTACCTAAAACGAAACATTGATTTTCTTTTGATGCAGATACATTTCTGAATCCCGCGAATATCCAAACTATTTAACCATCAATGGCCACCATAGAGACCATGGAATAAGCATGTCTCTAGATTTTTGATGACCAATTTGAAACATGTCAACTTACCACACACCCTAAGACTTTTTGGTTTCAAATTCCATAGAAAAAAAGTTATAGGTAAGCCTCTGAAATCACCATTTTAAATTTATTAAGAAGGAATATTCTCATCAGATATATTATGAACAAAAAAAATTATACATATAAAGCGAAATACATTGCGAAGTTGCATTGTCTATCTGATAAAAATATCAATTCTTTCTGGAATGAATAATATGAATAATTAAATTCCTACATTTCTTTATTTCTGATTCTGATCCCTACAGAAAACAATGAATGCACCCCTGAACGCCGATGGACATACATTAAAAATATCATGTGAAAATCCGTCATTTTCTCTGAAGAAGAATTGGGTGTGTCAACATTCTTGACATATGTCACTTTTTAGTTTTTCATTCCCCCGATCTTCATTGCTTAGTCACAATTTAATTTTTTTGCGGGTGGAACGAATTTTGGCATTCCGACATCTTCTATTTTTGACCCTAGAAAAAAATGAGTAGATATGCCCCCGAAGTCTTGATTCGATTTCGATTATCTATCGACGAACTTTCAACATGTAAAATTTCTGACAATTTTACGGTTTCATCACTGTACAGTGTGTCCAGTTTTCGATGCTTTTGCATGATATCTCAGTTACCTTTGGAGATAAAACCTTGCGGTTTTCGCGGTCCTGTACCACTTTTTTGTGAAACTCAAGATGGCCTAATCAGATTTTGCAGAACTGTTTCCGTTTATGAGATACAGGGCGATTTTGAAAATTTATACTTTTTGGACCTTTTCTATTTCTACGAAGTTTCTCAACAAAAATGTCAAATCAAAACCTAATCGCATAAAAAATTTAACGCAGAATCCAGTGGCGCACTTAATTTTTTTTCTCGAGGTATGGTTTTTAAGATACGAGTCAAACTTATGATTTTTTAAATGGAACACCCTGTATTTCATAAGCTCATTGAATTCCTTATTTTTTTGCCTTCAGAATGATATATGATAAATGAATATAAAATGTTCAAAATTGCCCAAAATCACTAAAATATTGAATTTTGATAGTTGGCTATGGATTTTTCTTATAAAAAACGTTCCAATTGAAGAAATATTTCTTCAAATTTCTCCATGGAGAGGTCAAAACCAATATCAACACTGATTAATTAACAGAACACTAAACTTGGGTACCTGATAGCAACAAATAAATAGTAATAAAAAGTTCATTATGCAGAATAAGCACCTGATCAAGTATTTACTAAAACAATTGAGTTTCAGAATAATTCAGTAACTTTTTTATTGACATGTTCAAATTGATGTCCATTTTCCTTAACATACAGTTGACAAACTTTCTCAATACTTCTTAATACAGTGAGTGGCCCAACATACTTGTAGAACTTTGTGCAACAACAGAGGCAGTTTTCAAGGAATTACAAAGACATCATTCAATGATTAATATGTACTGAGAAAGTTTGTGAATGAAAATATACATCAATTTGAACAATTCAATGAATAAATTACTGGGAAATTTCGAAATTCAATTGTTTTAGTAAATAATCAATCAGGTGATTATTCTACTTTATAAACTTTTCATCACTATATATTTGTGGATATCAGGTATCTAAGACTTGTGCTTTGTTAGTTTATTCGTGTTGAAATTGTTATATTCCCCTTCATGGAACAATCAAAGGAGATATTCCTTCAATTGTGAATTTCTTTATATGAAAATCCCTCGAAAAACCCATAGCCCACTATTGAAATTCAATGTTTTAGTGGTTTTTGAAAATTTTTGAAAATTTTATATTCATACATCATATATCATTTCGAAGGTAAAAAAATAAGAAATTTAATGAGCTTATAAAATACAGGGTGTTCAATTTAAAAAATCATAAGTTGTATCGTCAAAACCATACCCCAAAAAAAAAAATTAGTGCGCCACTGGATTCGGCATAAATTTGTGTATGGGTTAAGATTTTAATTTGACATTTTCGCTGATAAACTTCGTAGATAAAGAGGGGGTCCAAAAAGTATAAATTTTCAAAATCGCTCTATATCTCATAAACGGAAACAGTCCTGCAAAATCTGATTAAGCCATCTTGAGTTTCACAAAAAAGTGGCACAGGACCGCCAAAACCGCAAGGTTCTATCTCCAAAGGTAACTGAGATATCATGCAAAAGCATCGAAAACTGGACACACTGTACAGTTTGACCATTCTAACTCGGCCTCTGAGAATTGGATGCGCAGTAGACCAGTCGGTGGATTCGGGCGAGAGCTCATTATTGTCGAGGAACTGCTTCAGTAAACATCGGTTAGAACAGTACAGTACGATTATACTTCCCAATAAAAAGGCGTAGTAGATCTTTCTCGCACACTTACCATCTCTGTTTATCGTTTACGCATCTTAGGGGCCAAGCTAGAACGGACAAGCTGTACCTATCTAACACGTATGAAAATTTTGAATCTTGAATGAAATAATATAGTGATAGGATTGAGTTTTTTCTCGAATGATCTATATGTTTTGTCTTTCATCGCAAAGACCTAAAAACATCAGTATATTCGATGGTTCTGCTGTAAATAGTGTATTATTTGAAAGATGTTCTTTTTGAGGTATATGAAGATTTGTTATAGTGGCGTTGTTATAGATGAGTTGTTATATTTTAGTTCATGAATTTCGAGCCAAGATGATACTTGATACTAAAATAATATCAGGATCTCTCGAAGTATAAATTATTGTGTCATCTGCAAAATAACTCACTTTGTAATTTCTGATGCCTTTGCCCTTCATCTCCTCCTCGTCCGCCCTACGCCGCTTCACTATCCCGTAAATCTCCCCGAACTGCCCTCTGTTGCGCCCTAACCACCCTCTGCACATCGCCTGTACGCCCACCACGCCCTTCCTGATCTTCCCGTAAGATTGGGCGTGCCGCCTCGACAAGATGCACGCTTGCAGCCGCTTGAAGCCGTTGCGCATGACCAGGAAACGCCTGCGGTGGCCGCGGGCGCGAAAGTGCTTTTGCAGCACTAGGGCGGCACGACGCATAGCGAGGAATCGCCTGCGGTAGACCCAGCCCTTTATGGCCTTCTGGAGGACCTGCGGGAATGTCGGATTATTCAGTGTAGCAGGGTTGAACATTGGCCATTGGTCTGCCTGACACGAATATGCCTACTGAAATAGGCATTGTCCACTGTCGCATATAATAAAATAATTCACGGAGTAATATTTTTTTTTAATTGAATTGCTTTGATTTAGGTTCAGACTTAGGACGTGTGTTATAATTTTGGTTTACATAGGAGATAGACTTATTTTGCATCCAAATCAGGCAGTGATCGGTATACAGTTTTCTTACACTCCATAGGTCAGTTTCCTTGTAAAGTGCTTCAGTGGAGTATCTCTTATATTATTGAATGATCGTAATGTTCAGAAAATACATTGGTCATTCTTTTCGTACATTAATCGCCACAGTAGACATTGACAATTCTTTAAAGAATACCATTATTTATATAGAAGATTTTTATTGTTCATTCAAAAACTAGCTTCCAGTCAGAAATAAAATTCTGGCATGAGGAAGTTGATTACAAACAACAATAATAAAATAATATAAGGTGACAACAACAACAACAACAAAAATCAAACAAATCTAAAAATGCTAAATCGATCAAGTCATAAAAATAGCCACAGGGACTAATCAGTAGATGGCAAAGTATAAATTTTATCTATTTCGTAATGAAATCATGTGTTTTTTTAATTCAACTTTAAATTTTGAAATATGTCTGCAATTTTTTATATTATGTGGTAATTTATTAAATTCAGCTAGAGCAGCGTGAGTAAATTTTTTTGGCCAATTATAGAAGTAGCAGAATCAAGATGAAATAAGTTTGATTGTCTCGTGTGATGACCATGAATTTCTGAGTTTCTTATCAAAATATAATTGGATTTCAGATTATTGTTTATTATATTATATGAAACTTTAAGAGAATCTATTTTATTTAATTCATCCTTAAAATTTTTCTGTTATGGCATACAGATCATTTGTTGGGATATCAAATGAGAGGCGATATAATGTAGACATGGTATGTTATAATAAAATTGTTATTCTCTTTGAGTGGCAGTCTTGAAATATTCATTCGCGGAGAAACAAACAGAGTAGACAATGGCCGTTCTGTGACAACAGAACTATCCTTGACAAATTTTACGAGACAGACATTGGCTCTTTTAACAGAAATACATTTTTCACGGTGATATCCAATTGCAGTAAATTGGCCCATGAAGGATGGAAGAAGACCAGTGGCTCAATTAGGAGGGGGCTAGGGGGGGCTAAGCCCCTCTCAGCTCGCAATTAGCCCCCCCCCAGAATGAATAAATAAATCATGAACTAACGATATCTACATATCTACCGTAGATCTTAACAACCTTTTATTTGTATATCATTCCTAAATTTTATTTCAAGTTTTACTGGTTGCCTGATAATGCTTCTGAAAAAATAACGAACGTAGCTATTGTGAATTTGATCAGACTGACTTGTCTAGTGGTGGAGTGAAGACAGTTCTGAAAAATAGTTTAGCAAACAAAGGTCAGGAAGCACAATATGACACTCTCAAAAATGATCTCAGGTTAGAAGTATTTCCATCATTATATGTGCTTTTTCAAGTAGCAATAACATTGTCAGTATCTTCTGCAACGTGTGAAAGGTCATTCTCCATAATGAGGTTAATTTTGAATTGGTTACGAATTTCAATGGGCCAAGAAAGATTCCCTTCGCTTGGCCTATTATTGATAGAAAATATTGATCTTAATACTAAATATACCTTGATGGGATGAAACCAAGTGCAGAATTTTGTGAATTGGCGTAAGAAGGATCAAAATAATAAGCATTGTCATTCATTGGAATATGAGACATTCTAATAGCAAGAAAAACGAAAAAAATCACGCATGAATTCCATCAGTACCAAATTATTTACGGCGATATTGTATTGGGAATTTGTTTCCTTTATCAAAACTATATAATTTATTGAGAAATGTGCAAAGTAGAGATGAGTCTATATTAAAGGATCATTTTTATTTATGATTCTGAAGAGATTGTATAATATTATGGCTCATGTTTCGACTTTCCAAACCTCCATCATCAGCCATAAAAGCATGAATGAATTCAGTAGGACAATCGGAGATGAAAAAACTTGAAGAAACAAATTATTCAACCATAATTGAAAAATGTTTTTTGTTAGCAAATATACTTTCTCACCTGTATAGCTTTCTCGACGACCTTGCTTCTCGACTCCTCCAGACACTCGTGCTCGTGCTGCTTGAGAAACACCTTCGTGTGTCCCAGCTGGTACCTCTGAGGCGTATTCTCGCTATCCTTAAACGTCTCCGCCAAAATCCTCGACGAGGAGTTCTTGCAATCACCCTTGCTGGAGGGCGGCACATTCTTGGCCAGGTACCTGATAGAAACAAGGGGTTCTAGCAAAAACAACATTTGTCACGGAATTGATTTTTTTTTCGTTATTGGTAACATTGTTTCAAGAAATATCATATCTTTGCCCTACAAAATATTGCTAACGATAACCTCGTGTTGGTGTTTGCATCAATTTCGCAAAAATCGCACTTATCACAGACACGTGCTTTTTTTGTTTTGGTTCCCTTTCTTTCTTCTAATTGCGTTTTTAGGTTATAATTTGTATTTTGTGTCCTTACAAAATAGTGAAATGCTTTTTCGGCAACCGTCCGGGAAGTGCTTCACGGACGCTTTTTAATAGTAGTATTTTTCCAGCCTAGTATCCGGGAAGTAAGGACTTCCCGGACTAGGCTGGGAAGTATCACATCGTTGTTGTCACTGTAACTGTGAAAATCTTTGTAAATAAGGTTCTGATATATGCAGATTATAATTACCATAGCAGCGAAATATCGGTTGTTGTATTAGTTGACATTTTGATTTTTGAAAGCTTGGTTGCAATTATCGCAGTAAACTATCGAAAGCAACAGCGGAAATGTCAATACGAAATTTCCAATGTACCTGTTAGTACCTAGTTATAGGTATATTCTGTTCGAATTCCAGTATTTGAAACAAATAAGAATTAATAAAGAGGAAAATGTATTCCACAAAGTAATATAATATGGAAATGTGTCTCATTGAATTGTTATTCTACATATGGTTGCCGAAAAAATTGTGTACGCAACACGTCCAAAAAAAAATTTTTTTGGACTCGCAGACTTCCAGGACTCGCATACGGCTCGGCCTAGAATTCTCACTTCACTTCACTCGTCCAAAAACATAGGTAAGCAGACAAAATTGAAGAAATAACAAAAAAATATGATGTACTGTATATACGCACATAGCTCAGAACGACTGCAACAAAATGTCTTTTTTTAATGGGCCGGGCTGGACATACTGGACAGGTAGTGTTGAATAAATATGAATAGCTCAAAGTCATTTCCACAAATATTGATAAATGAACGATACCGACAGAAAAACAACTGCTATCCTGGCTATATGCCACGCAGAACATAATTGAATTACATCCTCCCGAAATCTATGCAACGATTCGTATAGATGAATAAGATCGCAAGAGTCTCTTTCCTACCAGTTTCGTTGCTGAGTTGTGTTCACGTTGGGACAGGTTCGCACCAGATGGCGGTCATGAATGCTATCTAGGGACATCCCTGCACCGTCTGTAGATTTGAACACAGTTCAGCACTCAGGAGAGAAACACTTGCGATCCTATTTTTCGATCTATACGAGTCTTAGCATAGATTTCGGGAGGATGTCATTCAATGTTCTGCGCGGCATATAGCCAGGAAATTAGTTGTTATTCCCTCGTTATCTACCAGTTCCGTTCATTTATAAGCATTTGTGAAAATGACATTGAGCTATTCATATTTATTTAAAATATATTGAGTATTTTCCTGAAAAATATGCTTTTTGAAACAATTAAAAAGATGATTCATCACACACACTTTTAATTAAAACTACAAACTATTTTTTTTTCAATTCCACCTATTTTAAGAAAATTAATGTTAACGCTCTCCTCTTTTATATGTTTTTCTTTACAAATGCTGTTTTTTCCATAAACCCTTCAACTTTCAAACACAGTGATATTTTGGGGCAAATCATCTGGTTTGTCCTCCCTACACGTGAGTTATGTAGCGATCGTTCCCATGGATTTGCCGTTCTCATAAAATATGTTGATGTAGCTTCGCTGATCTAGCGGTATTCCAGGAAAACTCTCAATTCGAACCTGTGAGAGCAAATCGAGTTCTAACCTTCTGCCATGCCAATTGTCAGAGACAGTCGGTCTGTATGTTATATATAGACATTCTGTAGGTATATGTTCATATATCTTATCGAGATATTTCTTGTTAAGTTTGACAGTCAGTCTTTGAAGGAGAAATAAATAAACTTCAAAACTTGTTAATTTAATATTTTGAATCATAATACTTTACCTATTATTTTGTTCTCTCGTTCAAAGTTTTGGCGAAGGGTCTTGAAGAGAAATCGGTAAATCAGTATAGTGATTTTCGTTATATCAGAGAGAGACGAAATTATTGTGATTATATATGTCTCGTGTATAGAGTTTGTATTTGAATAAATTGTTAATTTAATATTTTGAATCATAATACTGTACCTATTTTGTTCTCTCGTTCAAAGTTTTGGCGAAGGATCTTGAAACGTTCTCAAAACGCCAGAATGTCTTGGGTCAGATATAAATATCGGCAGGTAGCCCGACGGGAGTAGTATTAGATAGAGATATCGATAAATCAGTATAGTGTTTTTCGTTATATTAGAAAGAGAAGAAATTATTGTGTTTACATAATATGTCTCGTGTATTGTAGACTGTATAGTGTTTGTATTTGAATAAATCGTTTTGTTTTCTACTAAAAGGGTTTGTAAAAGACCGAACCCATCAGACGTTTTCATCGTAACAATACTCATATTTTTATGATTTTATCTTATAGAAACGAAAATCCCAATATTGTAGAGAAATGAATGTACCTCATCGATTAACCTATACAGACAGTATTTACCTGAACCGGTTGACGAACTCGATGTAGGTGTAGCGGATAGGGTAGCCTGCCTGCCGGATTTTTGCCGTTTCCATCATTCCGGAGTAGCGAAGTTGTCTCGTGCAGAGGACCTTGTCAAAGATCTGGAGGAAATGTGTACTTGTGGATTTTTTGCAAGAATGGGAATTGCTATTACTTTCATCATATTATAATGATGAATCAACTGGATAAAGAAACAAATACATTTTCTTTTCAAGAATAATGCTATAATAATAAATAGTCTTTAAAAATTCCTGTGATATCTTCAGAAGAAAGCTTTTAATCAGATTTCATATTAATAGCAATGAGGGAGGAGAAAAACTGAACAAATAAATAACTAAATGAAATATGCAATGAAATGGAAGATAAACAGTTAAATCAGAATTAATCCATAATATAAAGGAAAGAGTTGAGTTGGATTGATAATAGTATATATTGTTTAACGAGCACGGAATGATAGTGATTTCCTACGAGAATAAGTGGAATTTTCGCGAAAATATTCAATGTTGAACACTTGCCAAAAATGCTTTCAAAATAAATGAAAAAAATCGTTATAGATGACGAAAACTATCGATAGATACTTTACTTGTGGCTTTTTATCGTGATTCGGCTTGATGCACCTCACGAAATAGGGGTGACAGGAGTTCAAACTTTTCATGAGCAGATCCAAGGAGGTCCTGAATTGGGACGACAGAGTTTTCTTCAATTTCGAATCTTGTTCTGCCTTGAACAGGTCCTTCAGCAGACCGTTCTGAGATCCCAGCATCAGATTCTTGAGATCCTGGCTGAAAGCATCCCTGTTCTTTTCTAGAAAACCTACACCAAAAAAATTGCATGAAAATAATAATATAGTATAGGAAGATGAGAAGAAGTTATGTCGGATATTTCCCTCATATACAGGGTATGTCACGACGAGCTTACACTATCTCTATATCGAGAATCAGTCGGGAGAAATCCATGAAAATATGCATGCTTATATTTTGGAATACGCTCTCTTTATCTAGAATATTTTCAGCAATGCAGTGTTGCCGCTTCTATCAAAAAGTAGCAACAACTTTGTTATTTCATATAGAATACACTGTATTTTATTGCATTTCTAGATTCTCCCTGAAGAGCTGATTTCATCGATACATCACACTTGGGGTGTATCGGGAATGATTACAGAGATATAGGGTGATCAAAGTCGAGATTTTTCAACTCTGGGGTTTTTTGTGTCGTCAAAATTTGAAAATTCAAGATGGCGGATCCGATATGGCGGGGAAGAGTTTTGTAATTATAATCTGATTCTACTCAAAATTGGTATCTGGGGATTTTCGGGGACGGAGATCATGATTCTTTCATCAAAATTGGAAAATTTAAGATGGCGGATCCAATATTGCGAAGAAGTTTGGTAATTATATGATTCGATTCAATTCAAAATTGGCATCTGGGGGTTTTCGGGGTCGGAGATGAAAATTTGAAAATTGATATCTGGGGGATTTTCGGGGTCGGAGATTATGATTCCTTCGTCAAAATTCGGAAATTCAAGATGGCGGATCCAATATGGCGGGGACGAGTTTTGTAATCATAATCCGATTCTACTCAAAATTGGTATCAGGGGATTTTTGGGGTCGGAGAGATTATGATTCTTTCATCAAAATTGGAAAATTCAAGATGCCGGATCCAATATGCCGAACGAGTTTTGTAATTATATGATCCGATTCTATTCAAAATTGATATCTGAGATGTTTTGGGGTCGAATATTATGACTCTTTCCTCAAACGCTGAAAATTCAAGATGGTGGATCCAATATCGCAGACGACTTTTGTAAATATAATCCGATCAAGTGATTTTCTGAAAAATATAATGTTCAGCAAGAAGGTTCATTTAGGCCGATTAACGTTTGATGGTTTAAAAAAATAGTGTCCTTTTTTATTTAGGAGGGATATTTTCCTTCCTCCTCGAAAAAAGTACTGTCTTTTAGGAAAAAGGTTCATTTTGTCCGAGTAAGGTTAGAGTAGTGTCTTTTTTATGCAGGAGGGATATTTTTCTTTCTCCCTGGAAAAAGTACTGTGGAGGTATCAACTGTCGAGAAAAAGTTCTGACAAAATTAATTTCTCAATCTTCTAGAGTAATGGTTTCTTTTGGCCGAGTTAGATTGTATTGTTTTAAATAATAGTCTCTTTTCACTTCCATGTGAGTTCATGAAAATGCTATTTTCTTCTTTTTGGGTTATCCTATCAGTTCAAGAACATTGAAGTACTTTCTGTCTCAAGTTAAAGAAAATAAGCAACATTGATATGACTGACAGGGGATTACGCGAGGTCCCCACCACTATTCCATTTTATGACGCAGATTCCGTAGACGCAGGACATAAGTGAACATTCCGGATTGTATTTCAGGGACTGATGAATAATTCCAATTTTTCTGAAGGAAACTTCGAGCCTGTGAAGAAACTAAAAAAAAAAGCGTTATTGATAATAATATTTTATCACCTGGGACGTCATAAAAGACTTCTCCTGCATAATGCTGGATACCGAACGCTGGCGTGACGTCACTCTTCGGCTTGGAATAGTATCTATTCTTCCCGTGCTGCGTGTGCATTTTCGTCAGCAAAGAAAAGTCGGTGCCGTTGGGAAACTTCGATTCCTCGTCGATCAAAGAGAACACGTTCAAATGTTTCGCTCCCAACATATCCAGGATGACTTGATTATCGACGAACTCGATGTGCGACCAATTGATGCCCTCCTTGGTGTAGTACTCCTGCTCCATTTTGAAGATGTGATGGACGAAAAACTGCTGCAAATTCTCGTTGGCGTAGTTGATGCACAACTGTTCGAAGCTGTTGACGGTGAAATTCTCGAAACCGAAGATATCGAGCACGCCTATGCTGCTTTGCGATTGTAGCTTGTTTTGGGAGATGACGACGTTGATGTTGTCGACGATGAAGATGAACAGTTGCCCATAGATGCCCTTCGAATCAAGTCAAAATATACACGTTTTTGGATGTACGACAAATTGATATTCATCATACAGGACTTGGAAAGAAATTCTGAATTGAGAAAACCTAATCACGAATCTGCGATTAAAGGTCTATAAAAATAACAAAAAGGTTCCATCGATCAATTTTGAACCCCTTGATTGGGTGAAAGTATTAGAAGGAATATTTCCAGATACATTATGAACATGAAAAAATGGATATTGTATATACATATAAAGAAATACATTGAGAATTCGCATTCTCTATGTGATGAAAATATCAATTCATCCTCGGTTTATTCAACACATAACTACTTTCCTGGCTATATGCGACGACGGATATTGATTATATCTATTGAACACATACGATAATAAATTGAAAAAAAAAATTCTGGAGTTGAAAATTTGTAGGTATTTTTCTTCAGATAAAAATATGTATGCACATAATATCATACTGAAGTCAACAGGAAACAACTATACTTTCCTGGATATTTGCCACATCGAACATTGAATTATATCCTATTGGATGTTTAACAGATTCTATTCTATTGATTCTATTGAGCTGGAGCTTTTGAAAATGTAAATCTCACATATATTTTCGAAATTTATGGGTTTAATTCTCAAATACATACATTTCTTGCCAAATTTTCGTTTTTTTATAAAATTCATAGTTTTTTCAGACTGCAGTGGAAGTGTGAGAAAAATTTGAAACATTTTATTTCTGATGTTCGTGTGTGAGACCTTTGAAAATTCCCTGTCGCAGTTTACAAAAACGATATACAGGATGAACTTTTTGCTATGGATCAAAATTTTCAAGAACGGTCCTGGATGTTCCCGATTCTGTCTGAATAAGTCATCAGCGAGTAGTAGCGGAATATTCTATGAAAAAAATCAGACGAATCGAGGAAGCTGTTGGAAAGTTATGACCAAATGATATTTTTGCTAGATCTCATAATTCACCCTATATGTTGAAGAAGAAGTGAAGAAGACGCTTCCTGATGGACATTCGGTATTCCCCTCAGGGGCCTATATTCGTGGTAGGAGTATGTACAGTTCTCCATGACTCACCCTGTATAGACATATGAAATATGTCTAGGTATAAAAGAATATCAGTTATCTGGCAATGATTCCGCAGAGTTATCCCCACAACTCGCGATTTCATTCATTTGCCCGTGTTTGGCGTTTAGCATTGTTGGTGCATATCTAGTTTTCATTACTGAGGAAAATTGTGCTATTAGAGTTTTTGCTGAGATATTTCTTGCTACTATTACAAGAAATCATATTATTGTTATACATTTTCGAATAGAAGCAGCACCTTGAAATCCTATGATAGCAATAACGACTTTGCTGAAAGTGAATTTCCTGCCACAGGAAGGTATACTGCTGTCGCTATCAGGCAGCCACTCTGGGACAGCATGATTTTTTTTTACAATTGTCTAGCTGAACTACAACTAGTGAGTTTTATGCTTATGGCTGAGAGGTTCATCGCATAGAACTGCACTCACTACCAAAAATACAACTGTCAGTCTGACACCAAAATAATATTTGACGAACCTACTTTGGGGTTATTTAGCGCCTACTTATCGTTATTCGATATTTTGCTGATTTGTCTCCCTCTATATAAGCATTTGTCAGACATCTTGTTTGATCAATCATTCACAGTTGGGCTCTTGATGCAAACCCATGTACAGGACGACAATCTCGACGACACGACAGTTACGAATTCTTCCCCTCTTGAATTCAATTCATTATTCAAAATCTGAATCTGAATTAAAATATAAAATGGAAACATTTTTAAACAAATGAAAAAATCTTCTGTGTCCCTTTCAGTGCTTTTGTAGATCTTCAGTTATTACCAGGATTGATGGAATGATAGAGGTGAGTTTTTTTCGAGGTATTTCGGCTGAAATTGAAATATTTTACATTCAACATTTACTTCTTTGTTGTACCATGAAACTTCGAAATTGTTAAATATGTTCCAGAGCTTCTCAATAGAATGTGTTCCAAAAACTTATTGTGAGCAAAAATGCCCAGGTTATGTAATTATTTGAATTATTTTAATATAACTTGCCTAGTTTTCGAAATAAAATGGTTTCTGGAAGTTTCAGAAAACTTATTGTTTTCATCAATTACTCAAAAACCTTTGTTTTTCTTGAGGGTGCATGAATCAATTGATCTATTGAATTCCAAAGATCATTGGTCCGAGATTTTCTTCAGGAATCAATAAATTGCTATTCATACCAAACATCAGGGTGCAAATTATGGGAAGTGAAATTCGATATCAGTCAAAATTTTACCTGCCTTGATGACAACAATCCTGGAAAATAACTGAATAACTACAGTGAGCAGAAGGTCATGTAACTAACTATATGATCACCCAAGAGTAGCAAAGTTCCCTACCTACGACTATAACATTGTCCTACTCCCATATTATTATAATATGCACTCACTAGCGGTAGCAAGGTTCTATATCTTATGATCGTAGGTGGGTTTTAATTAGCAAAGTCGACTTTATAATCACTCGCTTGTCCCCTATGCTATTAGAGTTTCTTGCTGGGGTAATTCGATTTCTGATTTTGGTTAATAGGAATTCTCCTCAGTTATCGATTTATGAATGAATCGCTATGTCTATCTAATGTTATTCAGTATTATTACCTTGACGAAGGCGTTCCTCGATTCCGCGGCCTGCTCCTTCGACAGATTCGCCACCACTTGATCGCCATGCGCGTGGATCGTTTTCTTCGTGAGCGCTTCGCTCAGATCGAATTTGTTCACGCCCAGAATCTTGGAGATCTTCTCGTTGAGGCTGGCGTCAGCCACGTCCGAGCTGTCGCTGTGGCTGGAGCTGCCGCTCTTGAATTTGAGGTTGCCGAGGTGCAAGATGGCCGCCAGGATGGAGAAGATGTCGCCGACCGTTTTGTCGGAGAAGTTGAGCACTTTGAAGGCGGCCACGATGTCGGAGAATTCGTTTTGTTCGTTGCGGCCGGCGCAAGTGAACGTTCTGCCGGCTTTCAGATAGTTGTAGGATTCCGCATCGGCTAGTTCTAACCTGAAATTGATTCAATATCATGAACCAGAAGAGTTTTTTTTTGTTTTTTATTGGTTAGCCACTAGACAGAACAGGGAATTATACATACAGGGACTCTAGACAGAGCCAATGACGGCTAAATATCAAGTGAGACAGAGCCATAGTCTTGCAACTATTTAGTGGTTTGAGACAAAATGTTAAAATTTCAACAGATTAAAGTAGGTACACAGGGTGATTCACGGTGGATGGCACATTAGACGTTTCTGGAATACATGACTCAGGATTATTCTGAAAATTTGGTGTCTTGGATAATTAGTTGTGTTCTATCGACCTAAAATATCTCAACGTTGCGACGTTGCCGCTTATATTGGAAAGTAGCAACAACTTTGATTTTTTCAACGAAACACCCTGTATATCATTCCATTTTCAGATTCTGCCTGAAGAGCTGATTCCATTGATCTATCACACTTGGGGTCTAGCGGGAATGATAACAAAGATATAGGGTATGAAACATCGAAATTTTTCAACTTTAAGAATTTTTTGTGTCGAACTATTCATTATTGATCAAAACGGTATGGTACGATACGGTAGATACAGGGTAGTCAAAAATCTTAAATCTGAACCACCCTGTATTTATTTCAATTGAATATCAATTGATAGTACATGGAGATTTAAGATAGGGACATGAAAACTGTTGATCTCAAATGTGGATTCTCATCAAATGTATTTCTTGCTCCCACTCTTCTTGGTCCAAAATTGATGTTTTCGAAAAGCAAAAGATATGAGGTCCTATAGTTGGAAATGTCATAAGACATATTTGTCAAGCCTTCTCTGATTTTGGTGAAAATATATATCAATTTTCTGGTGTTTTCAACTCAAAAGACAACATTTCTTGAAAATCTTAGATTTCTGTCTAGAACCTCAACTATTATATTTTTTGTTTTCTAAAAATATAAATTTTGGGGCGAAGAAATAGTTGTGATACGTTGTGATATTTCGGAATAGTTTCATTTCAACTAACTTGCCTTAAATGTAAGTAAGTAACGGAGGTTTTTGTGACTTTTCTCAATTATTTAGTAAAACGGTAGTTGAGAAGAATAATATTATATGTGATATGACTTATTATATTTATTATAATTTATTGTAATCATATAGCTGATCCCACAAAACATTGTTTTGCTATATACATTATTGGATCAGCCATCTTGAATTTCCTAATTTTGACCCCCGATCACGAAAACCACACTATATATATGTAAGCACCAATTTTCAATAGTATCGGATTATAATCACAAAGGTCGTTTGCCATATTGGTTTCACCATCTTGAATTTCCAAATTTTCTCGAAGGAATCATAATCTCTGGCCCAGAAAACCCCCAGATATCAATTTTAAATAGAATCGGACCATAATGGGCGTGTACACCTCAGTAGAACTTTCAACTCAAACCATGTTTATAATGATCCTTTCATATATAAATAATGATTGACGACATAATTCGATCGAAAAATTAACTGGAATGTTTCATTTTTGGACATAAATAATAGTACCTTCTGAAAACGGCCCCTCTCATGACGTAGAAACCTCATCTCGCCATAGTTAAAAAAAATACCAAAAGCCCGACGGAGACTGAGGCAACTGATATAGTAATTCCTTCAACTGTGATCTCGCGCTAAATCACTCTGTCAGAAATCATGTATCATTCATCTCTGTCTGGAATAGTCTTGTTTCAGTATTAGGGTTTTGACGTCACATCATCGCCTCGTTTTCAGAGATCCGAAAAATCGGGGATTTCAATAATTTTTTATACAACGTAGGGAGCTCACAGCAAGAAACGGTTTGCGGTGGTGAGCTAGTTCGAGTGAGTTCTATCGAATTATAAAATGAAAATTTTTTGTGATATAAGCCCATTACAAAACTTGTCCGCCATATGGGATCCGCCATCTTGGATTTACAAATTTCGACGGTAGAATCATATAATCTCCAACCCTGAAAATTCCCAAATCCCAATTTTGAATAAAATCGGATCACAATCACAAAATCAGCCATATATTGGACAAAATTCGTTTAAAATGCAATATGAAATGTACTCACTAAGATTGCAATCACCAGAGAGTCCAATCTGGATCAGTAACGGGGATACGGAGGGAAGAAAGTCAAGGTTTTTTTTTCAGTTAAATAAAATTTAAGCTAACTTAACATGTTTCAGAACGTATATGCTTATTTATCTCAAAAACGGTCCGTTTCTCGAGATATATAGAGGAGCAAAAAAGCCTCTAAATTGAACAATCCACACAATTTGATCAGTGAAAGATGCCAGAGATGTACTACGAGAAAGTTTGGGGGGATAAAGAAGCCTCTACCACCAAAAACGTATCACCCTGTAGATTTTGAAAATCTTTAAATGGCTTGAAATGATGATCTCCTAGGAAACATTGACCATTTCAAATTCAAAAATGATATCTCAAAAAGTAAGCGAGATATTTCAATTAATAGAAAAATGACCCCCTGTATAGCTCCGCTACTGAACGAGATCGGACTGATAATTATATAAACTTTTTTGATTGAAATGATGAAATCTATCTCCCATTTTAGTTTGTGCCTTAAAACCTGAATCACCCTGTATACCTAAAAGATGAAAAGTTCTCACCTCTTTTTTTCCTCTTTGCTGATACCGGCTAGCATACTATAGAAAATATGATAGTTCCTCTCGCCGTCATTTTGCGAGACTATCCTACTTTTCTCCAAAAGGTACTGGTCGATCTGAGCGCCCTCTATGTTCCCCGCTTTGTTGAATTTGATGTCGATGTATTTGCCGAACCTGGAGGAATTGTCGTTTCTGACGGTTTTCGCGTTTCCGAAAGCCTCCAAAATTGGATTGGCCTCGAGGATTTGCTGTTCCACCCACGTGTGCTGAGCGCTGGTGGAAGCCAAGTACTGCAAGATCAGTTTTGTGCTTTCCGTTTTGCCTGCCCCACTCTCCCCGCTAAAACGATTCTGAATATACATCAATAAAATCGATGAATATACAGGGTGAGTCATAACTATTGGGACATTGGCTAAGAGCGGATTGTTTGGACCAAAATATGGCGATAGGACTAAATATGCCTTCATAGAATATTGCTGTGGAAAAAGATACAGGGCGGTGAAGTTGACTTTTTATTTTAGTTTTTTGCCAATAATTTCACTGTATATACATCAATTGTTTTCAAAATTGGCACAGAGGCACAATTTCATACAGGTAATATCATTTTATGTACTATTCTACATTTTGATACAGGGGGCGCCACGTGAATGATTCCTGATGATGAAATCGCCTGGCTACTTTTTTTGACGAAACTTTTGAGTGATTTTGATTGGAAAATATGACCTAAACATCATTTTTCTGCAACCGACACAAAAGTCGTCCATTTTGATACCAAAATTAGCTCTTAAATTGACGTTTCTATTACTGACACAAAAATAGGTATGTTGCTAGGCAACATATTTAGTTCCTAGGAGCTAAAGTTGAATTTTAGTTCCTAGAAGCTAAAGTTGAACTTTAGCTCCTAGGAAACAAAAAGGATCTACTGGACGTCATCAAGAATAAACAACATTGTGACGGTTTGTTATTTGGGTTGAGACGCATACCTGATTTGTTTCCGATTTCAGCAGATTTGGCATTTCGGGGACCGATCAGTTGGACCACGAGTACCTGCATTAATCCTTGTTTGAAAAAGGTCGAGTTAAGCCCACCCTGCAGTTCGACCATCAGATTAAAATTTTATTTTCTAATCGATTTAATAGAATTCTTCCAGTAACCTAAAATGTATACCGAGGAAGACGAAATAACTATCTTAGAAATACATCTAGAGCATAATCACATGGAAGATAGTACTCTTAAGATTAGGTTAGCAATGCTTTGAAAAGGCAGGCGTTAGAAGATCTAACAGAAAGACCCTCCAAGCTAATTCATAAGGACTTAAAGGTTTGTTCTTCCCTTATGAAGTAGGAAACTTTTTTTCTGAAGAAATTCATTCATAATGCGCAGTAATCCAAGTCTATCGAAATTTTGCGATTATATCGTGAAAACTTATATCGATGAAGAAGGTAATTTTCCCCCAAGTATGTGGGCTTGTACTACAGATAGTATGTACAGGACCACGAACGCGTGTGAATCATTTCATTCTCATTTTAAATCTAATTTTTATAGTTCTCACCAAAGTTTGTTTAATTTTGTAAATATTTTAATAAACTTTCAAGCAGAAACATAATAATATATTAAAATAAATTTCGTAAAATTTTCCACCAAAAAACTAAAAAGTGCAACACGGAAAAAAAAATTATTTAATTGAAGCTAGATTTCAGAATATAGAAATGACCTTTTATCCCAAAAAGATTTTGTAAAAATTATGTCTTATAATAATTCACCTCAATAATAAATAATATATGTTGAGAAAATAGTGATGGTTTTAATTCTTAGAAGACAACCTTAATCCGCTCGAGGAGCGGTCGTGGTCCAACTGATCGGTGTACTTGAAACAGGTACCTGGCCCGTGGTCGAACTATCCGACTCCCGGCATTTCATACCCATGCTGGAGATATAAATACACCTTATTATAGTTTAGTATTGGAATAATGGCAGATTTGGCATTTCATTCCCATGCTGGAGATATAAATATACCTTATTTTAGTTGAGTATTGGAATTATAAACATCTCAGTTAAGTATTTTTGTTTTGATCAGGGAAGCCTTCAAGATTCAAATACTTGCTTGATCTGTATTTCATTCGTTATTCTTGGGATGAATAACTTGTTTTTGAATAATCACGGCAAGCAATAGTTTTTTGTCTCAAACAACGATATTGTTTACCTTCATTTGATTATCAAGTCAAACACAGTGTAGTATGGAGAGGAATGAATAATCACTATTATCATTGTTGATATGCTCACTAACCTAACATTTTTCACGTCTTGTTCCTATAGCTGGCACTGGCTCGGTATTTGCCATTAGAGCACCTGATGGTCCATACACAAATATGTCACTTTGTGGTTGTATTTATATTGAAACTACAATTCGAACATCCTAGAAAACCTAACCTAGCTGCTGTTAATGCAGGTAGAATATTCTCACCACATGGATTATATTTGTCAATATTTGTTGCATTGCATACATATGGCACGGCATTGGTGGTTACTTCACATGTTTATTTGAGTTAATTGTTTTGGTTGCAGAAAAAATAGCATGTTTCATTCGGATCAAAAGTGACTTTGTTAGACTCGCAAATTTTGCTTTCGCTCGGCTTCGCTAAACGCTCCGCCTCGCAAATGCAAAATTCGCTTGTCAAACAAAGTGTCACTTTTGATCCTAATAAAACAATCTACTATTCTACGTAATATTTGGTACTCTTGTTTTAACACGATATTTTCATCCGTTTTCGAGAAGAGCGCTATTGAACAGTTCAGAGTCTCAGAAGTTAATTACAAATTATATTTCATTCATGGAGAGTGTGCTATGAACTGTCAGATAATGTTGCTGGTAATGGCATTTCTTGTCAGAGAATGAATTTTGGTGCAAGTTTATAGTTAAAAATTTTTCGATTGAAATGCCTCGTCACAATCATTTTATGAATGAAGAAATGCGGGATGCAGCCAGAAGGTATAAATTGTAATATCTCTAATATCTAGGCAGAAAGCAACCAAATCACAAAACTTTCTCAAATATATTCCATATACAGTGAAATTATTAGCAAAAAAACGACAAAAAACGAAAAAAATCAACTTTAACGCCCTGTATCTCTTTTCACAGCAATATTTTATTAAGGCATGTTTGGTCCAATCGCCATATTTTGGTCCAAACAATCCGCCCTTAGCCTATAATGTCCCAATAGTTATGACTCACCCTGTATACATCAGGTTGTTTCATAATGGTATTTTATGCAGGACCTCATATCGTCCAAAAACATGAAATAAAGTTTATAGTTGTTTTTTATTGTCGAACCGTGTTCAAGATTAGTTTTGAACTGGTTTCAAGCGTATATAACGTAGTGATTTTTCTCATTCAAGAAAACAGACTATTTTGAAATGGAATAAGCTGTCATAAGTCAAATACATAACACGACATAACCTGAAAACCGAAATCAATAATTAAATTTTGAAATTGATGATTATCTGTAAGAACTTGGGAAGTGTTAAAGAATGGAATTACTAATAGTGGAATTTTTAGTTGATAATAATCAGCAGATGAGGCAAGGTGTTTGTCTTTCACAAATGCTGAACGAGTCCAGAGAAATAGATAATAATCTGGAAACTGGAAGGATTATTCTTCTCGAAAATTTCCAGCATCCTAAAGTGAAAAATTATGCACTATACCCTCATCGCACTCCATTTTTTATTCTATATAGTCTGAAATAAACGATATTAGTTGGTGACGTCATAACTTGCACAAGAAAATGCTTGATTTCAAATCGTTTTGAACACGGTTCAACAAGAAAAAACAAATTTTATCAACTTATCCTCGAAAATCAGAGATGGGTAAATTTCAATACCGTGTATCTCGGAAATGGCCCATTTTAGAGGGTGAGTTAATGAAACTTTTTTCCATATTTTTAGACGAGCTATCACACCCTGTATATGTTTCTACAATTTTTGATAGAGCGTCACTTGTTCATCTATGGTTATACAGGGTGTCCCGAAATCACATAGAATGATTTCAACTGCAGATTGTAGGAACGAAGATATAGTTAAAATGAAATTTTGAATAGAGAAGTGGAAAATAGGAGGGGGTTAAGGGCAAGGTTAAGGGCACCTTCTCCCCCAACTTTTTGTTTGTGAAATTTTTGGCAGTATGACCATCAGGCAATATGAAAATATCATCATTGTAATCTCTCCATGTAATTTCGGAAATATTCGATTCTTTTTCAATTTTCTTGTTCAATTCACAGATACATTTATATGTATCTGACAATCAAGAAATAATCAATCATGATTATCTATGACTAATATAATTCAGTCGATGAATGAATTTTCAAATAGGTCTTTAAAAGAGTAGGATTTTATTGGAAAAAAGTACTGAAATATTTGTTTTTTCTCTTTTTCTATTACCTTATAACAATGCATTGATCTTTTCTGGTACTTTTCATATTATTGTAGCTGGAGTCACCTATAGCAAATATATGGGGTGGTACCTCTTCTAAGGGCTTGTTTCTGTATTCGTTTATGGTTGCATTGGTGTAGATCGGCAAAATTTCATAGGGATTTATTGCTATCAACATTGAACCTGTATAAGTCTAAAAAAACGAAAGATAATGAAAGAAATGAATTAAAAATAAATTAGTCAAACTTAGAAGGTTGTAGGTACTATTGCAAAAAAGTGGACTGAATGGTCTTAAATCGTGCAAATGTAGATAAATACTTGAATTTTTGATGATTATTTGATATACACAAATGAGGTATTAATTTTAAAAATTCTATATAGTGGTGTGACTCACGTAAATCAATTTATCTCTATATCTTTTGTGAAGGTTCCTCAATATCGTGAATTCCTGTAATTCGCCCAAATTAATCATGTCATCCACTCCTTGGATGGAGGAGATGTGCATTGTTTTGAGTATCTGTTGATTGGATATGTACGATTCTTTGCCATCATCGTCCACAATTCTGACTCTGCTGGACTCGATAGCGATTATTTTTCCACCGATGGGGATGTCAAATTCTCCCTTGGTTACAAGGCTCGCCCAGATGTAATCACCCTGTAGAATGACATGAATTCGTCATACATTTACATAGAACTATAATAGGATACCTATTATATATGAATAAACTATATATTAACACAACCTATAGCTGTTTTCATTCACTTACCAAAACGAATTTGGGATTATCTGCCATTATTGTGAAATTTTTCCAATAATTTTCACCTCTACATACATACAAACCTAATTATCCACTATACAAAATATATCTAACATATAAAATATAACAGTTTTTACCAAACACATTATTATAGTTCTGCCACTTTTTACGCTCAACTATTTTATCACAAAATCTATAACTATCTCAAAATGGATTCAAGCATAATGATTTATCAGACCCAAACCGATAATAGCACTTTATTGTTATCGGATATTTTATCAACTGATAGAAAAATATAATCCAGATATCTTCTATAATCATAAATAAAAAAACAATATCGAGTATAATGATCGAAGGTGAATAATCAAGTGATAAAGTTTTCGCCAATACTCACCAAATTGACATTTTTCAAAATTACAATTTCACGATATCATTAGATTAGTAAAAGCGTCATATTGGTCGACGTATTTTTTTTAATTTCAGCGTATTGTTGAAGAACATGAAAAAACGTGGGAAAATCTGCTGAAAACGTGCTGCCATCTGTTAGAATATGGAAGAAGTTCGTATACCTCTCCAAATAGGAAACTGTATAGATTTAATGCAGATATCTATTAACATGTTTCAGTTTCAGCTCTACCAATCTTACAACTTGCCTCTTGCGACTCTTGCCAGTCTTGCCTCACCTCAATCCCTCATTCCAAAATAAAAACAACTCATGTTTATTTTTATATTTTAATATATTATTAGAAATGGAAATAATATAGAATTTTTTTCAATGAATCATTTGAGATGATGGATACCTTCACAACTAAAGTGAGAATCACGAAAGTTCAGTGAATGCTTTAATTATGTTCAGTACTTCCAAGTTAGGTTATATATTGGTCATAATAATTTTCATGGGCTCAGTTGCAATATTATATCAAATCCAATTAACAAGACTGCATGATAAACTCATAATCTTGGGTGAGTAAAAAACTCTGGTGCCACAAGTTCCTTCAATACCAAGCTCTCATTTTTCAAACAACCCTAATCTTTGAACTTCTTTTCCAGAACATCATCAAGAGAAATTCCAATCAAAAGAGAAACAGATACTCAAAAAACCCACCCTAACTGATGACGACCAACTCATTTTATACAATCGTGTACCAAAGACTGGATCAACAAGCTTTGTAGGAGTAGCTTATGATTTGTGCAAGAAGAACAAGTTTCATGTTCTTCATGTGAACATTACAGCAAACAGCCATGTGGTCACCCTGGAGAACCAAGTCAAGTTTGCTACTAATGTATCAAACTGGGAGAGCATGAAACCAGCTCTTTACCATGGCCATTTTGCATTCCTTGATTTTTCCAAGTAAGTAATCTTTCCCTTTCATGTTAGTCAGGTGTTGAAGGGTTTATATTCTGAACACACTGTACTATTTCCTGGAAGGATAATTTTTGTTGATTTTATAGGTTTGGTATGCCAAAACCTCTGTTTATCAATCTAATAAGGAAGCCTCTGGAGAGGTTTGTGTCTTACTACTATTTTGTAAGATATGGGGATAATTTTAGACCATATCTGGTACGAAAGAAACATGGAAATACTGTGGTATGATATTATTGATATTGTCCATCTATTGAAAGGCTCTGTACATTTATATTTAAATTTTTTTTACAGACATTTGATGAATGTGTTGAGAAACAACTATCAGATTGTGATCCCAACAATATGTGGCTGCAAATACCCTTTTTTTGTGGGCACTCAGCTAATTGTTGGTGAGAAAACCAGTATTTTATTAGAATGTAGGCCCACTAATTTGTATACCAAGTGTTACATACTAACATGATTCTTAATTTAGGACATATCAGGTCCAATATATAACTCTTATGTGCAGACAACTTTTTCATTCCAGGAATAAATAAATCTACTCTAGCAATTAGGATTCAGCATGAAATCATCTTTCCAAAATTAAACCACACCTCAACTTTATCTAATTCATATTTTATAAAATTTGTATATTTTGCATTGGGTGTGTCAGAACATTTTCATGAGTAAAATATATTCAATAGGTATCAGAGGAAAAATATTTGATTGGTCAAAAAATTATCTGGAACATAGGAAAGCAGTATGTTGAAGTCAATAATATTTGTAGCTCCATAAGGGAGATCAAATGTGGTGTACCACAAGGTTCCATTTTAGGTCCAATTTTATTTTTAATTTACATCAATTCAATATCATCTTTGAACTGGAGATCTAAAGTTATTTGCAGATGATACTACAATAATCTATTCCTCTAAAGAATTTAATGATATAGTTGATGACATAGAAATTGATTTGAAAATGATATCATCTTGGCTACAAATTCATAAGCTGACTCTCAACTATGACAAATCTACATATATGTATATTTCTGATCATATAAATTGTGTAAAATGAGGTTATAAGTTGATAGTTAAAATTATTAAGACAAATTTTATTTTCTTCTTTTTAGAGCGTTTAAATAAAACCTTTTTATTAAAAAGTTTTTTTTTTACTTTTAATTTATTTTTTAATTTTTAGTTATCGCTAGCTGGATTTTTCGATTTACTCTGAACGAGCCTTTTCATTTGATACCCATATTGTAGAAGTATATTGAAAATGACCATTCCACCATCTTGGATGGTCAGCCATAATGAATTTAGAATGACGTCACATCATTTTTCGAGTTACTCTCAACGAACCTTTTCATTTGATACCCATATTGTAGAAGTATAATAAAAATAGCTATTCCGCCATCTTGGATGGTCCGCCATATTGGATTTAGAATAACGTCACATTATTTTTCGAATTACTCTCAACGAGCCCTTTCATTTAATACCCATATTATAGAAGTAGATTAAAAATGACCATTCCGCCATTTTAGATGGTCCGCCATATTCGATTTAGAATGACGTCACATCATTTTTCGAGTAACTCTCAACGAGCCTTTTCATTTGATACACATATTGTAAAAGTATATCAAAAATAGCTATTTCGTCATCTTGGATGGTCCGCCATATTGGATTTATAATAACGTGAGACACCTTATCGTGCATTGTCATACAAACTGAACGTGTATACAAAATTTCAGCTCAATCGGTTGAAGATTTCTACTTCAAAATTGAGTTCAAAGATTCCACCCGAACATACATACATACATACATACATACATACATACATACATACATACATACATACATACATACATACATACAAACAAACATACAATGCAAGTTGAATGAAAGCGTTTAATAATTCTAATAATAATTAAAAATATATACTCATGACACTATAAACGGAGCAATTTATTCTCATATGAATACTTGGAATGATTTTATTTTGATTATTATGTTATATTGACATAACTCGTTAATTAGTTGTTTTTTTTTTCATTGTATATATAATTATAAACAAATATGTTTCTTGGGATAATAAAGAACAACAATAATCCAATACCGAAAACTGAAAAGACATATGAACTTATGTAGACCTCTGACTGTTTCTCCTATTTAATTTTCCAGCACCAATAAACTTCCAAATTAACCATTTCAACAAGAATATTCACCATTCTTTCCAGGAAACCAGGCAACAAATGGGCTCTGAACGAAGCCAAGAAAAACCTAGCCAACAACTATTTCCTAGTAGGAATCACCGAGGAACTCCAAGACTTCATTCAAGTACTGGAACTGTCTCTCCCTAAGTTTTTCAAAGGCGCCTCAGACCACTATCTGAGCAGCAACAAATCCCACTTGCGCAGGACCGTTCAGAAGGATTTGCCGACAGAAGAGACCGTGGACAAGATAAAGGCCAGCCCGGTGTGGCAGATGGAAAATGAGCTTTATGAGTTTGCAGTGGAACAGTTCCACTTCACCAGGAAGTCTTTGTTGAGGAACAAGGAGCAACAAGTTATGTACGAGAAGATTAGGCCGAAGATGTGAACGCGGTCGTTTTATTGTATTTTTTGTGATATATGAGATATTTTATATACTTACTGAGGATTATTTATTGACTCTTGTCTTTGGATTGGCCTTTTATTCACTTTCCCAACCTTCATTTCACAACTAGTCTTGAAATTTACCATTATGTGCACTACCACTTTTCATGGCTTGGGATGGTTCTTGTCTACTCACTTCATGAGCTGAATGCATTATTATGGTCTCTTTGTATATTTTGCATTCAACTACTATCCTTGATAAGGCTACTTTATAGTTCATCAATAAGTCTGAAATATTTCAATTATAATTTTACTAAGAATTTCTGAAAAAAGTTTGGCATCCATCTTACACTGCTCAATGTGCCAAGATCCAAAATTATCTCCGCTATCTGTAGAGATATCGACTCCATTTTGATTCTGCCACCTAATTAGGCAGTTTTTCGACCCAGCAAAGTCATTTTTGCAGTCAGAAATGAGCTATCTCTGCTCTGAAAAAAGTTTGGATTTCGTCATCGATCCTACTGCTCAATGTGCCAAGATCAAAAATTATCTCCGCTGTAGATATATCGACTCCATTTTGATTCTGCCACCTAATTAGGCAGTTTTTTGACCCAGAAAAGTCATTAATGCAGTCAAAAATGAGCTATCTCTGCTCTGAAAAAAGTTTGGATTTCGTCATCGATCCTATACTGCTCAATGTGCCAAGATCAAAAATTACCTCCGCTATCTGTAGAGATATCGACTCCATTTTGATTCTGCCACCTAATTAGGCAGTTTTTCGACCCAGAAAAGTCATTTTTGCAGTCAGAAATGAGCTATCTCTGCTCTGAAAAAAGTTTGGATTTCGTCATCGATCCTACTGCTTAATGTGCCAAGATCAAAAATTATCTCCGCTATCTGTAGAGATATCGACTCCATTTTGATTCTGCCACCTAATTAGGCAGTTTTTTGACCCAGAAAAGTCATTAATGCAGTCAAAAATGAGCTATCTCTGCTCTGAAAAAAGTTTGGATTTCGTCATCGATCCTACTGCTCAATGTGCCAAGATCAAAAATTATCTCCGCTATCTGTAGAGATATCGACTCCATTTTGATTCTGCCACCTAATTAGGCAGTTTTTCGACCCAGAAAAGTCATTTTTGCAGTCAGAAATGAGCTATCTCTGCTCTGAAAAAAGTTTGGATTTCGTCATCGATCCTACTGCTCAATGTGCCAAGATCAAAAATTATCTCCGCTATCTGTAGAGATATCGACTCCATTTTGATTCTGCCACCTAATTAGGCAGTTTTTCGACCCAGAAAAGTCATTTTTGCAGTCAGAAATGAGCTATCTCTGCTCTGAAAAAAGTTTGGATTTCGTCATCGATCCTACTGCTCAATGTGCCAAGATCAAAAATTATCTCCGCTATCTGTAGAGATATCGACTCCATTTTGATTCTGCCACCTAATTAGGCAGTTTTTTGACCCAGAAAAGTCATTAATGCAGTCAAAAATGAGCTATCTCTGCTCTGAAAAAAGTTTGGATTTCGTCATCGATCCTACTGCTCAATGTGCCAAGATCAAAAATTATCTCCGCTATCTGTAGAGATATCGACTCCATTTTGATTCTGCCACCTAATTAGGCAGTTTTTTGACCCAGAAAAGTCATTAATGCAGTCAAAAATGAGCTATCTCTGCTCTGAAAAAAGTTTGGATTTCGTCATCGATCCTACTGCTCAATGTGCCAAGATCAAAAATTATCTCCGCTATCTGTAGAGATATCGACTCCATTTTGATTCTGCCACCTAATTAGGCAGTTTTTCGACCCAGAAAAGTCATTTTTGCAGTCAGAAATGAGCTATCTCTGCTCTGAAAAAAGTTTGGATTTCGTCATCGATCCTACTGCTCAATGTGCCAAGATCAAAAATTATCTCCGCTATCTGTAGAGATATCGACTCCATTTTGATTCTGCCACCTAATTAGGCAGTTTTTCGACCCAGAAAAGTCATTTTTGCAGTCAGAAATGAGCTATCTCTGCTCTGAAAAAAGTTTGGATTTCGTCATCGATCCTACTGCTCAATGTGCCAAGATCAAAAATTATCTCCGCTATCTGTAGAGATATCGACTCCATTTTGATTCTGCCACCTAATTAGGCAGTTTTTCGACCCAGAAAAGTCATTTTTGCAGTCAGAAATGAGCTATCTCTGCTCTGAAAAAAGTTTGGATTTCGTCATCGATCCTACTGCTCAATGTGCCAAGATCAAAAATTATCTCCGCTATCTGTAGAGATATCGACTCCATTTTGATTCTGCCACCTAATTAGGCAGTTTTTCGACCCAGAAAAGTCATTTTTGCAGTCAGAAATGAGCTATCTCTGCTCTGAAAAAAGTTTGGATTTCGTCATCGATCCTACTGCTCAATGTGCCAAGATCAAAAATTATCTCCGCTATCTGTAGAGATATCGACTCCATTTTGATTCTGCCACCTAATTAGGCAGTTTTTTGACCCAGAAAAGTCATTAATGCAGTCAAAAATGAGCTATCTCTGCTCTGAAAAAAGTTTGGATTTCGTCATCGATCCTACTGCTCAATGTGCCAAGATCAAAAATTATCTCCGCTATCTGTAGAGATATCGACTCCATTTTGATTCTGCCACCTAATTAGGCAGTTTTTTGACCCAGAAAAGTCATTAATGCAGTCAAAAATGAGCTATCTCTGCTCTGAAAAAAGTTTGGATTTCGTCATCGATCCTACTGCTCAATGTGCCAAGATCAAAAATTATCTCCGCTATCTGTAGAGATATCGACTCCATTTTGATTCTGCCACCTAATTAGGCAGTTTTTTGACCCAGAAAAGTCATTAATGCAGTCAAAAATGAGCTATCTCTGCTCTGAAAAAAGTTTGGATTTCGTCATCGATCCTACTGCTCAATGTGCCAAGATCAAAAATTATCTCCGCTATCTGTAGAGATATCGACTCCATTTTGATTCTGCCACCTAATTAGGCAGTTTTTCGACCCAGAAAAGTCATTTTTGCAGTCAGAAATGAGCTATCTCTGCTCTGAAAAAAGTTTGGATTTCGTCATCGATCCTACTGCTCAATGTGCCAAGATCAAAAATTATCTCCGCTATCTGTAGAGATATCGACTCCATTTTGATTCTGCCACCTAATTAGGCAGTTTTTTGACCCAGAAAAGTCATTAATGCAGTCAAAAATGAGCTATCTCTGCTCTGAAAAAAGTTTGGATTTCGTCATCGATCCTACTGCTCAATGTGCCAAGATCAAAAATTATCTCCGCTATCTGTAGAGATATCGACTCCATTTTGATTCTGCCACCTAATTAGGCAGTTTTTCGACCCAGAAAAGTCATTTTTGCAGTCAGAAATGAGCTATCTCTGCTCTGAAAAAAGTTTGGATTTCGTCATCGATCCTACTGCTCAATGTGCCAAGATCAAAAATTATCTCCGCTATCTGTAGAGATATCGACTCCATTTTGATTCTGCCACCTAATTAGGCAGTTTTTCGACCCAGAAAAGTCATTTTTGCAGTCAGAAATGAGCTATCTCTGCTCTGAAAAAAGTTTGGATTTCGTCATCGATCCTACTGCTCAATGTGCCAAGATCAAAAATTATCTCCGCTATCTGTAGAGATATCGACTCCATTTTGATTCTGCCACCTAATTAGGCAGTTTTTCGACCCAGAAAAGTCATTTTTGCAGTCAGAAATGAGCTATCTCTGCTCTGAAAAAAGTTTGGATTTCGTCATCGATCCTACTGCTCAATGTGCCAAGATCAAAAATTATCTCCGCTATCTGTAGAGATATCGACTCCATTTTGATTCTGCCACCTAATTAGGCAGTTTTTCGACCCAGAAAAGTCATTTTTGCAGTCAGAAATGAGCTATCTCTGCTCTGAAAAAAGTTTGGATTTCGTCATCGATCCTACTGCTCAATGTGCCAAGATCAAAAATTATCTCCGCTATCTGTAGAGATATCGACTCCATTTTGATTCTGCCACCTAATTAGGCAGTTTTTTGACCCAGAAAAGTCATTAATGCAGTCAAAAATGAGCTATCTCTGCTCTGAAAAAAGTTTGGATTTCGTCATCGATCCTACTGCTCAATGTGCCAAGATCAAAAATTATCTCCGCTATCTGTAGAGATATCGACTCCATTTTGATTCTGCCACCTAATTAGGCAGTTTTTTGACCCAGAAAAGTCATTAATGCAGTCAAAAATGAGCTATCTCTGCTCTGAAAAAAGTTTGGATTTCGTCATCGATCCTACTGCTCAATGTGCCAAGATCAAAAATTATCTCCGCTATCTGTAGAGATATCGACTCCATTTTGATTCTGCCACCTAATTAGGCAGTTTTTCGACCCAGAAAAGTCATTTTTGCAGTCAGAAATGAGCTATCTCTGCTCTGAAAAAAGTTTGGATTTCGTCATCGATCCTACTGCTCAATGTGCCAAGATCAAAAATTATCTCCGCTATCTGTAGAGATATCGACTCCATTTTGATTCTGCCACCTAATTAGGCAGTTTTTTGACCCAGAAAAGTCATTAATGCAGTCAAAAATGAGCTATCTCTGCTCTGAAAAAAGTTTGGATTTCGTCATCGATCCTACTGCTCAATGTGCCAAGATCAAAAATTATCTCCGCTATCTGTAGAGATATCGACTCCATTTTGATTCTGCCACCTAATTAGGCAGTTTTTCGACCCAGAAAAGTCATTTTTGCAGTCAGAAATGAGCTATCTCTGCTCTGAAAAAAGTTTGGATTTCGTCATCGATCCTACTGCTCAATGTGCCAAGATCAAAAATTATCTCCGCTATCTGTAGAGATATCGACTCCATTTTGATTCTGCCACCTAATTAGGCAGTTTTTCGACCCAGATAAGTCATTTTTGCAGTCAGAAATGAGCTATCTCTGCTCTGAAAAAAGTTTGGATTTCGTCATCGATCCTACTGCTCAATGTGCCAAGATCAAAAAATCTTCACTTCACCGTCTCACTTTTCTGCATCTATATGTTCCTCTCTCTTCATACATCGGCCCAGTTTGTGAGCATTTTCAACTTTTGATGAGATTTCGAGTGCAATAAAAAAACAACGATAGAATTACATTTTAATGAAACATCATACATGCATAATGTCCATCAAATAGAAACAATATTGCAAATGACTAGACACCTTTCTTGCACTCTGCGCTGATTACATCCTCTCTTTGAGCAAGAACAATGTGATCATTCCAAACTCGAAAACAATTCTTAATTAAAGCTCTAAAATTATACAAAATGGCAGTTCAGTCAATGAATGAAACAAAGTATCTTAAAATATCATCGCATCGCATAGGTCTCTCTCATTTTTACTTTCAGTGTCTTTGACTCAATATCATTAAAGTCTTGAGACATGACTTGGGAGACAAAACTCATCAGTTTGGTGGATCCTCATCCTAAATGGTCAACAATCTTGAAAACACCAAATCCAGGCAGTAAAATCTATCTATTTTTTATATAAAGTTAGGAAATCTACTTGAAAATAACATTTTCATCTTGTTTCTTCTTCTCGTGTAGATGAATTGTCAAAATTCACAAACAAGGCTTTACCGGGTGTGAACTGATCAGAGTGATACTAATTTCAAAGTCATATAAATAAACCAATCATATAGTGATAATTTATGACCGGGTTCTAATTGGTTTACAAAATAAAAATTTTCTGAAAATGTTCATAAATTATTTTGAAAATAATAAATATAATTCCTTTCAAATATGCATGCAAAATTTCAATGTACTTTGTGACAACAACAAAAGAGGGAGGAAAAATATTTCCTTGAAGAAGTCAGAAGAAATTTGTGTTTTGAATTAATAAATTGGGGAAAATATTTGAAAGACTGATGGTATCCAAAAATTGATTTGAAATTTGTGCATTTTATGCCCCAGAACACCCTTGATAGTTTTGAAACCATTTTTTTTATTTTTAATGTGAATGAATGATTCCCTGTCATAATAAGCTGGTTACATTTCAGTTTTTTCAATGTTATTTTAAAACTTTAGATTTTTCTTCCTGGATAGACCTGGAAACAAATCAGAAATAAAAATGATTCCAAGAGAATTATCATCGCAAGATTCGAAATAAGCACAGATTCAGAATTGAAATTTCCTTGCAGGGCACAAAGTCATATTCTAATAGATATGGAGTTTTCCAATTATTTCGTTTTTTCAAGAACCAAACCAAACAATAATCATTTTATGTCACATAAGCGATATTTGATATTATTGAAAACTTATATTGCGGAATATTCTGAATAATTTAATGGAATTGGAAAAATATATATGAATATACCTAGGGAAAATGTCAGTATTAAGTCAAAATTGGCACAGATCTGATATCACGACGTAATTATTGTGTACGACCATACCTGATAAAATTAAAAAGTTGCTATTTTCGTATCTAGTGCGCAAAATGCTACTTTGGTGATCGAGAACTGATTTTTTCAACGAGGCGCAGCCGAGTTAGAAAAGTAGTCGAGATGACCAAAGTATTTCGCGCATGAGTTGCAAACAAAATTTTTCTTGGCATATAAATAAAAACGTTAAGAAATATAAATATTGTGTAGTAATATGCTTAGCTTGATATAGAAAAAAAGTTTCAAACTAGCTTAAAAGGCCTTAATTATTGTAAAACATTCAGAAATAAATGATTTTTTGGATGTTTGCTCGATTGAGGACCATAAAGTTTAAATTCAAAGATATAGTTTACATACAATGCGCGAAGTATATAATTCGCGCATCGTTTTACACATTGTCTGCTAAATATGGAGTAAAAATCAAGTGAGCTGGAGTATCTGGTCTGCTCAAACAAGGAAAATCACCTACAGGGTTCTGTGGCCGATACAGTAGTGCCGCCATACGGTCAACTCGAGGAAACACTCATTTCAATTGTTTTCCTGTCAAACCTACATAACCTTGAAAATCGTAAATCGCGATAGAAAATAACACATCGCTCCACCTGACGGCAACAACTTGAACACTTCTGAGCGGTTTGTTTTGATGATGTGACCAATAAGCACGAACAAAAAACAAATGTGAACCAATGAAAACAAAGTAAACATGCCGCTTTGACAGCTTTCAAGAACTCCGATAGGTGGCGTACGCTTATTTTCTATCGCGAAATGAGTTGAGACTCCAGCTCACTAGATTTTTTCTCCATATTTAGCAGACAATGGTTTCACACATGGTGTCGTGTTAACGTAGGAAACTGAGAACACGTGTCACTTCGCAAATTGTTAACAATGCGCGAACCTCTTCGTCTTTTGACGTTTGTAGAAAAAAGTAATTTCAGGAGAACCGTCAGTACTAGAGCCTATAAATTAGCTCACATTCACAATTAGCATATATCATTTCATGTAATATCTCAATTCAAATCAAAGTTTCAATGACTACCTTGAGCATCACCCTCCACATCCCCTCCTCAAATCACATAGTTGGGCGCCATCACGAAATGCAAACTATTGGAAATCTGGTTGCTCAAATTCTTCGACAGCCCCAACGAATTAGCGTCTTTCTGTATGCCCCCGAACATGACCAGCTCCGACTTGCCCTCCACCAACGTATACAGGATGGTCTCTTCGGGGCCGTTCCTCATGTTTTTGGGAGGCAGCCAGGTGGCTCTGTGGGGGGGCTCCAAGATGCCGGCGATGTCCAGCACGTAGACACCCAGATGGTGGGTTTTCTTCTCCTTTTTGAAGGCTTGCAGGAGGATTTCCTCGTTTTTGACGAGGCACGCGAGGCGCTTTTCGCGCATTTTCTCGGCGTGCTCGGATTGGCGACGGTCGTTGGATTGGAAGGCGGCCATGTTTAGGCCGGAAGTGCCGGGCAAGGGGGTGATCTGGGAGAGAAATAATGGTTGGCAGGGTCGTTGATTGATTCCGGTACTTCCAGTTATTGTGTCAATTTTTGAAAAATAATGTTTATACTATCATGTGACCTGTCATAAATGAATTTATATATACATAACATGATCATATAAATGAATCTGAATCATCGAATTTTCCGTACAATTCCCTGGAACAAAGTGTTCTTACCTTGATGTGCGCCCCCACGTGGCCCTCCTCCTCCTCCGCCTCCCTCTTCTGGTTCCTCAACGTGCCCCTCTTGCCGTTGACGTTGTCGTCGCGGTCGGTCCGCCTGCCGGCCAGGTCGATCCGGGCCAGACGGCCGTCCTCCGGCGACATCCGGTTGACGTTCATCGTCCACGTGGCCTTCGGGTAGTACGCGATCGGACTGGCTTCCGGCTCGCGTATCCTGTTCAGCACCACGATTTTGTCGCCCATCTGGAAATTGACTTTTCTTCATGTGTAATATACCACAAGTGATACTATTTTGCCAGAAATATTCGGCGATTGTTGCCTTATAATTTCGACGAATGACGCTGTTTATCAAAACTTTCGAGCGTAGACGAGAAGTTTTGGAACAATATCATGAGGGAAACTAAAGCAGCAAGCTAGAGTATGTTAAAGTCACTGGATGGTATTAGAGTTCCTAAATGTACTTGACACTGCTGATTTTGACGTTTTTTGTATATTAGAGTACCGACACTAGACAAGCAGTGACAATCAAACATAACCACAAACGATTTTGAAGCGAATCATATGTTTAGCCAGACAAGGACAAGAATATGTTTTTTGCGCAGATAAAGGATCCTCGCATCTTCCTTCCTCCACAAGTCCTAGGAAGAGTACATTCATGAATCTTTCTGTCTTTGAGTCGGTAAAAGGGTACGATATATTGATTAGAAAATTATTTATTCTAGAAATAAGTCTCTTATACGTTCAGTTGAATATTTTTTCATCACAAACGTTCAAGATGGGGTACAAAACTGATAAATTTCAACCAATGAAACATACTTTTATTTCGTTTGGAACAAATTCACTTGCACAAGGGTGGAAGGTAGAGGGATCTTAGGTAGGGTGATTGATAAATGAACAAATGATATGGCAATAGGATAAACAATAAAGGTTCTCCAAGATATAGGGAAGTAGGTATACATGAACTTCAGCGCTCGACTCACTATAGATCAGTTAGATCACCGTTCACATTGCTAAAGGGAATTGTTGGTTTCAACCCGGCCATCGGAACCTAACATAAATGGTGCACTCGTCAAGAGTTCTTGTTCTGTGCTATGATAATATCATGAATTTTGCTCAAAATTGCGTGGATATTTGCTTGTTCAATTTTCTTGTATGTCTCTGAAGATATTTGCTGATTTTGTTTCAAATCTAAAATAATTTTCAGGTAATAGTTCTGAATTTTGCTAACTCTGACTTTTGTATATTATTTTCCAACTATCTATTTTTTTCGTGAATTCCACACTCTCTTCCACTCGTAAACCTTGGATTTTTGTATATTCCTGCTCTAAAAATTCGATTCTCAAGTCTTTTTCTTTCAAAATATGTTGGAAATGAATTTCATTATCTATAAGTTCTTCATTTCTTGTTGGTTCTGAATTAGAATAAGGTTCTTTTCGATACTCGCTCATTTCATAAATTGTGGGTTCGACTCTTTCTCTCAATACCATCCTATTCTTCAACATCAAATCTTCCGTTCTGAAGTGTCGTACCTGATAAAAATGCGTTTTTATGCATTTTGGTTATAATAATAAATACTGCCGTCGTTAAAAGGGGTATTTACTATCAATTGAAATGGGTGTTTATACCCTATTTCCATTTTTCATCTACGGCTATGATTGATTTGACAGGAAATCTAACCTCTAAAATCGTATCTGACAATCGAGTGCTACTAGGGAAATTGAAAAGACAAAGAGCAGAATATATGCCTTATTCTTTGATTCACTCAAACCATTGTTTTATAGAAAATAGAAAAGGACAGAAGTCCAGCTGTGTCCGAACTCTTATCTACTAATACTATCCAGTGACTCTAGAGTATTTCAATCGACAAATATTTCCAGGAAAAATACTACCTCGAGTTGTATTCATATGACTATTTCATGATTGAGACAATAAACGAGCGCCTCGCGATAGTTGCACACACTGCATCCATCAGTCTAGCTTCCAATAACATGACTGACGTTTCAAATGTCAAAGATATTACCGTTGAAGAACGAGGTATTTGGTAAACAAAAAATATCACTGTAGGGAGAAACCATGAAAATGGTCAATTCTGATTGGTTCTCGAGAAACAAGATTAAAATAGTCTCCAGATAACACCAACCATCGGCCCAGCATTTGTAAAGCACACCTCTCCAGGCGGCCGCCAGCCAGCCATTACCGGCGATTAAATTATTGATTCAGAAGTGCTACAGGGGCAACAAATTTCAATGCACCATTGATGGGAGCGCTCAGCCACCAACATATATGTGCTTACAAATCCCTATCAAAGATGAGTTTTTTGAGCACTTTCCAAGTATCTGTCCACGAACTACAAACTTTAAATGCGCAGATATTTCTGAGTATCTACAGAAAAGTAATCAATCAATCAATAAAGTGAACTAAGTTTTTCAGGAAATAATTGTTTACTAATAAAACCTAAGTTTCTTGAAGCAGTGTTCACACCCTTGTTAAAATGTCATATTACAGTTAGTTCAATATCAAATATCATGCCTTAGTCTTTTATCTCATTGATTCTTTTCAATACAGAAATATTTACTCTCATTATGACCCATTGAAAAACTGATACAAAAACATTTTCAAATATTGAGATCCAAGTTATTAACCCTAGACCAGACATAGAAGTTATTCAAATCAGATAGCAGCAGATCAATATCCCTATATGATACTGAATTTCTTTATATTTTGAAGTTACCTGCATAACATAACAGAGGGAAAATCATTGACAAACAAATTGAAAACTAATGGTCCACAATGAGAGCCTTGAGTAACTCCTGAAAATACTGGAATAACATTAGATGAAAATATGTCAAGATTTTGAGATACCAGACAAAATTCAGAATTATGATATACTAGATTTTCAATAGTCCAGGCACAATTTTGAGATACTAGTCAGAATGCTGAAATACATTTCAGAATTTTGCCATACCTGTCATGATTTCCAATATTCAAGGCATAATTTTGAGATTATAGTCAGAATGCTGATTCATTTAAAAATTTTGGCATACCTGTCTAGATATTTTAGTAATAGTTCTAAGATTCAGTTAGAAAATTCACATTTCATAATTTAAATTCTGACAAAATGTTGACCCTTCAATGAATTTGAGGTGCTTTTGTTATGTTACTTGAATAAATAGAATAGCATGTATTTTGAGGAACAATAAATTCAATGAACATTTCTTAAAATATCAGGGGAAAGGGGAATGTATTATTATTCAATAATGCAATCATGTAAAATATTTAACAAATATTCATATTTATATCAAACTGATGTCTAGTTTTAGTTATCATAAGATCTTACTTTGCATCCTGGATTACTCCAAATATTAGATGGTTCATTTTGTTTGCCTAGGATCTCTATTTTGGTCCACTTCCACAGCTCTCCTTTCATTTTCAAAAGCCACCCATCACAGTAATGAAAAGTAGGGCCACCTGAACCCCCTAAAATTAGCAAATTCTCATCATCCAACACCACCTGGGTCTGACCAAACCTCCCATTTGGCTTTGGACCACCTACAAACCACAAGAATTCAAATGTATCAAAACAATTTTATCATATTTTCAGCATTTCATCTTACCTTCAACTTCCTGTTTGAACCAAGTCCAAGAACTCAAATGCAACTTCCAAATATCATTGGACTTCTCACAATGGACTGCATTACAAGGCTTTTGCAGCCCCCCAAAAACAATCATCCAATCCCCTATAACACTCACAGAATGTCCTGCCACAGGGGGTGGGGTATTAACTGTGGTCATAGAAGTCCATCTATTAGCTACAACATCATAAACATGCAGTTCATTGAATAGATGCCAGCTCTGATACAATGGATAAGAGGGAGGATAAGCCCAACCACCAAAAAGTATCAATGTGTTTCCATGCTTTATGAGAGAGCTGCAAGCTTTGGGGGATGGATAGGTCCCCATAGCTAGGGGGCGAATCCACTGGCGCTTTGATAGATCCAGCCTCCACAGATCATTGAAGGTTGTCATGGCACAGGTACAGCCCCCAAACACATACATGGAATTATCGTGTACCACCGCCGTGTGGGAGTACCGTTTGGAAATTGTGGGGGCCATATCTAGGGGGGTTATTCGCTCCCATTTCACGTCAAATTCGTTTATAGCACGGTACAAATTGCGCTGCTTTGTTTTAACAACGTCTGAAATACAAATTCAATGTTTCAAATTTTTGAATGAATTCCAAAAACTGGACAAAGGACAGAATGATTCATCGAGGTAATTTAGCATAAACAACACATGCGAATCTTGGCTAGCAAACTGAGGGGTCAACTAACTTGACTCAACAAAGAGTTGCAATCTTGCAACTAAAAATAGTACAGGATTCTTTTATGAATAATCATACTCAGTACTTACTTAGGACACACCGTCTCCACCTTTTTGAAACCTGCATACAATCGTGCAAGTCCCTGTAGGGAGGAATAAGGGATAATATAAATTCCAGCACTTCATCTGGAAGAGTTTCAATTTCGGATTCTACCATATTGAGTTGGCTGTAGACTTTTCTTTATGTTGATCTTTAGACTGGAAAGTATGTTTCGATGTTAACTCTACGAGAATGCATTGAAAACTGCAGGAAAACAGGAAAACCAAGACGATGAAGACTATTGGAATTTTGATTTGTTGATGTTGTTATTTTAAGAAATCATGAATGTCAAAATTGGTCGAAATCAAATGGATTTGACAGTAGTTCTCGTGAATAACAGAGCAACGTGTGAAAAACTCACGAAGAGAAACACTGAAAAGAGAAGAAGAATACTGGCAAGGATATTGACGAAAAAGTAGAAGTTGAATTTGACAATTATGTCAATTTATGACAGAGAAATTTGTTTTTATTTTTTATTGAGAAATCGAAAATCGTGATGGCAAGCAGCTCAAGGTATTTCCAAAAAAATATTCAACAAAATATTAATATTGACAAACGATAATGTAGAATCAAGTGAAGGAATGTTTCATTCAATGTAACCAATTATTTATCATTGCAATTATTCTACAATGATTATCAATCTACAGCAAAATTTAAATCATTGTATTTTTGAGCTTGTTCCTTCTACCCCAACATTAATTCCACTTTTCTATGACCAATTACCTTTGTATAGTATTATTACAGTGCATATTCATTACATTTCATTATTTTTGCATCTGTTTCAGATATGATACTAACAAAGTTTGCTGCAATTCACATCCAGATGCTCCTCTGATAGAGGACTACAGAGCAGGTGATCAAATCTGTTCAGAATGTGGCCTAGTTGTTGGAGACAGGGTGATTGATGTGGGATCAGAATGGAGGACATTCAGCAATGAAAAAAATGGGGTAGACCCTTCCCGTGTGGGAGGGCCAGAAAACCCCCTGCTTGGGGGGTCAGATCTGACCACAATAATTGGCCCAGGACGTGCAGGTAATTTTCTATAAATCAAAATTTTTCAGTGTGAAGTTATTTGATTATTTTCAAGGTGATTCAAGCTTTGATAATTTTGGGGTATCAAAATATCAGAATAGAAGGACCATGAACAGTTCTGATAGAGCACTGATTAATGCATTCAAAGAAATCAATGCTATGGCTGATAGGATCAATTTGCCAAGGACTATTGTTGATAGAGCAAACAATCTTTTCAAGCAGGTGCATGATGGCAGAAATCTGAAAGGTTAGTGAAGATCCCTTGGTATTATTTATATTTCAGTTCATTTAATAATATTATTGGTACCTTTTCATTTGGCAATACCATGCAATACAAAGGGCAATACTATCATTATAATCAACCTTCTTTTTGGAAAATCATAGGAAACTAAGAATTTTTTTCTGTTAAATCATGATTCCAGAATCATTTAGTTCTGGATGTTCATCCAGAGGATTCTTTATAAAAGGGAACCCTCAACATTATTAATGATAACTAGCTCAAGAGTGGTATTTTTCACTAAACCTATAGACTAGTTATAAGAATACAAATATAATATTACTAAGACCAGATTATTTCAATTTGGAGCCAAAGGTTGTGATATTTGCTTCTAGAAGGAGACAAGACTCTAATGATGGGCTTATAGATTCAATCAAACTAACAATTAGGAATTAACAATTAACAATCAACAATTAATGAGGTGTGAATATTAATTAAGAATAAAAAGTGAAATGTCTTTTGATTAAAGATCAAAATGATGTTAAAAAGTGATTTTGGTCTCCACAATTCATGAATCCATAAAAAATATTCCAATTTAATCACCAAACTCCACTCAAACAATAACAAATCCAATCTTTATGTTCTGTCTCCAGAATTTCCTAATTCTTAGTTGTTAAGTTGAAAGTTGGCCAACTTTGTAATTCTTAATTTAATGACAGATGTAAATGTAAAAACCCTCATAGAAGTTTCCTTGGATTCAACTTTTAAGTTTATAGTAAAGTTGTTAGTCTAATTCTCAGTTTAGATGAATCTATAAACCCAGCATAAATAAAAAGAGTTTGAAAAACTTCATGATTATTCACAAGGAAAAAAATTAGTGAAGAAGAAAATTCAGTTAGGATGTTGAATAGTGTCCTCTATCAGGAACTAAACTGAAAATATTCATACAGATATCACATTGTTGCTTGTTTTATATTATTCAAACAATCTATTATAAACTCAACAGATTAGTGTAGCAACAGCAATGAACTTTTTTTCAAATGCAAAATTTTCAATTTGTAATTTTTGTGTTACTCAATTCCTTACTTTCCTGGAAGAATTAACCTTCCTTGTTACTACCATTCTTCTTTAGGCCTGTCTTCAAAGAGGATTTTGTAAGCATTACTGAATTTCACATATCACTCAAAATTTTACTGTTGCAAATTTTTTCACTGCACTCATCACTTCACTTTCATTAATAGTTTGACATTGACAATCGAACATATCAACCAACCTCTCGGATCCGTGCCACCGTTCGAAGCCGCGGCGGACATTTGAACGACGTCATATTCCATAAATAATGGCATAAATAGGCCTTTCAAATAAAATGAAAAAATCGTTAATATCTCACACACAGCTTGTTTTATTCAATTACAACATCGACCGGTCCTTGTTGAAAGACCCTTTATTTTTCTGGTCCCTATCAATATCCCTAACAATTGCACCGATAAGCTTACCACTTGTGAAACATATGAAAATGAAGGCAATTTTATAAGTAGTACAGTAGTATAGCGTTGCCTTGCGAAATCCGTTCATGCCAGTCTCTTAAATTGAAAAATCGGAGCATGCAATGACAAGAAGCATTGCGGGTACTATTTGATGTGATAGAGGGGGACGCACTAGCTGTGCACGACGGAGCCGAAGATGTAAGAGAGGGTGCATGCTTTCTCACATTTGGGAACAATCAGTCCGTTTGTGAACACGTGTTTTGTGGAAATATTAAAAATCTCGAAGAAGTGTTTTTTATACAAATCACTATTATTTCAAATTCGTACTTATACCAAATATCAATTCAATAATTGTGAATGCGTTGACCGAGGCGTTGACGTATACAGTTTCAGTTTGGGGTTTTTCCTATGCCGACGTTCTTGAAAGAGTTCAAGTAGGTTTTCTCAAGCGTCCTCTCCTTCTATCCCTATTATAAACAACTATGTTTCTTGGGGTAATAAAGACAATCAATCAATAAAAGCCGTTTTGACCTATAATGAATAGTTTTGACACAGAAAAATCTTGAAGTAGAAAAATCTCGATTTTGAATACCCTATATCTCTGTAATCACTCCCGCTACACCCCAAGTGTGATGCATTGATGAAATTAGCTCTTCTGGGAGAATCTAAAGGTGCGATGAAATACAGGGTGTTCCATTTGGAAATCGAAAGTTGATGTTCGTTACGCTTCGAGGTTTCAACTTTGGAATATGATAATATTAGCAATATTTAATGTAGTATCAGTTTTGCTTCTTTCGTTTTTTTTTGTATAATGATGAAGCCATCAGATTTTCATGGGAACTAAAATTCAGGCTAACATTTCGAAACACGAATCCACGATTTGGTAGAAATTTTACCAGTATCGGACAAAAATGAAAAAAGTTCCAGTGCATTTAATCTGTCCAATTATTTTCTTGGCCGGTAAATATAGAAAAAAAACGTCTCAATCCAGGTCGATCGAATGACGCAATCGCCTCCGCCTGTCTTTACATCGCCTGTCGTCAAGAGGGCGTCCCTAGAACCTTCAAGGAAATATGCGCGGTGAGCAAGATCAGCAAACGCGAGATCGGCCGCTGTTTCAAGCTGATCCTGAAGGCGCTCGAGACCAGCGTCGATCTGATCACGACCGGCGACTTCATGTCGAGGTTCTGCTCGAATTTGTGTCTGCCCAACATGGTGCAGAGGGCGGCCACGCATATAGCGAGACGGGCGGTCGAGTTGGACATCGTGCCGGGCAGGTCTCCCATTTCGGTGGCGGCTGCCGCTATTTATATGGCGTCTCAGGTGAGTTGTAGGGCCATTAGTTCATTTTTGACGCACCCTGTATACTTTTGTTTTATCGCAAAGTGGATAGGATGAGCGAGAAAATGATCCGAGGAAGGAGACGTCAGGCCTGTTTGCGTTGCGTTTGTATTGCTGAACTTGCTAAAGCTGATTTTTTTTCCATAGTTGTCTCTGTTCATGGCATGATAAAAACAGAGAATCTTATAGGAAAAAATCAAGTTCAGCAGGCAGAGCAAGCACAAACGAACAGGCCAGTTATGCCGTTTAGACAACGTGCAATGATTTATTCGTTAATCAAAGATTACACAAAAATACAAAATATACAGTTTGAAAAATAAATCGGGTGTCAACAAATCTATGATAACTTCTAGAATATCAAGTGTACCAAAGTGAGATGAAAAGTTTATCCAAAAACGATCATTGCAGAGTCTCATGCCGTACCTGCAGTCACTTCAAACGGAACTTCAGAAACGCCGACGCCGCACAGTGCAGAATATTCTGCAATTGATATTATACTAGCAGACCTCGCAAACGTTGTTTTGCTATATACATTATTTCTATAATATATTTTTTCAGTTCAATCTTCATCAAGACACTATTATTATTTTATTTTCTATCTATAAAAGCGTGTCTCTTCAGTTTTTCAAACTACCATTTATTTCAACTTCTTTTTAGTTCACTTGAATTTTCCAATTTTGATGAAAGAATCATAATATCCGACTCCTAAAATTCCAGATGAAAATTTTGAATAGAATCAGAACATAATTACAAAACTCGTCCGCAATATTGGATCTACCATCTTGAATTCCCTAATTTTGACGAAGGAATCTTGATTTTTGATCCCGAAAACGCCCACTTACAAATTTTGAATAGAATCGGTATACATATAATAATTACAAAACTCGTCCGGTATATTGGTTCTACAGTCTTGAATTTCCAAATTCCGCCCTTTCCAAATTTTGACAAACGAATCATAATCTCCGACCCCGAAAACACCCAGATAACAATTTTGAAGAGAGTCGGATCATAATTACAATACTCGTCCGCCATATTGGGTCCGCCATCTCGAGTTTCCTAATTTTGACGAAAGAATCATAATCTCCGACCCCGAGAACTACCAGATACCAAATTTGAATAAAATCGGATTCTAATTACAAAATCCGCTATTTCGGATCCGCCATCGTGAATTTTGTAATTCTGACGAAGGAATCATAATCCCCGATCACGAAAATCCCTGGGTACCAATTTTGAAAATAATCGGATTATAATTACGAAACTCGTCCGCCATATTGGTTCCGCCATGTGAAAGCTCTCCTCTTCAGATACCATTTACCTTTATCAAATCTCATTTTTGATCTGATAGATTCGTTGACACCCGGTATACTATAGAATTTTTGGGTAGTTCTTGGACGCCCTGAAGGATGTGATTTAATAATATCAACAGCCTCCATTTCTATCTGGTGGACCCTGTATTATAAACTTATACAAAGGAAATCAAATTGTTATGGACCCGAAAAACGCTACTTATTTGAATACAAAAAACAATGATTTGAAGAGACTATAATTTGAACATAATCTCTTCAACTTACTGGTGTTTTTTTTTTCAGTCAAATGATGAAATGTTTTCATATACACAATATAGTATAGTCTGTATCATTTTGGCACTTATTTTGTGAATCAGTTTATATGAAAAGAGACTTTGGGGTTAGTTTTTGCTTCAAATATAATGATAATTAAAGTGTAAGGTTAAGGAACTGATCTAGGTTAGAATTAATTGCATGAATACAAAAACATATGAAAGTATGTCTGGTAAAAAAGGGTTGTTGATGAACCCTTAGTTTGGCGTCTGTGGAAGTAGTTTAACTAAAAAAAATGTGTCATCAGGCTTCAGAGGACAAGAGAAGCCAGAAGGAAATCGGCGACATCGCTGGTGTGGCTGACGTCACAATCAGGCAATCCTACAAACTGATGTATCCTCATGCAGTACATCTTTTCCCGCAAGACTTCAAATTCGCAACTCCCATTGAACAATTACCTCAAATGTAATGGATCACTTCATAACTATCATTATTATAATACATGGATTTTGGCGTTTCAATCCGTATTTTTAGTTCATAGTTTTAGGTTAATTTTAATGTGTAGGAAAGTAGGATCGGTATTGAGGTGTACAAAGATATTGTTACTTTTTTTTATACACAGGGTTTTTGGAATAGAATCAACAAATTGAAACTGGTGACAAAGCTTTGAAAGAGTATATTTTTCATCTGTTTCAGTTTGGCAGCTAGAAACTCAATCACCCTTAATGCCAAAATCCATCATAGCTCTTCCAATGTATGCACTTAATCATGAAAATATGATATTTTTTTATTATGCAATTAGAAAGAATATAACACTAGTGTTTTCTTATACCTAGGATCTCAAATCCTTTTTGGTGTCTGCAATCAGCTGATTGATTTCCTCCACGGTTTCCAAATCTATTTCTATATCAGAACACTGACTAAGGTTATCGTCGTCTATATTTTCCTCCATCCTCTCTGGAATAGAAGCAACAACTTCTTCCATGATAATGTCTTCCGAATCGTAAATAGAATCTAAAATAAGCGAGAGATTGAGGTTGATTATGCAGTGCACCTCTCAAGTCACTCCTCTGCTAACTCAAATTTACAAACTTGATATTTTATATACATTTAATACTTTTATTCAATGTTTCCAAGAAAAAGATGATAATTTAAGATTGATGGAATTCATCACTTTGTGTGAATAAAGGTTAGTGAACATAATATTTCGATTTTCTCTAGTACATTGGTCCTTCGAGCCGGATAGATAAAATCGAAAAATTATGTTCACTAACTCATTCAGAGAAAGTTTTCTTGGAAGCATTAAACAAAAGTATATAATGTTTATAAAATATCAAGTTCTGTCTGTAACACACCTAGTAAATGTTTTTATTTTCAACTCACCTTCAGTGGAGTTAATTTCAATAATCATGGGTTCCTGCTCACTTTCGCTAGTTCCTGAGGGCTGTTCTTCTTCCCTTTCTAGAAGGTCTCCTGCCAAATTCACGCTCTTGTAAATGCCCTTTTTTATGTTGCTCAGCATTTTGCTGCAGTAAGTCGCCGGGTTCGATTCTCTGCTAGGACCGGCCTCCGAATCTCTGTTTCTTTGCATCTGCAGCAGTCTCTTGTTGTCTTCAGCTAGTTCTTTGCGGACTCTTTTCATTACATACCTTGAAAAAAAAAGGGGGATAAGAGAAAATTTTCGTACAACACTGGAATAAGTCAACCCTCTGATATTTTCCTGTCGGCTGAAAAATATCAACTACTGAATAACAATCCTCATTAGGATAAATATAATAATTATAGTTTGAGGTTTCAGAGTATGAATTGCAAATGAATGTTTCATAAAAACTCATCAGATTTATGTTTTTGAATATGAAAATGATAAAATATGAACTCAATGAAATAATGTAGATTTTTACCTGTTGGCTATTTCTCTGCATTGTTCTGTAAAATTGGCTGGCAGCCAGCCATTTTTAGGATCAAATCTTGGATTGCTTGGATATTTGGGAAGCCTTTGAAGCATCTCCTTAATTTCTGGTATTCTGATATCACAATACTGTAAAAACATTTGAAGATGAAGATGTATATTCAAAATTACAGCAGTAGAAAATGCTTCACATTGAGATCTTTATGACCCAAACTATTTTGTAAACTTGGCAACTGTGGAAAAATAGTTGGAATGAGGAAAGAACCCTCCAAAGAACCTAACAAGACCTAAATAAATAAAATAAATGTTGTGATTAGGAGTCTCTAGTGCTGGTGTGTAGAGAACAAAGTTTTGATATTCAAACAAAACCAGAAGGTATTACTTGCAATTTTTCTTCTTCTCCATCCTATTTTCTTTGCCCAAATATCTATTTCAAGTATTTTTTTCTAAAATTTTCCTGTTTCCATGTTTTTTTGGTCTCAGGAATATGAATTTGATGTTGAAAATTTGTAAAAAAACACTATAAAGAATATATTTCACTATTGAAGTGATGAAAGAAGGAACCAAGTTTCTAATGAAATAAATGATTTTAGTCAATACATTTATATTGCCTTTTTTCTTGAATGTCAATCCACATTGTTCATAAAGTTAAAAATGTTTAGTCAAAGGACCATCAGACTGCTGTTGCAATTTGTTACCTGGTAGAACATTTGCCTGGCAGGAGGAATATGGTCTGGGTCCAAAACATAGCACCTTTCATCAAGTTGTTTGGTTTTGGATGGAACCTCACTATTCTCAGTACTTTCAATAGATCTAAAATCTCTCTTTGTAGCATAAGCTCGTTTTGGGGTAACCTTGATTGTTGATCCCTCTAAAAAAATTCGTAGCTACCAATAAAACACATAAAAAAAAACAATTTTTTGGTACAATTCTTCTGTACCTTTTGATCTAATGCGGAAATCTAGCGTTTGGTATATCCTGGAATTGTAATCTTTCAAGGGATTATAACCATACTTGGTCCATAAACTTCGCCAGGGTCCAATTGTACAAAAATATGCCAGAAAAGGAAGAATAATTTTTGTCTTATCATTTGTTATCCCGGTTTTATGCTGGATGGCCACATTTGTCCACATTGGCCTCTCATCAAATAACTAAAAAAATGTCACATCTTCCTTTTTAAATTAACAAATATGAAAAAAAAAGCAATGAAACCTAAGAGTTTCAGCAGCAAAAAGTTTGCATTTTTGATGGACCTGTAAAACAAATGAAGAGCTAAAATAATTCTGATTGATTAGTTGATTTAATAAGAAACATTTCCTGGAATGTGTGCCCTAAAATGAGTGAAATTTGAATATGCTTTCAGTAATATCATATATCATTTCAACAGAGTATTTCAAGAATCTGTTGATTACTCAGATTTTATAGTTACTCATCACAAAATTGATGTAGTTATCTAGTTTTTTCAATTGGAAAATTGTGGAGTTTGAAGTTTCAATAAATAATATGGTTGTAGGTTGTAGAGATACTGACCTTCTTCACCAATCCAAGTTCCTTCTCTAATCCTCTTTCTTCAATTAGTTCTACTGCAGGTAAGGGTGGCTGTTCTGGTATGACCATATTGGGATCATGAAAATTTACTGTATTTGCAAATATTTTCTGGTGAGGTTTCCTTGGCCTCTTTCCAGCCCACATTTTGAACATGTAAGGCCTGTTGGGGATCTCCTCACTAAATTTATCAACAGCATTCAGGTACAGATTGTTTTGTGCTTCAAAACGTGAGAAATTTGTTGGTAAACTGAATATTGGGATTGTCTTGGCTTCTTCTGATCTGAAATTTCACAGTTACATATTCAGAAGACAAGGGTCTAGACATCTCCTCCACTCAAAATTGTATTTCAATAAAATATGGTTGAATAATAGATTGGTCATTGGATTTGAAATACATTTTTATGTGGGACACAACTGATCAGCAGTTCTCACTCAAAGTACTCCACATCAGCAATTTTTTCTGGGATGATCTTATTATGGATGAGAGTAACATCATCTCTTGAGGTACCATTGGGTACAAGAGGTAAGTATTGGAAGTCACATAACTCTGAAAATAAAGTTAATTAGAATTGAATTCCACTATCACTGGTATCCCTAATTACTATTGAAGGTGTAGTTCAGTGAGGTTACTCCAAATATATCATAATCCAATTTATCTCCCCTTTTTATTACTTTGATCAAAATTCCAGGGGCAGTGTCTCTGTCTCCAGTACATGGCTTGTTATAAATGTTCATAGGATGAAAACGGATATCTAGCTTATTCCTACTATCAGATACTGCCTGTAGAGATAAATATTATAATCACATAAGTAACCCTTATTGTTTTCTTATACCATTTCAATTCCATGCATACCACCTAAACTTTCAATAGCCTTGTATACATTTTTAACACGCCCAGGGTATTCTATTCGAATAAAATCTGTTGGTAGATCATACAAGCAATTTTTGTCAACCTTTTTCTGAGAGTTTGATGGCCTACACTGTTTAGATTTATCATTACTTTTTTCATTTCCAATTCTCTGTGCTACCATGAATCTATTGATTTGTAGTTCATCCTCCTGATCATCCATAATGATTGATAATACTAGAATTGCATATTGATGTACAAATTGAAGAATAAAAACAAATATTTCTTGAACAAATGTTTATCGTGATTGATTGTTGTTGTTGATCTTCGGTTCTTCGGAAAAATTCCATAACATAACCCCAAATATCACTCTTCTTTTTCATTCTAATTTCTTCTTTTCTCCAATCCATGGGCTTGAGTTGCTTTTGTGGCTTCTGCTACTTCCGCTTCTTTTTTTTTAGAATTTTTGAGATGTCTAGGTCCCGAGAATTATTCAATTGTCAATCATTTGTCATGAATGTCAAAAGTGAAAAGTGGAGTCAGTTTTGGAAGTAGACATTTTATTTTTTTATCGAAAAATTAAGTTTTCGGCGTTTTTATTCAATCTAGCCAACGTAGGAGTTTGAACAATACCGATTTGCATTTAAATCTGTAGTTTCCGACAAGAAAGTACGTATATTTTTTGATAAATCTCATGTCAAATAACCTAAAATTGCGCAACACATGCACCTTCCCTGCATGCACCCTTTGAATATGATTGTGATTATTGTTTCAGTTTCACAAAAATGTCTGCTGCCCAAGCTTTCAATAGAATTGGACAATTTGGATTGGGAATTGCCCTAGTGGGAGGAGTAGTAAATTCGGCGCTGTACAATGGTGAGTGCAAAATTAAAAATAACCTGATGAAAGTTGTCAACCCACATCTCACTTGTTTGCAGTTGATGGAGGAAACCGGGCAGTTATTTTCGACAGATTTTCTGGTGTAAAGAAGCAAGTGATTGGTGAGGGTACACACTTTTTCATCCCCTGGGTACAGAAACCCATCATCTTTGATGTCAGGTCTAGGCCCAGGAACATACCTGTAGTAACTGGAAGCAAAGGTACTCACAACACCAAATGAATCTCCTCATGAAATTTCAATATACAATGTTTCAGATCTCCAAAATGTAAACATCACACTTCGTATCCTATTCAGACCTGTGCCAGACCAACTTCCTCGAATCTACACAATCCTTGGCCAAGACTATGAAGAGAGGGTGCTACCATCCATCACTACAGAAGTCCTGAAATCTGTGGTGGCCCAGTTTGATGCTGGAGAGCTCATCACACAGCGTGACTTGGTGTCACAAAAAGTCAGTGAACAGTTGACAGAAAGGGCAGGACAGTTTGGTGTTATTCTAGATGACATTTCACTGACACATCTGACTTTTGGAAGGGAATTCACACAGGCTGTGGAGTTGAAACAGGTGGCTCAGCAGGAAGCAGAGAAAGCCAGGTTTTTGGTGGAAAAAGCTGAGCAAACCAAAAAAGCCACTGTTATATCAGCAGAGGGTGATGCTCAAGCTGCTATCATGATGGCAAAGGCTTTTGGGAATGCTGGGGAAGGATTGGTGGAGTTGAGACGTATTGAAGCTGCTGAAGACATTGCTTACCAGCTGTCAAAGTCCCGGCAGGTGTCTTATTTGCCAGGGGGGCAGAATTTGCTTCTGAATGTGCCCACACCTGGTAACTAGTAGAGACAATTGGATGTAATTTCAATCATATTATGAGTCAAAAGTCGATTGTTATTATATTGGCTTCCAATTGGGATTTAGTGTGGATAATCTCATGGGCTTGTATGTGGTCTATTATTATTTTTTATAAATATAGTTGTACTGATTTGTTAATAAACGTTGAAATATTAGACTGAGTTTCTGATTTTTATTCATTCCCCTTGTTGAATTTGTATTTTGTAGTTTCATTCTACATAGTATGAAAACTATTCATTCTTATTTTTTCAATCCCTTGGTGCAATAATTTTGAGGCTTTAGGTTTTAAAAACAGAAATCACAGTTTATTGATTCAAATTTATATGAAATGAACTAAAAATACTTTGAGCGCACCTTTTTTCTAATGCTGACTTTGATCACCTAGATGGATTTCACGTTTTTGTATTATATTATGCAGCTCTGAAGTCTGAATAAAATGGTTTTGGAAGGAGGTACAATTTTTCATTTTGATGTAAATATAGCTTCGATATGATTTGAATATGCGCGGCAAATCCAGTTCAGCGTAGACCCGTGGACAGGAAACTGAGGAAACACTGGTATATCAAATCGAGAAGAAGAAGAAGACTTTGTTTTTTATGATGATGTTTTGACCGGTAAATTGAATTTCAGTGATTTTCGCATGCAAACCTTGAGTAAACTTAGAATAAAAACCAACAAAACTTGTTAGTTGAGGCGAAAACTATAGGAACTGTGTGAAATATTAATGAAAAACACCATGTCCATAGAGCGAATCGACGATGAAGTTGGGCAAGGTTAGTTGAAGACGGCTGTGGCAAGGGTGATGAGTGGTAAGTGGAAGCCATTTCAAATTTCAACTCTTGATGCTGATATTGCTGATACGAAAAAATATGTGTGTCGTGTATATCATTATAGATGTTTCTGGTGCATTACAATACAAGTTACAATCGGAATCAGCTTGTAAAATGTAGCATACAGGGTGTTCGCTTATAAGTGGTAAGTGAAAGCCATTTCAAATTTCATAATTTCAACCATTGTCGATCTAATTGAAAACCTAGTAGGCGACCTCTAGTACGCGAGGATGTTTCAACTCTTGATGCTGATACGAAAAACTATGTGTCCTGTCTATTATTATAGATAATAATTATGAAGCATAGCTGTCCTCAAAGCGGGATCAATTTCTGTCTCTATTCTCTATAGGTAACGAAATCGACAAATAGAGACGTTGATGCCGACGTAGGGAAAAAACATGGAAAACTAAAGCTTAGTTTGTTGCTGGGCGATTTCAGCTTTCGCGAGCTAGCGATGAAACCTGGTGACGTTATTATTGGTCGATTCGAACTGGTGAACGACTATTGACCAATAATATCATTACACGTTCCATCGCTAGCATCGCCTAAACCGCCCTGTAATAAACCAAGCTTAATACGAAACTTGTTGAATCAATATGGCTACGAATTTCAAATTTTTAAATAGGTTTTAGCGCGGATGTGACTGATTTTGTGATTGAAATTTGAATATTTGCGTTTTTAGTTGTACAATTCTTTAGTGTTTGTGTTTTCGTTTATTTTTCGTAGACTGAAATGCAGTATTTGTGGAGTAAAGAATAGACAGGAATCCTCTTTCCATATAAGTAAGTTTGAATTTTCAAAATCTTGGGCTTGCAAATGAGTAGGTAGATCTGAAGCTGAAAATCATAGAACTGAAGTTAGGATTTAGGAGAAAGCTTTCCATAATAATATCTTCGCATAGGTATAGTAATAACGGTGTACTAATAAAGGCTATTTTACCTATTAATAAAAGAACATGATTACATTTGATGAAATCCGAAGCTTTGTAGGCACCTAATAATGGTTGATTCAACATGAGTTTGTCCAGGGGCGTATCATCAACAATAATTGATGTTTTTTAATATTTTATTATGATCAAATAATTATTTAGGAGCCTAACCTAACTTAAAATCTGATCCTCACGTCAGCAGTTTCCAAAAAGCTAACTTGTCAACGTAAAATTATTGATGTAATCCATCTTCTCGATACAAATGCAGACTCCGTATATAATAATCCCAACATTAAAACGACGTGGTGTATTTTTGGTTGCCTATACCACAATCGTTCCTCAATAGACAAATAGATCAATAATAGGAGTCATTAACGATTAATTTCGTGTATATACATTAACATTACAAGTTATAGTGATATACCTCATTGAAATTCCCTATATATACATTGATTGACTCATTCGTTCAGAAAATATGGAGCTCAGAAATGAGTCAGACGAAATATTCGAAAGGATAAAAGTTGAAATTAATTGAATTATTCTCCTCATGAAATCCCTCGATTCGAAATTTGCTGAACTTGGATTGATTTAGGTGATATCATGACTAAAACTTCAATCAACTTGGAGTTGCATTTCTTCGTATCATCCATAGTTATTCCACAAGACGTATAAAAAATTATATGGGATATAGATATTGGAGGGCAGTAAGGGCACCATTCAAAAGATAAAACAACATCTGATCAAGATTTTGTTCCGAAGTGAAAACTCGAAATTTTACAAGATCCCACTTCTGATTTCTTTCAGATGGTATGTTCTGTCGGCGAATATTGGGAGATGGTCATGTGATCGTTCTCTGAGGGGCAATAAAGACAGTTGTTCCTCGAAACAAAGTATGACTTTAAACGCCGTTTCTTGGGCCAACTGGACAAGGCTGCCGGAGTATTCCTATAAATCCGGGTGCTGCCCGGAGGTCGCGAGGCCAAAGGGCACGTACCTAGTCAGAGGGCGGTCACATGACATGGTGGTTGCGGTTCGGTGATTCCAAGAGGAAGGAGAATGACAAGAATGTTTATACAGGGTGAGTCAATAGTGTGTTCTCCTTCTATATTAGCCAAACCGTCAGATATAGGTAAAGAAAAAATTCGAATACAACAGTTATAGGGTTTCTTGGGAACTATCACCTAAAATTATTTTCATATCTATAGGGTGTTCGAATTCTAAGATATCGGTTGATGATGGGTGTTTTCAAATGAGACACCCTGTATATTATTACATTTTTAGATTCTCCCTCATGAGCTGATTTCATCAATGTATCTCACTTATTGGGGACTAGCTGAAATTTTTATAGAGATATAGGGTGTTCAAAATCTATATTTTTCAACTTTGTGATTTGTTTGTGTTGAAACTATTTATTATTGGTCGAAATGGCTCACATGTCCCTATCTCAACTTTTGATTCAACATCTACTGACACTTAATTGGAACAAATACAGGATGGTTCAAAATTCATGATTTCTGATTACCCTGTATGTATTCCAATTAAATTTCAGTAGATAGTAAATCAAACGTTGAGATAGGAACATGTAAGCCGTTTCGACCAATAATGAATAGTTCTGACGCAAAAAAAATCTAAAATTGAAAAATCTTGATTTTGAACACCATATATATCTGTAATCATTTCTGCTAGACCTCAAGTGTGATACATTGATGAAAACAGCTCTTCAGGAAACATTTGAAAATGCAATAATATACAGGGTGTCCCATTTAAAAACACTCATCATCAGCCGATATCTTGGAATTCGAACAACCTATAGATATGAAAATAATTTTCGGTGATAGCTCTCATAAAATTCTATAACTGTTGTATTCGAATTTTCTTTATATACCTGACGGTTTTGCCATAGATTAACGACTCCCCAATCTATGGTTTTGCTAATATAATATAGGTATCGCTATTCTTCTAGAAAGCTAGAATTACGCATCGATATTGGTTGATGTAAAAACTTCACAAACGATAAGATTTCCACAAAATTCTTAAACACACAACGTTTCGCTAACACAGTAGCTTCGTCAGGTGATATACTGGTACAACAGTTCATTGTACCAGTATATCACCTGAAGAAGCTACTGTGTTAGCGATCGAAACATGTCGTGTGTTTGAGAATTTTGTGGAAATCTTATCGTTTGTGAATTTTTTTCATCAGTACTTCAGGTTTGTAATCATAATTATACTTATACCTATATAGTTTATTTCTTACGAGAATACCCATAGGCTATAGCTGATAGGTAATGGGTAGGCGTGGTCGAAGGAATATTATCATTTCACCTGAAGACAATGTTTTTTGTTGATTGTTGTTCATACATCTTCACATTCCAAACGGTTCTTAGTAGCTTAGGCGCCTTTGCTAAACGTGGGCAATTTGAGAATTTTCCAAATATTTTTTCGGGAATTGTATAGAATTAGGTGATTACGGGGAAGAAAGACATCGGTACTTATTTTTTCGAGCCCAAAGTACTTATTAAGTCGAAGAAAATAAATGTAACATACACAAAATACAGATATATCTACCCATAACTTATATCTTTCTCAAGATCACGATTCCCTCGGAGTGAACAAATTTAAAACACATTTTTTTCAATTGCAGATCAAACGTATTATTACTGGACAGTGGCGTACAAGGTGCATAAGCTCGTCTTCGAAATAGGAACAGGTACCTAAGTACCTGTTTTCAATTTTTGTTGGTGATAAGTAATTGGACAGATCTCTTATTTTCACAAATAACCTATCATTATATGAATATTTTCGTTTGTGAACAAATCATACAGTGCATTGAATAGGTAATGCAAAATAGTAATTTACGTAACAAGTCCGGAAAATACTGTTTTTTTGGACGAGTAGATAAAATTCTAAGCCGAGCCGTAGGCGAGTTCTGGAAGTGCGAGTCCAAAAAAAATGTTTTTGGACGTGTTGCGTATTTTTTCGTATAATGTAGAATAACAATTCAATGAAACACATTTCCATATTATATTTCTTTGTGGAATACAATTTCTTCTTTATCAATTCTTATTTGTATCAAATACTGAAATTTGAACAGAATACCTATACCTACTGACTGCTCTACATTGGAAATTTCGTATGGATATTTTCAAACTCAGTATCATTGCTGTTTTCGATAGTTTATTGCGATAATTGCAACCAAACTTTCAAAAATCCAAATTTCGCGGCTATGGTAATGGGCTTATATCACAAAAAAAAATTATTTCATAATTCGATAGAACTCATCCAAACTAGCTCACCACCGCAAACCGTTTCTTGCTGTGAACTCCCTACGTTTTATAAAAAATTATTGAAATCCCCGATTTTTCGGACCTCTGAAAACGAGGCGATGATGTGAC